ATAGGGAGGGGGAGCTATGAGTGGGCTCTATCACACAGAGAGACCAAAATACTTGCTGTACCCGTTCTGATATCAGCACATGGTGCTGTGTCAGGGTGACACTGTCTTTCTGCATACCCATTCCAGTGTCAGAATGCACCTTGGCAACACTCAGCCAGCATCCTGGGCTCACCGGCCAGCTCCCAACAGCATCCAAACCACAAAGCTACACAGAGATGCTCACAGTTTACCAATTTCTGGCTTGAATGTCTCTTGTTTTCTTTTTTTTCTTCTTTTTAGGCAGGCAAGCAGACAATCAATAAGCATTTATTAAGTATCTACTATGTGCTAGGCACTGTCCTGAGTGCTAGGTATACAAGGAAAGGCAAAAGGCAGTCCCTGCCCTCAAGGAGCTCACAATCTAATGGGAGAGACAACATACAAACAAGCCATATACAGGGAAAATTGGAAATAATCCACAGAGGGAAGAAACTTGAATTAAAAGGGATTGGGAAAGGTTTCCTACAGAAGGTAGGATTTTAGCAGGGACTTCAAAGAAGCCAGGGAAACCACAGGGTACAAATGAGGAAGGAGAACATTCCAGGTATGGTGGACTACCAATGAAAATGCCCAGAGCTGAGAGATAGGGTGTCTTATTTGAGGAAAAGGGAGGCCAGTATCACCGGATCACAGATACAGTTTGTAGGTGGGGGAGGAGAGTAGAGTGTAAGGTGTAGGAAGACTTCAACGTTGGGGAAGGCCTAGGTTATGAAGGACTTTTAACTTTAAAAGTAATCATAATCATACAGACACAATGGCACAGTGGACAGAAGGTTTGCCTCATTGCTAGAAAGGCCTAGGTTCAAGTCCTTCCTCTGACACATACTAACTATGGGACCTTGAGCAAGACAGTTGTAACACCTCAATTGCCTCAGGTAGCTCTCTAAAATTATATAAATTGCAGAGCAGGTTCTCATCTGCAATATGGTAAAGGGAATTTCCCAGATTACAATGATATTCTTCCTCACCCCCCAATAGCTGAAACGGATATAGCATTAAGTTCTGTAAAGCATTTCCACATATATTATCTCATTTCATCCTCACAACAATTCCACGATGTAGGCACTATCATAGCTGTCATTTTACAAAAGAGGAAACTGAGGCATGGAACAATACTTGTTCATGACCACATGACTATAGTGGAATGCTGAAAGCTTTGCAAAAGTTTATTTCTTTATTTATTTTCATGTGAAAATGGAACTGAAAAAAGTCCTGAAGATCAGGCATTTTGCCTACATCTGTGACAGAACAGGAAGGAAGGGAAAAGGGGTGGAGTTGGAGAGTAGAAAGCAGGGTCACTCTTCAAGAAATACATCGGGGATTACAGAATAGGATTTTTTTTCCTGGTATAGTCAGGGTGTAACAGAGGAGCATATGCCTGGGTAACTTAGAAGAGAGCTTGGCCTGTAGAAGACTGAGCTGGGACCTAATCATGGTTGTGCTTCCTCTAGAGCCCAGAGTGGTCAGCTGTTTTTCATTTTCACCAAGGAGAAATAAAGAGGGAAGAGAAAAGAAAATTAGCATTTATATAGAACCTACTACGTGTCAACTACTTTGCTAAAACCTTAAAAAAAAATCTTAATGAATCCTCATAACAACCCAGTGAGATATGTGCTATTATTATTCCTATTTTAAAGTTGAGAAAACTGAGGCAAATAGAAGTCAAATGGCTTGCTTAGGGTCAGTCACATAGCTACTAAATGTCCGAGGTCACATTTGAACTCGGGTGATAATAATAAAAATTATTGTTGTTAACATTTATATGGCATTTAGTAGGTGCGAGGCACTGTGCTAAGCATTTTATGATTATTTCATTTGATTCTCATAACTACCTTGAGAGGTAAATGCTATTATTATATCACCATTTTTCAGATAAGGAAACTAAGGCAAACTGTGGCTAAGATGCTTGCCCACACCTAGTCAGTGTCTAAGGTTGGATTTCAACTTAGGCCCTCCTTGACTCTAGGTCCAATGCTCTATCCACTGTGCCACCATAAAGAATTAAATCTGCAGTATGATGATTTAGGCCTAATGTTAGTTTCCTGGCAAGTCAATTACAAAGATTGTGAAATTCTGATGTCTTGGAATCTTTAAAAACCAGATATATTCTTGTCCACCTGGGATTATTTAGGCACAAACCTAAAGACAGGGGACAGTATTTCGAAAATCTTTCCATGCTTTGGACACCTCGTAATATTGTCCTAAAAAAGTACAGCAGTTGGAGCTGGGAGGACCTGAGTTTTAGTTCACATTGATATGTGATCTTGAGCAAGTCACTTAACTTTTGTCTCATCTTTCTTGTCTGTAAATGGGTATTGTAGTATTTGTTCTACCTATGTAAGGGAAGCAGTCTGGAAACCTGGAATGGATGCTATGGAAATTTATAATATATACAAGTACACACATACATGCTTGCTGGTAAATATATAATAATTGACTCACAAAAAAAATTGTGTGCACAGCACAATTTAGTATAATGTGCATTATAAACCCTGTCTTACGTCTATGCATTCAAAAAAGAAAATGAACAAAAAAGTATCCAACCCAATAAATAAAGCCCTGGTTTGGTAGCCTTTGCCAGTTTCAAGGCTTTAAATACTTACACTGAAAATCTAATAATTAGTCAATTTGATTGACTCCAGCACCCCCTTGCATGTGCACATGTATGTGTGGATAACAAAGTACATATATGTGTGTACACATGTATGCCCATTTTATATATATATATATAGTATATGTATATCCATATATTAGGGACTTCATTAAGAGGTTTGCCAACATGCTCATGGTATTGGTTGGTATTTTATAATAACAATAATAGTATTTACATAGTTTCTATTTGTCTATATTTAGCTTGTTTGTACAGAATTGTTTGTACGTTGTCTTCCCAGTTAGACTGAGAGCTTCTTAAGGGCAGAGACTGTCTTTTGCTTTTTTTTTTCGTATCTTCTGCATTTAGCACAATGCCAGGCTCATAGCAGGCAGTTAATAAATGTTTATTGGCTAGTTGACCATAGGCACTATGCCAAGTTATCTCTAAGCATGACAACACCAAGGAAAAGACTAGCATATCCCTTAGAACAGATTGTCCCACTAATAGTTAATATCTCATATCTCAAAAATTCCTAGGGTTACAACATTTTTGAATTTTTCTTCATGTTATCACTGGAGCAAAAAAAAGAATCAGCTAACTATTTGCAAATGACTTCCTACACAGCAGTTGACATCTTTATGGTAACACCACTGACTGGGGTATGGATAACATAAGATCCCACTATGTTTTTATTGTTTTTTTAAAAAGATTTGAATTTTTCATAATGAAAACTTAAAGGCTCTCGTTAAAGTGAGATTTCTCAAGTGTGCACAATAAATTATTACTAAGTAAGACTACGGCTATAACTTCATACAAATTAATGATATATATGTTCATTTAAGATGTTCACTCATGTCACACAAAAAATGCTCTATGCAGAGCCCAAATAAAAGGAATCACCATTCATAGAGATGTTCTCCAAATGTTTCCATTCACAAATGTTATTGTTCTACTTGAATCTATTCCCAGAACTCTCCAAAATCTCCTCAATGAAATCTACAGCAATATAAAAAAAGATTGGTCTAATCATTCACACTAAAAAAACAAAGTGGATGAATTGTGCAAATTCTCTGGACCACACGATATGTAGGTGGCTATGCAGTCCACTATGTTAGTCAAACTTCACCTTTGTGTACGCGCGTTCATACTGGAAAGACAACATAGATGGTCAATGACCTGGGACCAGAATTGAGGAGGTTAGGATGACATTTGGGAAACTGAATAGAGCTTTTATGCTTGCTACTGCCGAAGCCCATTGGAATACTAATATTCTCTCAAGGATGGCATATGACTGACCATGTCATCTACTACTCAATAAACTCTAGTAGTTCCCTATTACTTCCAGGATCAAATACATAACGCACTATTTGGCCTTCAGAGCCCTTCATAACTTATCCCTCTCCTACCTTTCTAGTCTTCTCCCACTTTATTCCCCAACACATATTCAAGCCAATGACAGTGGCCTCCTGGCCATTCCATAAGCAAGACTCTATCTCTGGCTCTTTCCTCTAGCTGTCTTCAACGTCTAGAAGCTATACCTCTTCTGTACTGTTTATATATATCTTTAGTTTCCCTTAAGTCCCAATTAAAATGTCTTCTTTGACTGGAAGCCTTCCTCTACCCTTCTTAATTCTATCACCTTCCCTCAGTTAATTACTTCCTATTTATCCTGTGTATAGTTTGCATTGTACATATTTGTTTGCATAGTGTAAGATCCTTGAGAGCAGGGGCTAGGCCTTTTTTTTTTGGCCTCTTTTTGTATGACCAGCATTTAGCACAGTGCCTAGAATATAGTAAGCACTTAATAAATGTTTATTGATTAATCAATTAATTGAATTATGAAACACCTTGATCTTGAAAGAATTAAAGTTACAGGTAACTCCAAAAGTGATGAAAAGATGAGTATTGGGCACACAGGTACTCAAGCTGCAACATATTACCAATAACTTTTGAGCAAAAAGTAGGATAAAAGACATGATCTAAAACATGTATGTCTCAAAAAGAAGATGGACACATCATGAAATGATGAGATTTCTAGGATGCTTCATAAATCTATAGGTACTACTTTCTGTCATATGTAATTATGAAATTCTAACCAAATATAAACTTGAGCTTAACAATTCAATGACATAAATTTGTGCTCTCCCCCCCTCCATCTTCCTACTAGTTTACTTCAAATAAGATTTGGAATTCACACCTCCAGATATAGCCCATCATTTAGATACGCTCCATTCATACATATTGATACCTGAACAGTCATAAGTTTTCCTAATATATATTCTCTAGAGGCTGTGAAGGTAGCAATACATAGAAACAATTTCCCCAAAGATACGTGTTTGGAAGACATGCAGAATAAAAATAATCTAAATTGTGGAAGGCTTGCAAATTTATTAATGACTTATGCAGTAACTTCTTTTTAAAAGCGCTGGGTCAACACTAACAACAAATTAATTAAAGCTCTTTTTTTACACAAATATTTTTTATTACAAATTTTAATTCTTAAGAAATACACATTTTTAAAAATGGCCTTAGTATTTTTTTTTTAAAAAAAATCTTTGGAATCTCCTAGAGAAATATTGTTTTAGACACAAAGGTCCATTCTGCCTTCTTGTAAATACATGCCCAGGTTCTCCTTTGGTCAGTGAGAACCGTTTTCACAATAGTTCGTGAATAACAGAGCAGAATATGGCCTAAATGTAAAAATGCAGCCATAGGGATTTGACGGTGCTTGTTTTCTATACCAGTCTAGAGAATGAAAAATACTCATAAGATTAAGGCCTTTTTAAGTTTTTTAAATCAAGTCATTCAGTGTGTGATTAGTGTTTAAAACCCTGAAAATATTAAATACAGGATAAAAACAGCAAGCTCAAAGTACATGTTTTACTATATTAAACACAATAGCCATGAACCTGGATTTGTCTTTGGCACCATAAAATTTTGGTATTTAAGTGAATGATGAAATAAAACTGATGTTTCACATTAAATATTCTATTCTTTCATAGCTCACGTAAAGGACAACAAATCTGAAAAGAAGAAAACTTATATAAGCTTCATTTTAATAGTGGAACTAGAACCCAAAACCTGATTTGCCTAATTGCTGACATCTATATAAATTACTAAATATATATATATCTATCTATCTATTTCTGACCACATTTGGACCATCTTTATTCCACAGGAAAGTTGTGTTTTTTTCTGCAAAAGCAGGTGCATAGTACCACACAGAGCAGAGAAATATAAATTTATGCATTTGGTTTGGAAGATATGGCTATTTACTCCTTAATCATATTTGGTAATCCCATAACTTTTTTTTTACATTACTATTATTTGTACAGGAACAGTAAGTACATATCAAAGGACCTACCATTTTGGAAAAAGCTAGACAATGGTATAAACAACATTTATATCTGGGAGGGGGGCAAAAATGAATCTAAATATAATAAAAAAAATGTCAAGGGGGAGTCAAACAGTATGTAAGTCACTGCATACCTCCTAGCACCTCTTGATTTTTCTGACTGAGCTGTGGCTTTACACTCAGTACATTATAGCACATAGACTTTTTCTTTCTTTTTTTTTTTCTTAAATAAAAAAGTGCCATTTGGTATGTCGATATGTGAAGCTTATTGTTGTCTTTTTTCTTCTTCAGCAAGTAGAGGACCAATAAAGCAAGGCGTGTTAGTTATGCAAATTCCTATAAGGCACTTTACTGTTTTCTTATTCGACAACAGTGAGGTACACAGGATATATTTCTAGGGTTCATTGCTGTTAAAAAATGAATAGCACCATATTGTGACGTTAGCTGAGACTGGGAGTCATTATGTTCTTCTCATACAGACTTGGCAGCGGCTAACGTGTGTGCGCAGTTCTCCTGCTTTCAAAGTCGATGGAGTAGGCTTCCTGTAATCAAGAAAACAAATAGCACTCAGGAGTCACTTAGCTATCAGGGATTTCAAACATTGGTAAGAATTTAAGTTTCTTTAAAATAACAAGGAATTAGGTGCTTAATTAGGTGCCCGGTGAATAGAGTGCTGGGCTTTGAGTCAACAAGACTCATCTTCCTGAGTTCATCTCTGGCCTCAGACACTTCCTAGCTGTGGGACCCTGGGCAAGTCACTTAACCTTGTTTGCCTCGGTTTCCTCATGTGGAGAAGAAAATGGCAAACCACTCCGGTTACTTTGCTAAAAAAAAAAACCCAAATTGGGTCACAAAGAGTCAGAAATGACTGAAACAACTAAGCAACAGCAAAACAACAAGGAATACAAAATGGATTGTGGTATTGAATGTGGAGTCAGCTGGGTTCAAAATCCACCCCAAAGTCTTACTAGCTATATGACCGTAGGCCAGTTAATTGACCTCTATAGACCTGCCTCCTCATCTGCAAGCTGAGGAAGATTAAATTTGATGGGCTCTAAGCTCCTTTCCAGCTTTGCATGGAAATAATCACTCTCATTATGACAGGCTTGGATTTACAATTTTATTGTTGTTGTTCAGTGGGTCAGTCATATCTGGCTCTTTGTGATGCCCTCGACCACAGCATGCCAATGCTATCCACGGGGTTTTCTTGGCAAAGGTACTGGAGTGGTTTGTCATTTCCTTCTCCATCTTAAAAACACCCACCTCTTTTAGTCTGGCATATACATAATCTGACCCAAACCTGCCTTCCCAACCTTACCTCCCACCATTCACCAAAGTTAATCTTCTGTTCTTGCTGCTGCTCTCTTTATAGTCCCAATTCTTCCCCAATGTTAGGTCTGCTTTTTGTACATGCGTTGCTGGAATAAGCCCTACTTTCCTCTCCACCCATCTAAAAGATCCTTCAAAACCACCTCAATCATCTCCACAATAACTTCCCTGAACAAACACAGCAAACTCTCTTGGTTCTGCAATACCTCGAGCACTTATCTCTGTCATTCGTGGAGAGTCTCATTATAAACTATTTGGCATCATTTAACTTTTCATAGGTATGTGACTTGTCTCCCCAACTAGACTGCAAGGGAGGATTCTTTAGGAAAGGGATCAATCTTATACACAACTCCACGGTAACAGTCAGAGTTCTGGGCACTTAGCAAGTAATCAGTAAACGTCTGAATGAAGTAAAAAACAGGAACTCTGAAGATGGTTTTGCCAAATCATTTTTTGACTGTTTAAAGTTTACATGGCTGGTGGCACATACATCATTCCTGAAATTTCCTACTAATTTTCACAGCTGAAATTAGTACATACTAGAAGCTTGGAAATGGGTCAAATTTCATCAAAACAAAAACCTTTATGTAAGTAAAGTATACAGCCCTAGAATTTTGGCCACCTTGATTTGAGCAATTTTTGAGATGGGCACATTATGGCATACATCAAAAGAATCTAACCAGTCCTTTGGAGCTGATTGTAATAGGCCTTCTTCCAAGAAGGGTTTTCAATTGAGTTATTGCTTCAAGACTGAAGTACTCCAAGGACTTGGTATTTTGTGATTGGAGGTATTCCCTTTCCTGAAATAAAGAAAAACTCCTCTACTAAAATCTCACTCCAACACTTTATCATAAAATAGAAGTGATCTTGGTATGGAAATGACTCTACTACAGTCTTATCCTTCCAATGCTTCATTATAGTGTGGAAGTGACCCTCTAAGGTTACACCAAGTGCTGCACAACTTTTGGCAGGTCCTGCCAAGATGGAGAAGCTTTGAGTATAGGCCTGGTTATGAAACAAATGTTTGCTGTTGAAGGATCAGCTTACCTGAATTTTTTTAGTCATGACAACTTTCAAAATCAGTTATTCTTAACCAAAAAGTTCATATTTTCTGGGCCACAAAAATAATGCCTACTAACATTATAATAGGAAATCTTAGCATTGGGACCCATCGACATGTTTATTGCTTTCATGGGATCCTAGTAAATTTCCATCTCAAATTAACTTGTGCCTTGTTTTAATGGTCCAAAAAAAAAATGCCTGCACAGACTATTAATTAGGCCTGGGTATCAGTGGTTCATTTGCTGAAGGATAATCAGCAGAGTATACTTTACCTTTATGTAAATTCTCTCTGCTCTAGAATGGAAGCAGACAGAAGCATAGCAGGTCTCTATAGACCTTTCTCCCCAAAGCATTACTTTTGGTAAAGGCAGAAAGACTTGTCTCCAGGGGTGAGAAGTATTTATTTCAGGAATGAACAGTAAGTAATTGTTCAATCTCCTTCAGCCTTCTGCCCTGCTTCAGCACAGACTGCAGCTGGTGCTAAATTAAGGATAGAGGGTTCATTATATGCTACTGTCCATCAGTGACTGGGCTGAGCTCCAAATTAATTTCAATGAGGTTATCAGTCACTAGGGAGAGCTGTTGTAGAGGTAAAAATTTTTGGTCCTGAAAATAAAAGTTCTTTTCTCTTTGGCCAAAACATGGTCTATTTGCCCAGAAATTATTTTTTATGGTCATGATTTACAAATATCTCTTGCCAAGTCACTCAGAGGACATAAAACAAAAACCAACCTAAGTTACCCAGGTAATGAAAATCATCATCAAAAATTTTTTCAAGATGTGTGTTAGCTTTTGACTTCATTTTAAAATCTGCAATATTTAAGGGCAGCTAGGTAGTGCAGTGGATAGAGCACCAGCCCCAGAGTCAGGGGAACTGAGTTAAAATCTGGCCTCAGACACATAACACTTACTAGCTATGTGACTCTGGGCAAGTCACTGAACCCCAATTGCCTGGCCAAAAAAAAAAATCTGCAATGTCAGAATATATTCAGGTTTTCTAGATCAATTTCTGACAGATTCATCTAGATAAGAGAGATGATCTACTTCTAGTTTTAATATCTGAACACTGACGAAGTAAGCCTAGTAGGCCCAGGATGTATTTCTGTGATTCACCTGACACAATGATATCCCATATAACAAAAGGAAAAAGCAGCCATCTTCACTATTTTACAACTAACCGGATTATTATTTTGGTATGTATCAATAGGTCCCTGATGATTAATAGTGAAAGAAATAAAAGGAAAGGTCCAGAATCAAGAAAAGTTCATTCCCACTTACTTGAACATTTCATTTCTTTCTATAGTAGCAAGCCAGAAGCTATAAGCGTTTGCATAATAATTACAAGTCCCACGGCCATGGCATTCAATGAAGGGTGCGCTTCTAAATTCTTCTAGACAGGAACCGGGGGATGCTAGGGCCTGGCCAGAACCTTCGGCACCAGCGCTGGTGTGCTGGAAAACAAATTAGAATCACACATCAGAGAGTTGCCTCTCAAATGAATATGGGATTTGTTGTAACTTAGGGAGGGGGAAGGACAGTTACATCAGGAAACTGGTGCCTCTCCTTGTATCATGTGGGGACTACTGAACACATGCTAAACATGAACACCACAACAAAGACTTCACAGGCTTCCATCTTGGACTCATTCCCTCCTTTCCTGGCCACAAAGCTACAAAGTTCAGTGCCTAAGGAATCTGGGTGTGCCTCTCTTTGCATAATCAATGCATTCCTAAAAAATTATGTGAACCAGATTTCTATAAATAGAATCACCTTTTCAATTAAAAAAATCCATAATAATTACTTCTCTAGAATAAAGAATAATTATCCCTTAAAGTTATCTGTTTATTAAGTTTGGATTTTTATCTATCTGGTTAAGAAAGCAAAGTACTAAAAGACAGGGACACATTTATTTTATTTAAGACAATGTTCTCTGATCCTTATTCTACCCCAAACTTTTTCTCCCCCTCATTTATTCCACTGGCTTTTAAAACAGAAAGGAGTAATACATAACCATAAAATTTTAGAGCCAGAAGGGAACCCAGAGAGCATCTACAATAACCCACTCATCCTACAGGTGCTGAAATCAAGTCTCAGAGCCATTAAATGGGTTTGGACTGGAGCTGAGGTCGCTTGACTTCCAGCCTAATTCTATAATTCTATTTCCATTACATTTCACTGCACAGGTGAGGTATAGAAACAAAGAAGAAGAATTGGGTAATTCATGTCATAAGTACCTACTAACTCCAAGCTTCCAAGTTCTTAAGACCAGATTCCTGGCTAAGTATGGTATGCTATCACATTTAGTTTTCTTAGGTCTGAAGCAATATAAGATTAATAGACATAGAAACCTGGCATCCAAGTGGCATAATACCCTTCCTCACGGCATTGTAACTGCCCCTTGTGGACTAAGTCATCTCTCTGAAAAGGCATTTTACTAGAGAGTGGGTGAAGACGACACTGCCATTATAAATCACATAGGGTTTTATGGACCAATATTGTGAAATGGTTAGCTCAGAAGGGTAATTTGACTCCCTGGGCAGACTTAGACTTGTGTTCTGTGAGGCAAAGACTAGTCAGCCCACACCATTTTGGAATGACTTAGCACAAGGCAAAAGGCTAATGCTGTCAGACTCAGCAGTAATTGCTTGTCATATGGAGTGATCTCACAAGGAGTTTATCTCTTCTCCAAATGATTTGTGGCTTATTGAGGTTGTACCAGAGACAGTTTCTATGGCTCAAGAAAACCAATTGTTAAATTTTCAGTGTGACCATTTACACCTCAGAAATCAGCAAATGTTACAAATCAAGACTTGTTTTGTTGTTTCGTTGTTTGTCTAGGCCCAAGAAAGTGATGAAGAAAATGTTAATAATGCAATTAAACTTAAAAGTATGTCATGCATTCTTGAAGAGCTGCTTGTCAGACATTTACTAGCACACTCCTGCTTAAGATCTGCATGTCAAATGAAGTTCAAGAGGTGGGGCTTATGGAAGTAGTTTAATTGCCAAGTAACAGTTGAAAATGAAACACCCTTGATAGTTTTCACATCAAGAGAACTAGAAGAGTATGATCCATGCCTACAAAATGCACCTCAGTGCCATGCACTATCAGAGACAGAATGTTGGATTGGTTGGATCACGGGTCTGGCCCAATATGGCTTTTTAAATTTTCTCCATACAACAGAACAGATGTCCACTGAGTTTACTAGTTTTCAAATTCATTTTCTCCCCACAACGACAAAACCAATTTACCAGAAGCAAACAGTCAGGGTCAGGTTAAATATGAAAAGTATAACATGGTTTTTCATTTATATGATAAGGATCATGACAATCATGCAAATAATAGTAATAATAATATCTAACATTTATATAATACTTACTATGTGCCAGAGGGAAGCTAGGAGGTATAGTAGAGAAAGTATTGGGCCTGGAGTTAGGAAGATTCATCTTCCTGAGTTCAAAACTGTTTTACCCTGGGCAAGTCACTTAACCTTATTTGCCTCAGTTTCCTCATCTGTAGAATGAGCTAGAGAAGGAAATGGCAAACCATCCCAGTATCCTCACCAAGAAAACCCCAAATGGGGTCGCAAAGAGTTGGAAGAAATTGAAAAACAACTTAACAACATGAGCCACGTACTGTAGTAAACACAATATATTTAACTCAACTGATCCTCACAACAACCCTGTGAGATAAATGTTATTATTATTCTTATTAAACAGTTGAGTAAACTGAGGCAAACAGAGGTTAAATAACTTGCTCAGGGTGATACAGCTGGCGATTATCTGAGGCCGGACTTGAACTTGTATCTACGTGACTTCAGCCCTTTACTGTACCATCTGACTGCCCTTATGGTAAAACATGCTTCTTGAACTAAGCCACTTCCCAGGTTAGTCATTTCAGGGCTTCCTCTTGATCACATGGTGGATAAGGAGCCTTATTATTAACTTTTCTGTACCAAATTAGATGACCACAGAGAGTAACCAAGAAAAACTGAAGTTGCCCAGAATTCTGAGGTAATATTAGAAGCCTACACAAGGCCTGGAAAGCTTCAGAATTCATTTCCTTTTTTATCCAGAAAAATCAGTGTTTCAACTTCATAAATTGCAATTGGTTATATCCCCCTTTGAAAATCCCTGGTTGGTGGTATAGACTAAAGAAAGAATCCTAGTTCTCTCTGAAAAAGCGATCCGACCTTGCTTTGAGTCCTTTGGGCATCTTTTCAATGGAAGACCATTCTTGTACTTTAGCCATGTGAATATTCTTCACAAACTCCTCGTCCAGCTTCTAATTGTGATGGGGTGAAGTTATTTCACTTTTTAAACCAACTTTACATTCCATACATTGAAAAAGAAATAACTAATGCTCTGCCCTTTCTCCTTTGAAGACGACACCAGAGGAAGACGCTATTGTGCCACCTAAAACAAATCCCAGGCTGGCATACTTTATAGAAATGACTACTGCTGGTCTTGAAACTGTGGTTAAGTCTGTAATAAGGTAAGCTGCTCACAGATATATAGGCTCATTCTGATCTCCCAACCATCATTATCTCTATACGCTTTTGATTTTGGCAATAATGTTCAAGGCCTTTGTGTAAATGGCAAAAGGACAGAGGAGACTAAAAAAAAAATCCTTTCCTGCATCTCTTCGCACCTCATTTCTACTCACTGAGCTTTTTTTTTTTACATTGACATAGATTCCATTTAGTCTTTATTGTGATAACAAAGTGAAAATTCCAATATTTCATTCAAATGAAAATTATACTTTTTTTTTTTAGCATCAGAATTCCTCCACAGTCTCTTTTGGAACCTTTAGTTTTTCTTGCCAACATTAAGCATTAACATTTTGAATAGAGAAATATATACTATATTTTTGGCAAGGGTATATTAACCATTAAAATCCATGCAATTTTATCCTGTAAAAAAATTCTTAATTCTATTATAGTCAATGTAGTGAATTCTACTGTGTTCAATCTGGGGAAAATGCAAAGAGAACTTTAATATTTAATTATTTGGACAACTTCTAAAAACACTGACAAGAAAAAATAATTAGTATAGGGTCACTTCCTCTTTCAGTCTAACAACCACCTGATAAAAGGGCTGGGCTCATTGGGACAATATAATTCCACAACCTATAAAATGTCACCACATATAGGGCAGGAAGAGATGATTGCCAAGGACCCAAGACAGGAAAGGCATTTGTGTAGAAAGTAAATTGTTCATCCCAACTTTTCAGGGGGGAGGTCAGCAAATATCAAAGTAAAGTTGGCCTGAAGAATTCAAGGATTTTATAGATTGAGGTAAATGTGTTCTGGATTAAGACTAAAAGAGACTGAAAATAGGAACAATGAAATAAGTGGGGCCACAATAAAAAAAATTTCTCCATTTAGAGTTTTTTAAAAAGCAAAAGCCAAGCAAAACAAGTCAAACAAAACTCAACTGATTCTTAAGAGTATGCCCAAAGCAGGCAGACCTTCTTGGGGAAAAGATGGTTCCATTCTTGTCTTTGTTCCATTGGTATCTTGTGTGATGCCTGGCACACAGCAGGCAATTAGTAAAGGTTTATTGAATTACTCTAGTGGTTTTGATATCATAAATAATTAAAGAGAAAAGCCAGTCAGTCATTCCTAGGAGGTATAAAGTCCAGCTATCGAATGACAATCAAGGAGAAATTGGACCCAAAATAAACCTCACTGAAAGACCCTCTCCGCAACTAGATGCACTAAAATTTTCCCCAACTCACTCAAATTTTTTACTAGTAAGCAGCTGTGTGTCATATTAAAACTTATATATCTCCACATATTCCTTTATCCTCTTTCCCCCGAGGGAAAAAAAAAACCACAAATGCAAACAGGTTTTTAGCTCCTTAGGAAAACTTATCACTTTGCTTATGCTGGAAACAATTCAGTTGAACAGTTGAGGGCTGCAATTGGAAGGTGTGTAAATGTTTCTTCCATTTTCCAGAAAGGTGTTACAGCTGTCTACTCCAGTCCTGAACCTCCAAAGGTAAAAGGAACGTCTCAGGTTCAGAGACCTCATGTCTTGAGCAAGCAAACAATGAGTGCCCAAATGCAGAGTGGATAAAAGCCTGCAGTGCCTTGAGAAAATACAACTAGCAATGAGGGAAATGAGGAGTGGGTGATTCATTTGTTTTCATATCTGGAGCACTCAGTGACCAAAATCTTACAGCACTGAAAACAAAAGTGTTGTTACGTGTGGATGGATAGTGGGCCAACATAGAAGGAAAGATATAATTCTCTGTGCCACTTACCATAACAAAAGAATAGCCAATCCAAAGGGATGACCATCCATTAGGGCACTGTGGTATTTGGATTGTTTGGCTGTGGACTGCCATCACCATGGCAGGAGCCTCACATACAGCACACCTGTGAAAATGAGGGACAAAAAAAATCAATACAGTTGATACAAATAGCTCCTGCCTGTAGAATTCCTCATTTATTTTAGAACTGAATGGAATTTCACAGGCCATCAAGCCCAACCCCTACCCAAAGCTCGAATGCCATCTACAATGCAAGAAGTAGCTACATTTTTCAAATTCACACTATTCAAAGCTTTAATTACATAATATATGGTAACTGGTTCTAGCTCAATGTAAGGATGCAGTGTGAATTGGAATAATTCAACTGTTTGAAGGCAATTCATTATTTGTACTAATTGGGACCTAGCTGCACTCCCTAGAGGCCGTTTGTAAACTTCCAGGGATGGAGATTTCACTATATCCTATTCCTGGAAGTCTTTACTTATAGTTTATTGAATCATGTTATATCCATCAATGGCCATGCCATGACTACTTTTACAAATACATGCCACTTATCTTTCAAAAATGAAACCAACTGTCTTCAGGCAACTTATTATAAATATGTATTTTGCACCAGACCCTGATGGTTTGTACAATCTTTCTTCAAGATAGCAAGGGAAGAATATTTTAAACCTGAGCATCCTCCTATGATAGGGAAAAAAAAAACACCTTGACACCATGACTCAGGAAGACTATTGTAACTGAATTAAAGTTATCAAGGGGGAGTGGTGGGAAGGGTGTACAGACCAGCCTCTCAAACCACTGAGGGACTTAAAAATTTCTCAAGTTCAAACCTTAAAATACACACAGGAATAAATAAAAGCATATGTGGTCCTCAGGTTTGCTCAAATCTAAAATATTGTATTTATACAAAAATATTCTCATTTGGGAAAGTGAAGTATATTTGTAAAGGTTGGTTTAAAAAATTTTGGTTTTGAAAAAAATTGAACACCAACATTAAAGTAATTGCATTCAAGTCACAAATTGAACAAGATGTTAACAAAGCTGATAAATGAATATAAATGTTGCTAATAATTATACCTAGTTGTGCTAGAACATTTGCATGAAAATGCATGAAGAGTAGGTGGAGAACTTGAATTAGTCATTTGATTTTCAGTGGACTTTTGTGTCTGTATGTGTGTGCCATTTTCTGTTTTATTCACACAAATGCAGATGAATTAAAAGGTTTCATGAAATTGGCCTTATACAGCTGCTGCCATCTGCTTGCCAAACAGAAAACAAGAATACTGCTGGAGAGGGACAGTGCCTATATTATGTGTTTTCCTCAGTAATAAAGAAGTTGTCTGGGGAGCAGTTTTAGTCGACAAGTTGGACAGCTTGGAAGAGATGATGAAATCATAGAATTCTAGAACTAGAAGAGGTTGCGATTTAATATGGGACCTGCACAGGCAATGCCACCCATGTAGACTGCCAACTCATCTGTAAGTTATAGTGTTAGAGAGCTGCTTGGGGTTACTGAAGCGTTAAGTGACTTCCCAATGGTCATAAGATAGTGTGTATCAGACACAGGACTAGAACCTAGGTTTTCTTGACTCTGAGGCTAGGCCTCTCTAGCCATTATAACATGCTGCCTCTTGGAAGGGATCTTACTGATATGGCCCCATAACATTACCTCATGTACCTGAACCAGTTAAAAACTGTAATTGGGAAATCTTTAACAAAGTAAATAAAACACAAGAGAATAAAAATAATATTAATATGTGGTTTTCTAAGTCAATAAGAAGCCCGCAGGAATCCTTATGTAAGGTTAAGTGGCTCTCATTTCCATCTGAGTGTGACTGATTTAACCCAGCCACTTTCTTTTATACATAAGGAAACCAAGACTTATTTTAATTTATCCAGGGTAGCACTACAACTAGAGCAATTTTTCCGTGCTTCTTAGTGTAGTGCCCTTTCCATTTAGCACCATTACATAGTCACTAATTTTCTGAAGATTTTCAATGAAATATTATTCCAAAGGATAGGGTTTGGCTACGTCAACTCCAAGCAAAAAATAAGCAAAACCAAAAGCAAACTTAAGATTACATTTTCTTTGTTTGTGTGTATAGAATTCTGGCCTTTATTTATATAAAGGTAATTCTCCCTTTGGGCATTTGGACTCACAAGGTAATCTTGTGAGAATGGAAAAGCCCTGGCTGATCTTTTTAGAATGGAAACTCCATGAAGGCAGGGACTGTTTCATCTTTGTCTCTGTACCCCAAGAGCTTAGCACATGTTGTTGCTGTTGAGTCATGCTTGACCACCCAATATGGGGTTTTCTTAGAGCGGTTTGCCATTTACTTCTCCAGTGGATTAAGCAAAGAGAGCTTAAGTGACTTGCCCAAGGTCACACAGCTATTACGTATCTGTGGCTGGATTTGAACTCAGGTCTTCCTGGCTCCAGATCTAGCATTCTATCCACTGAACCACCTAGCTGCCTCTATTAGCACAGAGTATGAGCTTAAGAAGTACTTGCTAAATGGAATAATTGATATTAATCCTGAAACACTGTTAGATAAAAATTTGAAAACTATAACGAGTAAGAGGTAAGTAGAAACTAACAGCTATGCTTACTACATGGAGAAATAATGCATTTGTTTGAATTAGGAATTCTGGTCACCTGTTGTGTCTATAAAGTGTCAACCTTTAGAATGACTCATAGAACTAGGCAATCAGAACACTCTAAAAGAAAATACCACAGAAGACATGAGGTCTTAGCACATTTAAATAATATCTAAGATGTATATTAGTACTACATATGTTATATGTATAATATATAAACATATGTATACATATATGCATATGTCTATATGTAAAGATGGATGAATGGACACATTGATGGATGGACAATTCATAAATGATGTGAGAATCACTGAAAATAAATAAAAGATATTTTTAGGATAGGGACTATGTCCTTCTTATCTCTGTATCTCTCCCCAGGCCTAGCACAGTTCACCACACAAAGAGGGTGTTTAATACATTATTTTTTAAAAATAGGTGTTGTTGAATTAACAACATACTGTTGTTTGAGAAACCCATAGAAAATGAGGCATTTAACAATTTCATCTTCTTTGAAGGAAGGAGCTTTACCTCCTAAAATTCTCATGGCTGGGGTTCACCTATCAAAACTATGACTCCACTTGGGCCTTTATTAAATAGGTATTGCTATAAAGAAGATTGACATAATAGAGTTCTGGGTTTGGAATTGGGTTCAAATTCAACCTTTGATACTTCATAGCTATATGACCTTGAGGAAGTCACTTAATTTCTAATGTGCCTCCAACACTTCCCGAGAAATAATCTACTAAGCCATTGATAGTTGTTGAGGCAGTATTCACAATGGTGAAGTGTGTTACTATGCCAGGAGTACCCCAAGGTGATGAAGTAAGAGACCACATATTTGCATAACGATAATAGGGTTTTTTTTAACATTACTATTGAAGAAAAATAACATTTAAATTAGTATCAGGTTTGTTTCTAGTGAAACAGGGATGTTTCTGAGTATGAGAAGCTTCTAGAACTAGGGTAGTAAATAGATACTGACCTAAAATGCACAGTATTAGAGAAATGAAACAGAGACCAGGAAGGTTGCTTCTTTCATATTTTGAGTGTCATATACCTCATTCTTTTGCTATTTTCTGAGACTGAGAAAACTGATTCCTTCAAAGTATAACAAAAAATGAGAAATGGAGTTGGATAAAAAACTAAAAAATATTTCATTACATAATATATTCATATCTATCACCTGTTAGAAAAAAAAGCTTACTAGCTATTATGTGTTTCATGATTTATTGGAAAATGTTTCCCCTTTTCTTTCCTTTCCACAATACAGCATGACTATAGCTTTTTTTCTTGAAATGTGATCTGCATCTGACTTGTCTCCAAGAACTATCAATCCACTGACACCATAAATTGACCATATTCTAAAAGGTGCCAATCAGGGGTGCTCCTCTATGTCACTTAGAGATGCTATTTGATGGTGACCCCAAGCTGCTTCTTTTCACTCACTCTGAATAGATAGCTTTAAATGAACCTCTGATACTACCCTATAATTTACCTCAAGAAGCTAATCATCACTTAGAAATTAAAAAAAAAAAAGTTGGCCATTTTCCCTCTCCTTCGATACCCTCTTATTGACTTCTACCTTTATTTCCTCAATATGAGAAAAATGCAAGTTGCTCATTTGTTGCTTGGCCAAATTGGTTTACAGGTTTTCAGTGAACTCTTACTAGTGCTAGGAGTCAACATTTAATTTGAAGGAAAGGAAGAAGAAACTCTGACCCAGATCCTTTTTATGTAGAATTTCAAACCTGGGAAACTATTATGGATTCTGAGGTATATTGCCAAAAAAAACCCCTGTACTGTGCAATCATTAAACATAGAACCAGAATAGGATTATCTTTGTGGAGATTTCTTGAAGATGTTTTAATTATAAGAATATGACCAATCAGGCTGAAGTAGGCAGTATTCAGCTCTTTTACTAGAGCTAAGAATTGAAAGAAAGTTCTAAAATAAGAATTCCAGTCCAGAACTTTGTCTCTAATTTGTCTTCAGAATTTGACTTATGCTGAACACAGGGGTAGGGATAGGAGAACTCCCAGATGAGGAAATTCCTTCTTATCAAGCAAGGTAGGTACCTTCTCCAAAATTTACCCAAAGTCTTAAAGGGTTGCACAGAGCACTGAGAGGTTAAGTGATTTAGCCACGGTCACACAGCTAGCATGTGTCAAAGACTTCTATCTCTAACACTCCATCCAGTATGCTACTGCTGCCTCTGTTCTGTATCTTATTTATTAAAAATTAAATAAAGAGAGAAATAAAGAGGTTTGTGGACAAAATGATTCGAGTCAACACCCACATAATGATGTTTTCATAACCAAAAATCCAACACTAAGTCCTGACATCCAGCAAACTATATAGCAAAGAGTTAAGCCCTTTACCAAACAGAAAGTTCCCTCTTGCCCCAAGCCAGAGAAAAATCTGCAACTTCATTTTTTTCATACTGAATCATCAAACACTCTACCCACCTACTAATAAATGGCCTAATATTTTCACCAGAAATAGGTGCCATTGACATTGGCATGGGCTCAGGAGTAGACAGCCAATAGGAGTAGTCATTTCTAGATGCAAAGTTGCAAACATTGTTAATATTGCAGAAAAGGAATGGCATGGTACTGAATTTGCGTAGACAACTTCCAGCTGTACCTAGATGGGTAAAGAAAAAAACAATATAAGTTTAAGAAAAAAAATAAGAGAAATGCTTAAACTTGTCTATTTCAAGCTCCTCAGTGAAAAGATTTGTGTGGATAAGGAAATGGACTACCTGTCCTAACCCGTGATTCTTAGGGAACATGTCAAGTTTCTTTTTCTTTTTTTTTTTTCCTTTCTTAAGCCTTTTCACTGTTGTTCCCAAAGTGGATAACACCCCCTGGGGGACGCTGGAATGATCCTGGGGGGTGGTAGTAATTCGAAATGATGCAAATTAAAAAAAAATGCTAAAGGATTAAAGAAAGTAGATTTTCAGGGGGGCTCTGAGTAATTTTATTTTTGAAAAGGGGGCAGTAAGCCAGATAAGTTTGGGAACTCCTGGTTGTTGACTTCTGCACTTTTTAACTTTGCATTTTTGAGTAAAGTACTTAGAAAACTGTAATGCACTTTATAAATGGAAACTATTCTCATAACGAGTAAAAGTAGTTTTAAATCTTCTTCAATAATCATCCCATTACTAAAATACAATATAGCAAGATAATCACAGCCTCCAAAGTGTGAAGTTGAGTTAACATACATAAAGTTCTATGTAAACCTATGTAAATGCTCATTATTATCATTATCATTATTAACCGTAGGATCATAAATTTAGAGCAAGAGGGGAACTTCAATCTCCTGCAATTAAATCTAAACCCCTAATTTTACAGATGAAAAAACTGAGTCTGTGAGAGGTGACTTGCCCAGATTCACACAGCTAATCGATGTCTGATGCAGGATTCAGGCTCTGGTCTTCCTAACTTTGTATCCAGCACTGTATCCAACATGCTGCCTAGAAGCCTTTGATGATGTTAATCATCAAATAGACAGGAGTCATATTTATGCTGACACTGTTGAATTAGTCAGCAATCTTTCACGGAGAATTTTTTTAAAATTTGTTTCTTCCAGGAACTTTTCCTATATACATGATTTTTAGCTCATGTTGCGCTTTAGTATATCAGACATATCAAATACAGACGAAGGCAATCTGCCGTCTGTCTGTCTATCTATCTATCTATCTATCTATGTATCTATCTATCTATCTATCTATCTATCTATCTATCTATCCATCCATCCATCTATTCATCTCTGTAAAACCTTTATAGTATCAGTAGTCAATAAAGAATTCTTTAATAATAGGAAGTGTCTTCTTAATCACATCCTCGTTATACTCTCTCTAAACATTTGAAGCAACCTTATTCCACATATCTACAAATATAAGTAAAAGGAATTCTGAAACTAGATTTTTAAAAATTTACCAATATTAAACTGCTTTTTACTTTTTGGAATTTTTTTTTAATGCCTATTAATGTCTTACCCAAGTCCTGGCCATGTGCTCGTTCATTCCCTTGCACGTAGAGCAAAGAATAGCCATGGTAGATTATTTTCGTCCCAGGGGGACACTGTGGATCATCTATGGTTTGACTATGCCTGGTAACAAGGAATCCATGATCTACAGAGGGAGTACCCGGAGGACCCATTGAACCTGGCAGCCCATCTGGACCTGGTGGACCAGGATGTCCTTTTGGACCTGTAGGAAAGAACCAAAAAAAAAATCATTCCATTTTCCTTTCACTGACTATGGCCCAACCCTTATGAAAGAGATGTATCAGACTTACACATGTTGTCACCAAGCATGTCTTTAACACTTAGTTTGTACTTTTTAGTACATTGCAAAGAGCAAGCTATAACCTCTTTAAGCTATTTTTATTAGAACATCTGACACTTCAGCCACCATTCTCTACAAAGTTGAATTCTTGAATTTCATCCAAGGGGCCTTGTTACTGAATGCCAAAAGCATCTCTTTTTGGTCAAGGAAAAAGAGGCAGAGCGTTATAGTGGAATGAGCCCTGGGCAAAGGTATGTGCATTCTGACTCTGCTACTTACCAACCAAGACACATACACAAGTGGTTTTGCCCCTCTGAGACCTAGCTTACACTTTTGTAAAATGAAGTTAATAACAACTACATTAGCTATCCCACAGGATTGTTTAGAGGAAAGAAACTGAGAAGCATCATCAGTGCACAGTAGAGAAGAAAATACACTGGACATAGAATCAGAAAACCTGATTACCGTTGCCAGCTCTGTCATATATATGGGCAAATCACTTAACTTCTCTGAGGTAGCCTCAGTTTTCTCATTTATAAAATGGAAGTAACAATACTTGACCTACCACAACCTCCAAAGGAGCTTGTGTTCGGTAAAGCACTATGTAAATATGAGCTATTATTAAGGCAAATTTGCCTACTACTTCCTGATTTTATTCCCTCCAGGAACTTGCTCCATGAATTATTACTCCTCTCTCTTGAATCATCATGGAATTTCCCTAAATTGGATTCTTCTCCCTGGCTAAAAGCATCATTTAAAAACAAACTTTCCTCAATTCTATGATCTCTTAAACTGCCATCCTCTCTCCTTCCTTTCAGAAATGAACTTTTTCCAAAGAAGTACTTCTCTTTCATTACCACCTAAGCACTCCTTAACGTCTTGCAACTGGGCATCTACCTTCTCCAAGTTACTGTGATCATTCTCAAATCTCTTACTCAGAAAAACACAAAATCTCTTTTCAATCTTCATTTTCCTTTGACAACAGTGATTAGTCCTTAAAAACTTATTTTGTCTTTCATGAGATTACATTATCCACTGCCTCTTTACCAAGTACTTTATCTTATTTCTGAATGTAGACATACCCTAAGACGGTTCTTAACACACTCTCCTTCTGCGATCTCATGTTGTTAAAACACCTCAGCCACCAAATCTACTTAAGTAACTCCAAAATCCATCCTTATATCTGAATCCTTTCACCCAAGTTCCAGTCCTGTACTGACCACTGGATATCTCACTGGCACTTCAAATATAACCTGAACAAAACCCAATCATTTCCTCCTCAATACTTCCCTATGGCTCCTAATGGCAAAATAATTCTCCCTATAACTGAGGCCTGAAATCTTTAACCATTCCCATTTCCCTTTATTTGCAAAATCAATTATTTGTGAAAGTCTTTTAATTTGTATACATTCAATATCTCCCATATTTATCACCTTCATCCCAATCCCTATTGCCACTATCAAAGTCTAGGATTTAATTAATTAGATTTATTTATTTTAATTCAATTAAATCATTTATTTAATAAATAATAAATAATTTACTTATTTAATTATCTCTCAACTAGATCAACCCAAATAGTCCAACTCCTTGTTCCTAGCCATCCCCACTCTTAATTCATTTTATGTAGCAATGGGATATTAAACTAAAATTTCCTAGAGTACAGCTTTGATCTTGTTACTCATTATTCAACAATCTGCAATGGTTCTTCATTGCTTACAGAATAAAACCCAAAATCTTTAGCCTGGCTTTCAAAGCCTTCCAAAATATGCCTCACTTAAACTACATTTCTATCCTTATCTCCTACAATTCCTTTACACATAACCTACATTCCAGCCAAACTGAAGCACTGTTCATTCTCTGTCCAGCCTGCAGTTTTGTTTGTTCTGTTTTGTTTTTATTTTGTTTAGTTTTTGGTTTTTTGCTCTTTTTGTGAATGATGCTCCCTAATCCTAGGATGTTATTCTTTTACTGCCTGCTTATCAAAATTCTACCCATTCTTTAAGAACTCAGATCCTCACCACAAGGTATGATCTCACCCTTTTCTGAGCAACAATAGCCATTTATTTGTACCTCTCTTACTGTGCTTAACCATATTCTGATTTTTATTCTAGTTCTGTGTACTTTTCTTATGGCCTCTTTAAACTATAATCTCCATGAGGCCAGAGACAAAATCTCATTCATCTTTATATCCAGAAAACACCAGCAGACTATGCACTCAATAAAGAATTGCTGAATTGAATATTTCCTGTCCAGCATGGTCCCAATTGAAGACAGGGTAACAGCACAAGTCTAGGACAGCTGTTGCTATTATCATCTCTAACACTTGGACATCAATCAAACTTTTTTGACAGAAGTCTGCCATGTGGTAAACTTCAAAATCAGTTTTTTTTCTTTGGTTCTCTATCTAATTTAAGATCAATAAGCCTTAAGGTCCCTTTCTTTGTATTCTCACCAGCACAGTATAATTCAGTGTTATTTCTGTTTCCTAAAGAATTCAGATCATGTTTCTAAATTGATATGAAATGACATTTTAGCTAATTATGACATTAATACGCCTGTTCTCTGCTTTTTTTCCCTTTCTATAATTGAAACAGATTTTTTATAGTAAGGAAAATTTACTGAGAGTACAGGACTGTAGCTATGTTCTTCCTCTATAGAGAATTTGTATCTATCTCTTGGTATTATTCCTTCCCTCTCAAATATCAACAAGTTATGCATTTGAAAAACTTCACAGAAACTAAAAACTCTTTTCAAAGGCCTTCCACTTTTAAAGGTTATATATTCACACACACACACACACACACACACACACACACACACACACACACACACACCTTTTTCTAAGACTCTTTTTTGAATTTTCCATTTCTGTTTTCTTTCAACTAAGTTAATTTTTTAAGTTCTAGTGTATGCTGAAACAGAAGTAACACTGAAATATACTGTGCTAGTAGGAATACAAACAAAGGGATCTTAAGGCTTATTGATCTTAAATTAGAAGAAAACAAACCAAAACTGGTTATAGTCTTTCCTGAACTCTGTATCCAGACTCCTCCCCCATCCTTGACTGCTGCCTTGCCATCTTGGAGAGATCTTCATTCTAAAGCCCTCCTCTCCTGACTGGTGACTCCTTCCCTAGTACCCCCATTTTGGGAAGGACCCTAACCATGTTTCACTTCACTAACACATGTACTCTCTCTCCAGATTCTTTGTCCTGGCCATCCTGGAGAAACCTCTGCCCTGAGGCCCTACTCCCCTGGTTGGTGGCTGCTTTCCCAAGACCCCCGACATTTCCTTCTCCTTCTCTCCTTCCCTCCAGGTGCTCTTTATGTATGACCTTCCCCTATTAGGATGTAAAATCCATGAGTAGGGCTTATGTTGCTTACTTATTTTGTATCTCCAGCACAAGGCACAGTGGTTGGCACATAGTAAATAGTTAATGAATGTTCTATCTATTGTTTTATCAACCTATCTATACTGTTCTACCAACTTTGTAACTAAAGGTTTATATTGTAATACATCAGTATACCTACCAGGAGGACCAAAAGGGCCTGGTTCTCCTTTTTGCCCAGGTGCACCATCAAACCCTGGGTTACCAGGTGGTCCAGGAATACCTGCAGATCCCGTTACACCTAAATTGAGGGGGGAAAAGCAAACACATGACTAAGTCATATATCTTTCCTTTGCTGAAGTAGCATAGATCATTATTCCATTGTGAAATGTCTGGCCCCAGATCTTTCCCCTTTCAGGGTGTCATGTATAAGGTCAAAATTGACTTGAAATTCCACCTACCAATTTTCCTTTCTTAACAGAATATTTGCTCCAACCAGAGTCAATCAACAACAGTAGCACTGACATCAGGAACAGTAACAATAATAGCCAGAATCTAAAGTTTATAAAACTCTTTACATGCTTTATTTCGTTTGTTCCATGCAGAGTATTTCCACACAGCATGGAGGGTTCATTCTGAGATAGGCGGCTACTGAAAGTAAAGGTGGAAGGAAAGATTTCTGGAGATTGTTAACATTCCATTTAGGCAGCCTTTAGCAAAATGGTGTCCTGAAGGTTTGACTCTTCCTCCCTTGGCGTACAAGAGGAAGGAGTGGAAATTTTGCTGACTAGGAACTCCCCCTGTATTCGTATAGATTATTAACTACCTCCCCAAGACTCCTTAACTCTGCCTTCCTCCTACTTTTGCTTTCTATCTCCCCTCTAAATGTTTTCTTCTCTCTCGAGAACATAAACTCCTCGAGAGCAGGAACTGTCTTACTTGTTCTGTTTCTATTCACAGTGCTTAAACACTGCCTGGCCCTTAGTAAGCACTTAATAAATTCCAGATCACTCCTTTTTCCTTCCTTCCTTCCTTCCTTCCTTCCTTCCTTCCTTCCTTCCTTCCTTCTTTCTTTCTTTCTCTCTTTCTTCTTTCTTTCTCTCTCTCTCTCTCTCTCTCTCTCTCTCTCTCTCTCTCTCTCTCTCTCTCTCTCTCTCTCTCTCTCTCTTTCTCTCTCTTTCTTCCTTCCTTTCTTTCCCTTTCTCTTACCTTGATCTATCATTAAAATGTGAAATATATATCTAAAATGAGATTGGGGAAAGGGTGGCATAAATTCTCTGGGTGTGCAGTGATGAGGAACAAAACTCACACATTGGTAGCAGTCATTATGGCTTCTAGACAATATCTGAGGAACACTAATTCCACCTATGAATAATTTGGTAATGGAGTTAAATAACTTCTTTTATCTCTTTTTCTGATCAGAAGGTGGTCAATTTGAATTGGCTTCCCTTTTCCTACAGTCTGGATCCAAAGGGATTCCCCTGGAAAACTTTGGTTTGTCTAAATAGAAATTCAGAATTGAAAGGAAAATCTATATCCAATTGGTCATTTTGACAATGCACAGTTTTGTTTTTATAGGCATTGGCTATAAAACTAAAGTCATGGAGCAGGATGCACAAATGGATACACACATACTCCCCAATATTACAAACACACACACACACACATTTCCTACCTTGTTGTCCTTTAGGACCTGGAGGGCCTGGAAGACCTTTAAGCCCTGCTGGCCCCTCAGGACCAGGGATACCTGGCTCTCCTTTGATTAGGCTGTAAGGACCCGGGGGACCAGGTGGTCCTGGAAGACCTGGAAGTATTAATAGTACAGTGAGAGATGTTTAACTGTGGAGCCTACCTACAAAAATGTTGGGGTCAAATATAGCACAAGTATAATGATTTTTTCAAAACCTTAAAATTAGTTCTTCTAGAACTCAGATATTAAACCTGTACTGTCTCCTTCATTCTGACCTCTATTTTTGAGCTTCATATCAGACAGGGTTTGGAGGGAATTTTAAGGTAATCTAGTCCAATTTCCCACAAACGAAAGAACCTCTTCGATAATATCCTTGAGAAGTGGTCGTAGGCTTCGATTTAAACATTTGCAGTAGTGGAAAGCAAATTTACAAGGCAACCCATTCCAAATCTAAACAATCTAATTGTTACAAAGTTCTTCATTGTATTAAGTTGAAGTTGCTTATGCTCTTCCCAAGTCAGCCTCTTCTAGCTACACAGATTACCTAATCTTTGATCCATATTACAGTCATTAAAATAACTAAAAGCACCTATTACAAACCTTCTCAAGTCTTCTCTTCTTGAGGCCATACAGCCTCAATTCCTTCATCTATTCCTCATGAAAGCTTCTAGATTTTTCACCATTCTAATTGTCTTTCTCTAAATAGCTCCAATTTGCCAATGCCCTTTTTAAAAATGTCATGCTCAAAATTGAAAACAATGCTCTAGATGCAAGGGGACTATTATCTCTCTTGATTTGGATATGACATTTCTTCTTAAGTTTCAAGTTTAGCTTCTTTTGGTAGCTATGTCATATTGCTGACTTGAAGTCAATGAAAATTAGGTCACTTTCTTATGAAATTTTCATTTACTTGTACAGATGATTTCTTAAACCTAAGAACAGAACTTTACAAGTATTACTATTTAGTTTTATCCTGTTTGTTCTGGACCAGAATTCTAGCCTTATCACAATTTTAACCTTGATTTTGTCATGTCATGTTAGCCAATCTTCACAACTTTTTGTCAGTTGCAAATTTAACAAATATTTTCTCTGTGTCTCTTTCAAATTATTTATAAAAATGCTGAACAGCAGAGACCCAGAAATAGAATCCTTCCACATACCACATGGAGATCTGCTGATTAAGTCTTTATAACGGTTTTGTAGCTGTTGTTCTCAAGTAATTTCCTTCATTTGTTCTTTATTTTGCCACTTAAATATAAATTCCCTAATAGGAAAAGCCCATATCTTCAGTTTCCTTTGTAGTCCTACACAACGCCCAAGACAGACCCTTAGTAAACGCTGGACTCATGACAAATGTCCTTACCTTTTGAGCCTGGGAATCCCTGATCTCCTTGATCTCCTTTGAGTCCCTGAAGGCCAGTAGAACCTTTGGCACCTAGAAAGCAAAGAAAAAATATTGATGTACAAAAGAAAGTCTTCTTTCCAACTTCCCAACATGAAAAGGGTAATCCTTTCTACCCTAATGCCTCTTCATGGTATGGGAGCAACCTTGGGTCATCAAAGGCTACATAAGGAGGCCACAAGCTCTTCTAGCAGGCTCTACCCTACATGAAAGCCTTCAGATGTATTCCTGGTGATGAGATGTGCCTTCTGACTGAGACCTACCATAGCTAAGTATGACAACACACGTTTTAAAGGCGGAAGGAACCTTAAAGATCATTGAGTTCTACTTGGTTATATTATAGATGAGGAAACTGAGGCCAAGAACCTTTTAAGTGCTAGCCCAAGATAATATAACTAGCCTGTAAAAGGCAGAATCAAGATATGAACTTAGGTCATTTTTTATTCCAAATCCAATATTTTTTACTTTATAGCTGTAGGCTGGCTATCAGGCTAGGATGAGTTCTTTGGCTAGAAATAATAAATAATGTTATGAATGGTAAAAATAAGTAATAAATAATGCTATTTGCACCCTAAGGCAGCTAGGTGGCACAATGGAGAGAGTGCTGGGCCTGAAGTCTGGAAAAAATTTCTAAGTTCAAATCCGGCCTTAGACACTTACTAGCTCAGCAACCCTGGCCAAGTCACTAAACACTGTTTGCCTCAGTTTCCTCATCTGTAAAAGGAGCTAAAGAAGGAAATGACAAACCACTCCAGTATCTTTGCCAAGGAAACCTCAAATGGGGTCATGAAGAATCAAACATGATTGAAACAACTAACAACACTTGTGGCCTGAGTTTCTGCAAATGAATTTCTGAATTTTATCTATTTTGAAATATGTATTGGCTTAATGAAACACTGGCACTTTATTTTTGAGCATGTGCAGTATGATGACTATCTAGAATTCTGTTCAATTTTTAAGACTAAGGAAAATTCAAGGCACATATTTATTATGCTATTACTTTTTAATCTTCACAAATCAGAAGAAAATATTATGAACTCTTTGGCTCCCACAATAAACCATTCTTAATTAGAATCAGAAAATATAATTTTGAAAATAATATAATAAGATTCTAAAAGGTTTCAGTCTAATGGAAACATCTTCACTCACATTGAGGTATAAGTGTAACAAGATACGGCCCTGATGACGAGCAAAGAAATATGGCAACCTTTGGCTACCACAACACATGACCCTTTGTACTAAAAATAAATAAGTAAATAAAATTGTAGAACAAGTCACCTAGTTCTTATGCTATAAATCTGCAAGTGTTACTTATTGCTAATTTAACTATGCCTGGGAAAACTTGTACAAATTGAAACAGAATATTCTTCGACTGTTACTTACCTTGAAATCCTGGAACACCTGGAGGTCCCATATCACCCTTAGAACCTGTGATTCCTGGTGTACCACCAATACCCTTAGGGAAAAAGATGGAAGCAGTCATTGGGCAGGAGTTACCTGGCAAAGTTGCAACAGGTTGCAGTAGGTTATATTGGCAAATAACCTACCAGAATCAGGAGGCTGATTTTTTTGCTTCCAAAATTCAAATTCAGTATTGTCTCTAAAACTAAGTTTCAAATGTTATTTGGAAAACAGTATTTTGGAAGAGATGAAGAAAAGAAAGGAGGATGATGTAAAAAGGTCGTCTTCTTTTTTTAAATGAATATCATGAATTTTAAAATACTGTCTCACTTTCTAGCTATTTCAATATTCTATTTCCAGGTCATGGATAATAACGTATGAAAAAATTTGTTGCTTCTTACACAGATTTGTTTCTCTCCTTTGCCTTTATAGAAAAATGCTGTAACAAAAATAATATGCAAAAAGATTCCTTAATATTTGTTGGCAGACTCTGCTGGATGATAATTATATTTGTATGTTACAGATAGAAGAAAAGCAGGAATATATGAATAACTGACAAATTACACACACTTACATCACTAGGCAACTGTAATACAATAATAACCAGCCTATAAATATATTCACACATACTGCAATCTCACAATACATATTCAACATATAGTGAAAAATATATAAGCTTTATAATAACAGGAACAAATTTAAAGTGGTTATTGCAACTGCAGGTAGCCAAAGCTGCTGAAATGCCCAAATTATTCATAAGTCGTTTATCTGGTACTGATCCATTGGAAAAATGCCAACATTTTTTGAGCGGGTAGTACATGAAGATTAGGAATTCTTATTCAATAATCTAACATCTCCCCTAGACATTGAACTTAAAATTTGCTATTGACAAACTATGGTTAATAATGCTTTGTATTTTCTTACTACATTGCATCATGCTTATAGTTTAATATAACTGGATACAAGTCTTACTCCAAAATGCCTCATCATGGCAGGGAAAAAAACTCGAATGCTTGAAAGCTATGCCAGCAAGACACAAGAAGGTTCAAAGAAACTGTAAAGATGGTGGTTCCAAGACTATGTCTGTAGTACAAATAACAGACTAAGTATGGAAAAGCTCATTACCTATAGGCTGGCCAATAAATAATAAATTCTTTGTTCATGAAACAAAGATGGAAGTCTAAATGAAACAAATTTTTCTTTTGGTCTCTATAATATTTACATGTAGACATATGTGTGTGTGTGTGAAATGTGCATACCTACATATTATCTGTGAGCCAAAAGTCATACTATGAGTCATTAAGCCATTGATTTGAATAGACTATCAAACCATACCTCCCATAACCACCACCTTGAGTGAATGTGATTTACTGAGGTGTCTGAATACTACAAATGCCAGCCCCTCCCCCAAAAGGTAATTTGTTATTATAACAGGCTAAGCAACATATGTAGTCGTTAGTGATTTGTATATTAATGAATACAAAATTCCTACCACTTGACATGTGTTGACCCTGAGGTCTTTCCTGAAGTTTTGTTTAAGTCAAGATAGATTTTATCTCTTATCCTTTCTCCTATGTGCCTGACATGTCAGACTATAATAGGAGCTAACTAGAAAATATCAGTTTTACAGAATTAGTTCTTTATTTATCTTGTATGTCTAAAATTATATATATATGTATATATGTATATGTATACATATACATATATGTTGTCTCCTTCATTAGAATGCAAGCAGGGATTGAATTTTTACCTTACTTTGTATTCCCTGTGCTTAGCACAGTGCCTGGGACATAGCAAGTCCTTAATGAATGCTTGCTAGCCAGATGACTGACTTTATAAAGCTAATAATTATGCTATAGTTGGTTTAATCCACTCAATTTGCCCACTGATTTTGTGGTTTTCTTTTCCCCTAGGCATAGAGGAAAACCTTACAAAAATATAATTTCTAACACTAATTTTCCTCCCTCTTAATAATTACATGGAATCAAACATCAAAATATTTTCTAAGACCTATCTACTATCTTGTCAATAGTGTATAAAGAAGTCAAAGAACATGAGAAATATATTTGTCCAGGAAGTAGAATGTTAATGAGAGAAAAAAATACAGATTTATACATGATAGAATCAGATGAAGAAAAGGCAGGTGGCCTAGCCCCACGGTTAGTAGGGAGGACCTGTAGAATCTTTAGAAGGCAACTAGTGAAATTTACACTACTGAACTATAGACAATATATTTAAAGCAACTCACAGGCATTCCCTGAAATCCTGGGTCTCCCTTAGCTCCTGGAACACCTGGGGATCCTGGCCAACCTGGATTTCCTTTTTCTCCTTTTGCTCCATCAAGTCCTGGGAGGCCTGGAGGACCCATGGGTCCAGGAACACCTGAAAAAGATTAAAAAGCATGTAAATTTCTATAAGTTTTACACAGCTGGGTGATGTTAGCACCTGCACATGGTTCTTTTCATGTCATTTCTACCCTCATACCTAATATCACAATGTCTGACCATATCAAAAAGTAGCTCGGTTACCACAAGCCTACCAAAAATCAGGGTAAGAATCACAGATTTCAAAGAAAACAGAAAGCCTGACTCACAAAATTGCTATTATACTTCTACAGCTGTCAAACTGATCTTCCCAAAGAACAGGTCTGACCATATCACCTCCCTAGTCAACAAATTCTGGTTGCTTCCTATTACCACCAAGATCAAATATAAAATGGTTTTGGGCCCCTTCCTACCTTTACAATCTTCTTATATTTTATTGCCCTCTGTGTACTCTATAACCCAGTGACACTGACCTCCTAGCTGTTCCTCTCACAAGTAACTCTTATTTCTGGCTGTTCTCCATACATCTCTACTCATCTCTGCTACTTGGTTCTCCAGGCTTCCTTCTGGGTCCCTCTAAAATCCCACCTTCTAGAAGAAGCCTTTCCCCATCTGCCTTAGTGCTAGTGCCTTCCTTCTGACATTACCTTTACATTCATGCACTTGTTTGTGCATAGTTGATTGCATATTGTCTTCCCTAAGGGAATGTCAGCTCCTTGAGTGAAGGGAAGGTTGTTATTTGCCTTTCTTTGTATTCCTAGCACTTAGCACAGAGCCTGGCACACAGTAGACACTTAATGCATATTGACTCAACCTGAGTACTTCATGCTCACTGACACCAGATCTGTCACTTCTATTACATGTTGACAAAATAAAATCGTTGCTAAAATGTATTCAACCATAGGTAAAACTTGAAAATTAATACAGTAGATGTCAAATATTCTGGAGGGTGTTCTAATCATTTCCCTTCTTTCATTCTCTCTACCTATACTCTTTAATGGAATTTTAAGGTTTATTAAAATATATTTCAGTAGCTTAATACTTGCATATACTACAACAATAATCAGAATTCAACTGAAAGAAATATAGTCCTAGGGACTATAAGCACTTTTTATGTTCATAGCTCCAATATAAACAAAACGTAGTTCAACATCTACTTACCAGGTATCCCAGGTTGACCTTGTGGACCTCTATCTCCTTTGGGACCCTCCACTGCTCGGCCAGGTACTCCAGGCAATCCCTGTTGCCCTGAGGGACCCGGAGGACCCATAAATCCTGGTTCTCCTTTGGGTCCAGGGATTCCTGGGCTCCCTGCTGATCCTGGGAAACCCAACTCGCCCTTGGAACCTAAACAACAAGACAGTTTGTTAACAATGATACAATTCAATACAAAAATGTTGTCTGGTTCAATTTATTAAACTTTTTATGTATCATTTTCCTCCTGATCTACCAGCATGCGGCCCATGGGTGAACTCAGTGAAGGACTTCACTAAGTAAGCAAATATTCCATCAATTTTCCCTTTATTTTACACCAAACATTCGAATTTCACGCCATAATCATCTCTAGAAAATAAGCATAGAACAACAAGAAGCTGGGTATATCCCATTTACTCATTTATTTTATGGTTACATTTCTATCAAAAAGATTATTGATGTAGATATGAATACGGCATGGCTAGATCAATAAAAGAATCACTTCTAGAGGGGAAAATCCTTCAGTGTTTATGAATACATTCCTCCAAATTTGCCCGCTAAAATTCTGAGATTATTTCAAGTATTTTAGATATTATTTTAAAAGTAAAGGAATGAAATACAGAAATTACTGACACTACATGGTCCCTAATATCAATAAAAGGCAATGAATAAAGAACATACTATATTATAGGGGAAATCTGTTACAGCATATTATATGTAATCAGTTGGATTCTCCTTCTGTGCAGCTCCAATTTACTATCAAAACAAAAGCAGGGTGCCTCATTCATTGCCCTATCCTGCAACTACTCAATACTTCAACAGCCCTAAGAGGTACCTATTCAAAGAAGTTCTCCCTTGACTAAAGGGAGACACAGCAACGGAGTAAGCCCAAACCTAGGCCATCCTGTCATCCCTGGTCTAAGGAACTCACAAGAGCAAAATCAATTGATGCCCAGGACAAAAGGTTTGAGCTCACTCTAGCGAGAGCTCATCAAACCATTTGAGGGCAAAAGTTCTCTGGTTTTTGCAGCTCTCTTCTTCAAAATGTTATTCATTTCTCACCTCCACCATGAATATTTCCATATTCATCTAATCTGGTGTTAGGCATTTTAATATGTACAGCAATTAGCGAATGGTACCCTGAATAAATCATCTCACTTCACTGAGCCTCAGTTTCCTCATCTATGAAATGGGAATAACATATGAAGTACCTTCTTCATTATGTGGCATTGAGACAAGCACCTTGAAAGTCTTAGAGCACTACATGAATGTGAGCTGTTAACTGTGACATGAACTCTCCCTCCAGTTCCACAATTACTTAGAATCTATTATTTCATAATCACATCTCTGAATTCTATAGGTGACTATGTTGACCTCTGTGTGTTTTGTCACTTGAATTTACTGTCTTCTATGAATAGTGGGATTATTTTAAAAAATTTTTTCTTTGTAACTTTAGCATGTTCAGTTCCTTGCATGAAGGAGGTCTCCATAAATGTTGTTTGTGTAGTAGAGGCCTTTCATTTAAGTTTTGATATGTCCTATTTTCTCATTTAGAATGTTTCTCATATACATATAAAGATATGGATATAATTCAAAATTGTATGTATATATACTATGCATGTACGTGTATATATACATATATGATATTTTCCTAGCTGGTAGAATTTATTCAATTAGTTTAAAAAAAAAACAGAAGCAGGACCTCTAACTGACACCATGCCAATCCATGAATTAAGCAACACATGCCTTGCAGGACACTGCACACCAAGAAGCTACTTATCACTCAAGTCCAAGATGCTGCCAATGGAACAGAAACTGACTAGTTGAGTCTTGCAGATTTCTTACCTCCAATTCTGTTGATATATCGTACAGTGGTAATTAGTGTAAAAACAAGAACACATTCTAAAGGACTCTACATTTAGCAACTATTACCTTTTTCTCCTTTGGAACCTGGAAATCCTGGAAGTCCTCTTCCTGGAAGACCTGTAAGGGAAATATTGAAATAGTGAGAATCAAAGTTGTATTCTACTTTTTAAAAAACCAATTTGTCCTTCCAATAAAGACTGGCAGTAATATACAAATTGAGTTCACTCTGGAGGACACTCATCAATTAACTAATTGCATCTGATGGGTAAAATTCCTTATTCTATAACTTGTTATTATAAAACCTTTGACTATGTATTTGAAATTCAATAATATTAAATGATTTTGTGCTACTTGAGAATAGCATAAAAGACAATATCAAGGGCATGTATGACTAGAAAAGGAGTTGGGTCAATCATATAATGAGAATGAGAAATGGCAGAGGGAAAGCCTGGATGCCATACTGATACCTCAGAGGTATCCAGAGAACCAGAAAGTCTTCAGTACATTGGATGGAACTTCTATGTAGAAATTATGGGAAATTATGGGAAGATGTGGCCAAGAATAACACAGGACCAGAAAGGAGAGACAGTTGGGGATCTATAATTGCAAAAGGATCAAAATATCTAAGGAATTTGGAATTCTATATTCTTTCATATTAAACATCTAACACCTTTCAGGTAAGAGGCATAAAGACCTTTACCATGAATAACCTATAGTGATTATTATTGTATCACATCCATCTAAGCTCTCCTTACCAAAATCAAGAGGTAACTAAATTTGTACGAAAATTGGTAGAAGAGGGAGAGGGAGAACCATTGGTATAAACACAGGGAATAAGGGAAGAAGATGAATAGAAGAAATGTAGCAATCCTAAACCACTATATCATTTCTTCTGCTTTTGAGTTTTCTCTTGAGATCCTGTAAATGTGTTTTAAGATTTTAATTTGTGATCTGGAAACATGTCTACCTTGAAGTCTTCCAGATTGAAGGCAATAGATTGAAGGTCCCCCACAAGTAATTCTGGTTCGTCAGAGGAAACTGGGTAGGCATATGTGTTGGAATATATGTTTCAAATGAACAGAAAGGAAAAAAAATCAGTGGGCTAGGGCACATACCTGGTTCACCCTTCTCACCAGCTGATCCTGGAATTCCATCACCACCTGGTTCACCTTTTTGGCCACTTGGACCTGTTGGACCTGGAAGGCCAGGCTGACCTAACAAAGGAGGAGAAATGTCCCGTAACTCACTCTGGAGTCATCAGATTCTTGGGTCAACTGACCTTAGTCTCAAAGCAAAATTAAACAGTTGCTCCAAATCTTATAAAAGGTACAATTCACAATTCTCTTTTGTCCATCATGTCTACAAATAGTCATTCTTCTTTCCTCCCTGCTCCTACTCTCAAACCCTCTTTACATCACTACCTAAGTGCAGTGCGGAAGGAAGCGTGGCACAATGGATAGAGACTTGGGCTTAGAGTCTCAAAGACCTGCCTCTAGAACATATTAGTCTTGTGATGCTCAGGAAATCATCCTTTCGGTGCCCCCATACAACTTCTCTAAGAGTTGTATAAATGCTAGCAATCTATAAATTAGATCTCCATCAGTGACAAAATTTTCCACGTCTAGGAGTCTCTCACACCAATGAGGCCAAGTAGGGCAAAACTTAGTAAATTTTTAAATGCATATGGAAACCTTCAAAAAGTGATGAGGATTCAGACACCCAACACTAGAAGCACAGCAAAATCTAGAATTGAATGAACCAAGCTGGTAGCCAATATGAGAAAATAAGAATAATGAGATCTAGGTGTGAGTCCTATCTGGTGCTACTAACAAGCTTTGTAGTTTCCTACCTATAAAATGAGAGCATTGGATTATGTAACTGTTAAAGTCCTTTCAGGTTCTGATATTTGATGTTCTTGGTGACTCAATGGATAGAGAGAGTGTCATGCATTATGTTGGGAAGACATGAGTTCAAAACCAGCTTCAGAAACTTACTAGCTTGGATAAATCATTTAGCCACTATCTGCTTCATTTTCCTCAACTATAAAATGGGGATAATGATAACAACCTTCCTCTCAGGGTTGCTGTGAGGATCAAATGAGATACTATTTGTAAAGCGCTTAGCAGTGCCTGGCACACAGTAGGTGCTTAACAAATGCTTGTTTCTTTCCTTCCTTCGTCGATTCTGTTATCCTTCTGAGAATCTGATGGTGACCAATGCAAACCATTAAAAAACTTTATGACCAAATCACAATTACAAAGATGTCTATTAATATTGTCAATACTAATTATGCCTCCATTTTCAGGGACATCACATAGCATCCATTCCAAGCTTGTCTGTTCAGAGTCATTCTCTACCTGCATCTCCTTTAACTCCAGGAATGCCATCCAAACCAGGAAGTCCTTTGTCACCCTTCTCTCCAGGCATTCCAGGGCTCCCTAATGAAAATAAGAAGCCCCTTTAGTTTTTTTGACTTCTTGTTCATTTTAATCCCCAAATTCAGAAGGAAGTCTGTCTTCCACTTGCCTGGATAGCCAACATTCCCAGGTGATCCTCCAGGCCCCGGGGGACCAGGCATCCCTGGCATCCCTGGGCTTCCCTTCTCTCCCTTCTCTCCAGGCCTTCCTGGAAAACCTGAAGGTCCAGGGTCTCCCTGTAAATAAGAAAAAAAAATGCCCATATGTAAGTTCACATTTGAGACTAGGAGTTCCCATGCTGGCATTTTCTGACCTTTTGCTGAAAAGACAGCTGTGGTAGAATTGAAAAAAGTGGCTTGGGTCTGCCACGTCTCAAATGTGAGCCTTGCAACAAGTCTTATAGTCCACACTACTAGACCAAAAGCTCAATGAAGACAGATATGGTCATAACTAGACTTTTTATGAAGCAGTAAGCTAGCTTAGATAGAGTGATAGACTTGGGAAGACCCGAATTCAAATCTTGCCTCAGAAACACATTAGCTGCATGAGGCCAGATAAGGTGCATACAGTTTCATTTTCCTTATCTGTAAAAACCAGGTTGAAGAGGCATCTATTTCAAGGGGTTTTGAGAATCAATAAAATAATATATGTAAAACACTCTGCAAACATGAAAATAATATAGATATTATATATCATTATTCACTGTTTTATCTCCTACACATTCTGCATATTCTAGGCTCTTAATAGATATTTCTTATTGTCATTGACCTCTTGGAACTTTGTGTTTCCTGAGGATGATGGCACCTACACTACCTACTGATAGGATTAAATGAGATGAGGTGTCTTAACTATTTAATAAAGCATTACACAAATGGCAAGTATTACTCCTCTTATTCTTTTTTTTTAAGTGAGGCAATTGGGGTTAAGTAACTTGCTCAGGGACACACAGCTAGGAAGTATTATGTGTCTGAGGCTGGATTTGAACTCAGGTCCTCTTGACTCCAGGGCCGGTGCTCTATCCACTGCGCCACCAACTGCCTCTACTGCTCTTATTCTGAAATGGAAAGAGCACTGAATTTGGGGTCGGGAGATATGGATTCAAATCAAGTCTGACACTTACCAGGTGTGACCAAAGCAAGTCACTACATCACCCAGCTCCTCTGTCAAATGGGAGACTATATTACACTGCCTACCTCAAAGTGGATGTTTATGAGCAGAGTGCTTTGTAAATCTTAAAACAATATATAATTATGGACTGTTATTATGATTATTAACAGCAGCAGCATCAGATGATTTTATTTTCACATGAAGAATCCACTTCTTGTGAATACGCAAGAGGCATCTCTAGCACCTTAGGAAAAAATGACCAGACCCTTCCTTCTTTATTCTACCTTTCAACCATTATCTATACCTCTATTTTAAATGTCACATAATTATTTTTTCTGTCTTCAATCAATTATTCTCTCCCTAGTCATTAATCTACCTTTAAAATTTCTGAAATTTAATGTATATGAGGGAAAGTACTCTACACTAAAATCAATTTAATATAAAATAAAATATATAATACAAAAATTGTTTATATCCCAGATTACTCTCTGCTACAGGAAAAAAAAAACACCAGTCAAAAAAAATCTTTTTAGTGTTGATTCTTACAGTGATGCTATATGACTATGCCATCATAGAATACTATAGTCATGGGTTAGGGATAAAAACTAGACTTGTAATTTTATTGATATAGATAAGGATAAGGAATATAGATATAGGATATAGATAAGGATATAGGTCCCAGATAAAGAAACTCCCTCTATCAACACATATTGGCATTTTCTTTGCATCTTCAGCTTCTAGAGATTTTAGGTAACTTTTTGAGGCTATACAATAATAGGAGAATCAAAATGAAAAGCAACTACTGAAAACCACTGAAAAACTAATGGTTTCTATGCATAGTGGATATAAATAGACTATAGCACATTACTAGTTATGACTTACAAATACATGATTAGCATATTAAATATCACCAAGAATATGTATAAACCAAAAAAAGGGATGTTAGTCATGTACTAAGATTAAGGGATAAGAAATGGATAGATAGCTTGAGTACTACACTACTATCCATGAAGACCAAGATGACGATCTTCAATACATCCGGTCAAATTTACAGATGGACATGGACAATTAGTGTAAGCATGGAAGGTTATAAGCTACATCACTAAAGGGAATGTCAGTACTAATAAAAATAAATATCAAAGCTACCATATTAGAATGAGGGATGTAGTAGAAGGGAGTGAGCCCTTAAACAAAAGGTGGTAAATACCTTTTCACCAGGAAGTCCAGGAGTCCCAATGCCTGGGCGACCTGCTTCTCCTTTCACTCCTTTTTCTCCTTTTAATCCGGGGAAGCCTGGGATACCTTGAGAGCCTGGGATTCCTTGTGCTCCTTTTTCTCCAGGTGACCCTAAAAATACAAGCCACAGGATTTTCAATCTCTAGTGAACGAGCCCTTAAGTTAATTTTTTTAATTGAAAAATGAATGAAAGAGCAAGAATGTAGCCAAGATTGAAGTAGCCAAGATTGAAGTAGGAAGATGGTGACATTAACTTCTACTTGGGCTCACTGCTAAAAACTAGAAGGAAATTTAAAAAGATCACCTAGTCCAGCTCCTTCATTTTATGGATGAGAAAACTATTTCAGAGAAATCAAGAGAGTTCTGCAAAATCACCCAGGTCATAGTAAGAGAGTCAAGATGAAAACCCAAACCCAAATACAGGAGATCTAGCATTTTGAGAGCTAAATGTTTTGTTAACAGTTCCTGTATGTTATTATCTATAAATCTTCATGCAAATGCCCATTGCCTAAATCTCAATATACGCAATTCCATAAGTTGCAGTCTCATATTTCATGTTTTAAATAAAATAATGAGGCTACCACAATCATGACTTAGGCAGAGATGGCCAGATTCCCTAGTTAACTAAATACAATGGGGACTCAGGTTATTCATTAGTAATAATAGCTAGCATTTATATAATGCTTTACAATTATCTCAATTTATCCTCACAACAAACAATGGTGGTAAATGCTATGAGTACCCCCATTTCATAGAGAAGGAAACCAAAATAGCCAGGTTAAGCAACTTCCCCCAGGCCACAGAACTAATAAGCTTGTGAAACCCGACTTGAACTCAGTTCTTCCCGACGCTCGATCCTGCACTCTATCCATTCTACCACCTTACTTCCTGGGAGTAAATAGATTCCTAATCTTTACACAGCAATATCAGCTGCATCTAAGAGCAAACTGAACACAGATATGACAAACCAAAGCCAGGTCAATTCAGGGATCATTTAGCAACAAGCCAGGAAGTGGAAAGGGAGAATAAAGGTCTCTATGTCCAAATGGAGATATGCAGAGGTTTATCTATCAACAAGGTTAAGACTAAGAAAGTCTAAAATTAGAAATATGGAAAATTGAGAGCCCATAAAATGATTATGAAAATCCAGCAGGCAGTAAAACACCTTAGAAGTTTATTTGTTCTTTGGGTTTTCCTGTGGTCTTTAACTCCAGACGCCCTTGCCTGAAAATGCTTAGGTTAGAAGTTTAGACAGACACCGAAAACTTAACATACCATTTTCCCAACACTATGTCATAGATAAAAGACTTCACTGCCCAGACTAGTTAGTGTACCATGGCCTAAACAACTGCATCTCTCACTAGCATCTTTTCAGAGTTCACATCACTAAAGCAAATGACCAATAAGAAGGATTAATTACTGAGTCTGGGTTAGTTCTAGAGTTTCTCTCTGGGTCAAAGAGCTACTAGGCCTCATGCGATAAAGTCAGAGGACTATGAATTTTTTTTATGGAAGATATTACCAAAGAATCTAATTTACCAATGGGTAATCAATAATTGACAACTGTAAAACAAACAACCAGTTTAATCCTATTTTCCCAGGAAAAGTTTTCTATTACGGCTTATGTTTTATGTCTGTTTCATGTCTATTTTTTGTTGTTGAGTTTTTAGAAATTTTAGTCACAAGTCTGCAAAACAGTCCATCACTGGTCACCAATATATTGTATGTGAAAAACAAATGTATACTTCTTTTCCAAAGGGCAATCTCTATTAAAGTTGTCCTATCTCCTTCCTCTATCTTGATATGGAAGTGATCCTGACTTCACAAAAATATGGGCCATTAGAAGATAAACTATAATAGGTTCTACCAAGCCAAAACACTTTGATTATGGTACGAGCAACAGACAGACTACTTATCTCTTTACTGGATGAGGATTATTCTTACTGAGTACAGAGTGACTCATTCCCAGAGTCTCTGGTATGCATGCCTTATAACAATTTCTTTTTATTTCATATTTGCCATGGCAACTCAGGAAACAGATCTGAGGATAAAATGGCCCTCAGTCTTCTGTGACCCTCTCCTGCTACCACAGTGGCGGCAATGGAAAAAAAAAAAGACAAAGGATGCAAAGAAAGACACAGCTTTCTGAATACAACCTAACACAAGTGAGAAATGAATAACGCTTTCAATATTCTGTGTCTGTCCAAGGACCAATAATTAGCTGACAATACCACTGGATTTACTGACACATGTCCATACTGGTAAATCTCTTTAATATGACAAATATGGAATGGATTTGCCAGATTGCTACGAAAGGTAGTTACCGATTCTGTTGATGACACTGGGACAACCATATCTAGGCTCTAACACCTGATTAGAAGTTCCATATAAGAAAGCAGAAATAGAACTCAAAAAAATGAAGTCAAGAAGAGTAATTGAACCAGAACAAAATGGATAAAAGCATAAGCAGCGATGCTGATTATAACCACTTCATCAAGACATTTTACCAATACAAAACAGAAGGCAAAATGAGGAGGATGAAAGAGCACAGAAACAGAGTTTACCAGCAAATATTTCATTTCCTTACTAAGCAGAAGGAGCCAAGGGCTTATTTACAGCATATACTAGTTCATAAGACATAAAGGAGAAGGTGACTGATGATTGTCAGCAGTAGTCTCATGAAAACATTAAAGAAAATATTAGCTAAAAGACAACTTGATTGGAATTCAATTCTATGCTTGGCATACAATAGGCACTTAATAAATGTTTGTAGATTGATTATTAAGCACCTACTATGTAAGAAGAGCTATGGGCATAGTGGACAGAGAGCCAATCTTGGAGTCAGGAGAAGCTGAGTTTTCAGTCTTGCCCCACCACAACATAGGAGACCCATCAGCAAGTTACATTCCCTCCCAGTGTTCCAATTTTCTAAAACTTTGTTACATGGCATAGTGATAAAAAATTGGATTTGAGTCAGAAAGACCTGTACTAATTTTAGAAACATACTAGCTATGTGATTCTAAGCAAATAATTTCTCCTTGAAATGTCCCTGGCAATTCTCTGAATTCTGTAAAAAATATAGACAAGTAAGCATGACATAATGGATAAAGCACTGGATTTGTCTCTATAAAAATCATTATGAAAATAATGTACATGTCAAAGACAGGGAAAAATGTTAGAGAGAAATCAGGGACTGTTGAGAATTGAGTGAGATAGTGGCTTCCATGATGTACATAAAAACAATATTAAAAAGCAATCAAGTTCAAATTAATTGCAAACTCTTTTCAGTGGAAAGATAATTTCTTTGGCAATTTCATCATCCTATTTAATTTTCTGGCTTCAAGAAACAAGTCCCAATGTGTTGGGATTCTCTTTAAGTTAACATAAGTCAACGTGAGTGATACTGACTTTGTAAATAGATCAAAATAAATTAACAAATGAAAATACTGTATATTTATGAATTTAAGTGTGATCTCTTTCTTTCCAGACTACTCTATGTGATTTCATCTAGCAGACTGGTCCTGTCACTATTAATTGTGCTTTATCATGCACTGCAAAGAAGATTTTTTTTTTGCTTTTTGCTTTTTGGAGAGGTAATTGGGGTTAAGTGACTTGCCCAGGGTCACACAGCTTTAAGTGTAATGTGTCTGAGACTGGATTTGAACTCATGTCCTCCTGACTTCAAGGCAGAGCTCTATCTACTGTACAATCTAGCTGCCCCACAAAGAAGATTCTTTCACGAGGTCACAATTTACCTGGCAAGCCCATTCCACCAACAGAACCCTTTGGTCCTGGTAGTCCTGGAGCACCTGGCGATCCCCCAAGACCTTGATCACCTTTAGGACCTTTAAAAAAAGAGAGAGAGAAAATATCAAAAAACATCAAAAACATCAAAAGATTTTTTAGTAACATTCACATATTACTTTGACTTTAAACTCGAAATATACATTGAAGCACCAAAATGATGTCCTATACCTGGCTGGCCTGGAGTTCCTGCTTGTCCATCCTTCCCAGGTACTCCTGGAGTGCCAGGATCTCCTCTGGCCCCTTTATCTCCAATCGGCCCAGTTTGTCCTGAGTATCACAAGTAGTAAAAGAGAGAGAAAGGCAGAGGTAAGGAGCAAGACAGAGGGAGAGAAGAGCCCAAAACAGAATTTAATAAATATTTATTGCCTTTATAAAGCACTGTGCTACAAACAAAAACAAAACACTAATAATTTGGCTCCTCTGCCCTAGGCAACTGTTAAAGACTCTAAGGTACTGACCTGTACTGATGGAGGGAGTTTCCTTATCTTAGAGATCCTAACATCAGTGAAATCACAGGTCCAGTCCTTCCCCCTGTCCTTTATAATAATTAATTATGAAACATTTCCATATGTTTTTAATTCGTCTATTACAAAATAAAGGGAGCAAAAAGGTCAAAAACTATATCTTACTCATGCTTTTTTTTTACTTCAGCTGAAGCATAATAGATTCTGCTCTGTCCTCTTACCTTTATTTGTGTGTGTCTGCTTCAAATGTATTTCTTTTTGTAAATAACATATTGTAGGATTCTGTTTTTGAATCTACTCTGTTACCTGCTTCTGTTTTATGGGTGAATTCACCCCATTCACATTCACAATGATGATTACTGTGTATTTCCCTCCACTTTATCCTCCTCTCTCTCTCTCTGTCTCTCTCTCTCTCTCCTTTCACCCTGTTCCTCCTCACAAAAGTTTTGCTTCTAACCATTACCTCCCCTAACCCACCCTCCCTTCTATTACTTTCTCCCTTCTTCTTATCCCTCTCCCCTCCTGTTTCCCTAAAGAGTAAGATAGATTTCTATACCCAACTGAGTGTGTATGTTATTCCCTCTTTGAGCCAATTCCAATTGAGAGAAAGGTTCAAGCATTGCCACCCCCACAACTTCCTCATCGTTTCCTCCATTGTAATAACTCTTTCATGCTTCTTCATGTGAGATATTTACTCCATTTTAATTCTCCCTTCCTTCTTCTCCCAGTGCAATCCTCTTTCTTATCCTTTAATTTTGTTTTTTTGGATATCATTCCATCATAATCAACTTATGCCCACACCCTCTGTCTATGTATATCCCTTCTAACTGCCCTACTAGTGACAAAGTTCATTAGAGTTACTAGTATAATCTTCCTATGTAGGAATGTAAACAATTTAACCTGATGAATTCCTTATGTTATCTCTTTCTTGTTTACCTCTTCATGTTTCTCTTGAGTCTTGTATTTTAAAATCAGATTTTCTGTTCAGGTCCGATCTTTTCATCAGGAATGCTTAAAGTCCTCTACTTCATTTAATATCTATTTTCTTCCTGAAGAATTATACTCAGTTTCACTGGGTAGGTGATTCTTGGTTGTAATCCTGGCTCTTTGTCCTCTGAAATATCATATTCTAAGTCCTCTAATCCTTTAAGTTAGAAGCTGCTAAATTTTGTATTATCCTGACTGTTGCTCCATGATATCTGTATTGTTTATTTCTACCTGCTTGCAATATTTTATCCTTGACCAGAGACTCCTAGCTCTGGAATTTGGCTAAAATATCCCTGGGCATTTTCATTTTGGGATCTCTTTTAGGAGGGGATGAATGAATTATTTCAATTTCTATTCTACTCTCTTGTTATAGGATAGCAAAACAGTTTTCCTTGACAATTTCTTGAAATGTGATGTTCAGGCTCTTCTTTTTATCATGCCTCACAGGTAATCCAATAATTCTTAAATTATCTGTGCTGGATCTATTTTACAGGTCAGTTGTTTTTTCCAATGAGATATTTCACATTTTTTTTCTATTTTTTTCATTCTTTTGATTTTGTGTTATTGTTTCGTGATGCCTCATAAAGTCATTAGCTTCCACTTGCCCAATTCTAATTTTTAAGGAATTACTTTCTCCAATGGGCTTTTGTACCTGTTTTTCCATTTGGCTAATTCTAATTTTTAAGGAGTTGTTTTCTCCAGTGAATTTTTGCATAATTTTTCCAACCTTCTAAGTTGTCTTGGGCTAGAAAATTGTTTCATCTCATCTTTTTATTGGTTCTGCTGCTACAGAATTTGTTTTGTGGTATTATTTTATAGTTGTTTAGAAGTGAATTCGGGAGAGTTCAGGAGAGTTCTTTCCTTATTCTGCTTTCTTGGCTCTGACCTCCACAAAACTATATCTTGATAAATTATTTAACATAACATTTAAAGGAAGAGTTTTTTAAGGGATGAGAAAACTAAAAATAGTAAGATAATTAAAGTAGCACTTTTTCATTTTAAGGAAATAACATTATTCTAAGTAGTACTAATTTTCTCAGGTTAAAATTTGAAATATTGAATTTTCTGATATAACAGAATTTAAAGAGAATTATTCATTTGAAAAAATATATGTTGTAGTACTGTCAGATAAGAGAAATCACATTTGTTTTTTGAAGACATGTAAAATGAAAGTTGATGACAATATTAGCTAGTTAGGGGAGGGGAGAACAGTAGTCTATTTTGTGCTACCTTAGGTTAAAAGCTCCTCCCTTTTTCTGACTCAAAATTAAAGAAATATTACCTTTTTCTCCTTGATCTCCTTTCTGGCCCTTCATACTGTCCATGTCCACTTTATCCATTGATCCTGGCTGTCCAGGGAGACCAGCATCACCTTTATCACCTTTGAAACCTGGATCACCCCTGGGTCCTGTTGTACCTGGGAAACCTTGGTCACCTACAGAGAATGAAGACAACACCAGAATTAGGCTAAAGATGCTTCCCAGTGTTGGAAAGACACATACTTGAAGGCTAATGTATTCATCTACAAGTGTGTGATAGAATAAGGTTTTTTTTTAATTTTTAATTTTTTTTTTTTAGGCAATTGGGGTTAAGTGACTTGCCCACGGTCACATAGCTAGTAAGTGTCAAATGTTTAGTCTGAGGTCACATTTGAACTCAGGTCCACCTGACGTCAGGGGTGGTGCTTTATCCACTGCGCCACCTAGCTGCCTCAATAAGTTTGCATTATATAATATTTAATTACTAGTTATTTTGTCTGTTTCTGATCCATTCTTTCTTATTCGATTCCATTCATGCTTCCTTGTGGCACAGTGGTTATCTCAGGTTCTCAAAGTCTCAGTGAAGTACAAGGTTTGGCAAGTCTTAATATAAGTGTCATCTAAAGACTAGGTAAGTTCAGAGAGGCTCTTATTTGGAAGATTGACCATGAATGTCTGGCCACAGTAATTCATAAAGACTGCCCAATAATGATATGAGGAAAATTGCAACATATATCAGTGGATAGAGCACCTATATTGATGAAACTTTGGATTAAATATGATAACTACATAATAACCAAATATAGGAGAAGTTGACCCAGTAGAAATGCTTGTTAAAGTCACTATTTCTATTCATTTACTTAACATTACTGAAGTATAAGGCATTCATAGAAATGAATTTGTTTATTAGTTTCTTTGCTGTGATCTCCCTTCCTAAAATATCCATAGCATTCATTTCTATATCTAACTTATTAAAAGCTTACTAAATTAAAATTTACAGAACTATTGAAAGATTATTTAACACTATTTTTCTACTGTCAAAAATAGCTTTTTTTGGTAATCTTGAAAAATATTTTTCTACTTAAAAACTGACTCTCTAGAAAATGAAGAAAATCAAAAACATTATTTGAAAAAAATTGTTTTCAAAGGACAAAAACCTCCTCTATAAACTTCTTAGCAAGCCATAGGATTCTGAGAATTCCTTTTATCATGATGCATTTGAATGATCAGAGAACAGAATAGCACATAAATGCTCCTGACAAACCTATCTTCTCTTAGATCTGCATGACAGAGTTCAGTTGCTTCTGTGTGTTCGGTTTCTATACAAAACTCATAATTGGATTATAAATTACCCCAAGCAATTGTTGTCCTTCTTAAATTGTCCCCTCAAGACACCACCACCCACACACACAGGCCGCCTCTTGAAACTAAGTATTTCTTTCCTCTAAGATATTATAAATGGGATTCTTGTACTGGGCAGGGGATCAGGCCTGATGATCTTCAGAGTGCCTTGAGACTCTGTGACTCTATGAGACTATAGTTATTCCTTCCACATTGTGGTGGTTAAAGGCATGACACCGCTGCAACCTGGAAAATCTGTATGAAATTTTCTGACCCTCCCTTTGAACCAGAGAAGAAGTCTGAATTTTTTCTTTTTCTTTTATAGGGTGTTTATAATACCTTATTATAAGATTTGGGTTGATATTATATAATACTATATACATATATATATTTCATGCATTTCTGAGTTTCTAAACTTTTTTTTTCGTCTGGCCTTTGTGTGTCATCTTTGGCTTCCGAAAAACTCTCAAAACATTCCCATTTAATTTCTTATGCCGACCCATGACCTCAATGGGGGAAGCTGCAGTGGGGAAGGAATAACTGTATCCTTCAACTATTTTTTAAAAGTCATTAAGAAATCAAAATCCAGAGCACTGACATTTTTTGTGGTTGCTGACGAGGCTTACCTTTTACTCCTTGGAATCCTGGACTACCCGCTGGTCCAGGAGGACCTGGCTGACCAGGGGTCCCCATTACTCCCATTTCTCCCTTGGGACCTATGAGTGAAGGAAAAGAAGAGTTAATGTTATTCCAGATTTGCACATACCTGACAGTCCTTCACCTGGCCCTGAGTATTCAGGTAAACAGGTATCATTTCACTTAACAATTTTTGAGGCGAAGAAGAGTTCACAAACATGACTTACCTGGAAAGCCTGGAAGTCCAGGAGTTCCTTGTGTGCCAGGAGGCCCAGGTAACCCTATTTGGCCTGTTAAGCCAGGAAGACCTGGACTTCCTTTATCTCCTTTTGGTCCTGGCATATCTGATCCTGGGAAACCAGGGTAACCCTTCTCTCCTTTGATTCCAGGAGGACCTGAAGTAAGGCAAAAAGCCAATAATTTTAACTTGTATAATTAAAGAACAGCCTGCTAGACATTCAATTTTTAATTGGTGAACTCTATAAGAAAGCATGCATGTCCCTATTAAGTATAATTAACCTAAGGCCTACTATAGCCCCAGCAGAGGGAGCTGAGCTAAAAACTAATTATCAATAAATAATTACCCATGGATTCCCACTATCCTGCCCCTCTTTATTATAAAATTATTGAAGGAGCTAGAGATTGCTTCTGTTCATAAGCCATCACCCTAATTTGAATCAGGCACTGATTAACACCATCACTAAGGAAGTAATAAAGAGAATCCACTTGCATTTGATTACAAAAATGTTAAAGATATGATAAAAAGTCAAGGATGTTTTACTCATTCTCCTAATGACATTTATCACAAGCACATGGGAAGGAAAACTAACTTAGATAACCAATTAAACTATTTCTACAAATTGAAATTATTCTCCCGGTACATTATTGGTAGAGCTGTGAAATGGTAAAACGATTCTGGAAAGCAATTTGCAGCTATAGCTGGAAAGTTACCAAACTGTTCATATCCTCTGACCCGACTATACCACTCAAAGAAATCAAAGAAAGAAGAAAAGGTCTATATATGAGTACAATGGAATACTGTTGTGCCATATGAAATGACAGAGGAAACTAGAAAGACCTTCATGAACTGATGCAAATCAAAGGGAGCAGAACCAGAGGAACAATTTATACATTGAGGATGTTATAAAGAAAAATAGCTTTGAAAGACTTTAGAACTCTGATCAACATAATGATAAACTGCAAATCTAAAACGGTGAATAAGAATCATGTCACTCACCACTTGACAGAGAAGTAATAAGGTTTTTTTGTTTGTTTGTTTCTTTAAACAATTGGGGTTAAGTGACTTGCCCAGGGTCACACAGCTAATAAGTGACAAATGTCTGAGGCCAGATTTGAACTATTTTTTATTTTTAAAATAAAATTTAAATTTAAAATAAATTTTAAAAGATTTGTTTTTCAGGTTTTCTTTTTTAATTTACTCAATAATGTATGGGGGGAGTTAAAAAATACTTGTTACTTGAAAAATAAAAATTATAAAGAAAAACAAAAAAAGAGTGCTTTCTTCAAATCCTGTCCCACCCAACATATTATTTAGGTTTATTCCTATCCCTTCTTTCACTGATATTAATCTTTTCCCAACTATTGACAGCACAAGGAACCTTGAATTACCTGTTGATCCTGGTGGTCCCTGTCCTCCAGGGGGGCCCATAACTCCGGGAGGGCCTATTCCTGGCACTCCAGGGGCACCTTTTGGACCCTGGATTCCTTGAAGCCCTGGGTCACCTAACCAGAAGAAACAAAAATTGTGAACGAATTACCTTGCATCAGGAACCTCCTGCTTTCCACTCACAGACAGGCAATTAATTTCAGGAAAGGAATTCATTTTGGTTAGCTGGAATTTTTTCTTTGAAAACATTACCTCTGAGTCCTTGTAGCCCAGGTGGTCCTATAAGTCCATGTTCTCCTGGGATGCCTGGGTTACCAACATTTCCCTTTTCACCAGGAAGGCCTGGAATGCCAGGAAGACCTGATGATCCTTTGGGACCTGGTAGACCTACTCCAGGCTCACCCTTGATATCAAAAAGAAAAAAAAATGAAAAGGCAAGCTCAAATGTAACAAGGTATTCAGACTTTTCCTGTGGTCTGAACATTACCCTTTTATTAAGAAGGCATCAGCTCACTAGCCAGAAAGCAGTTATTTTGCATTTTGTCATTTATTTGGGTCCACCATGAAGACTTTAGGAGCTCTAGGTCCGGAAAAGCATGTTGGGACACAATCAAGTTCACAAGTTCAGTACACACTCATTTTTTTTTCTTAAAAAAGAATAAACACTAACAAACGTGAACATTTTAATATACAAATAAAAGAGGACTGTATTCAAGACTGTGAACTTAGGGTTCTCTCTCCATGTCTCTCTGTCTCTGTCTACCTCTCTCTTTCTTTTTTTCTCTCTCTCTCTTCTAAGTACTCAGTGAAGAATGTAAAGGATAGGTTTCTTTTGAAAAAATGCTGATAGGACTCATCTTCAGCCTTCCTTCAAGACAAATTACACTGCTATTTCCACTAATAAACAAAGTACCTTCAATATAAGTCAATTCAACAAATACTCAGAAAGCATATGCATTTGTAAGATGTTCTTGGTCAGCAGGGATGTTTTTTTTCTTTTTTCCTTTTTTTTTTTTGTGAGGCAATTGGGGTTAAGTGACTTGCCCAGAGTCACACAGTTAGGAAGTATTATGTGTCTAAGGCTGGATTTGAACTCAGATCCTCCTGACTCCAAGGTTGGTGCTCTATCCACTGCACCACCTAGCTGTCCTGGTCATTAGTGTTTCAGACATATCCAACTCTTCATGATCCCATTTGGGGTTTTTTGGGCAAAGATACAGGAGCGGTTTGCCATTTTCTTCTACAATTCATTTTCCAAGGTCACACAGCTAGTAAATATCTGAGACTGGATTTGATTTCTGGAAGATAAGTCTTCCAGATTCCAGACCTAGTGTTCTATTCATTGTCCCACCTAGCTGCATTCTATCCACTGTACCATCTAGATGCCCTATTTGTAAGGTCCTGTCCTACTAGAGTTTCAAGATGGAAAATGACAGTCCCTGTGCTCAAGAAGCAATTGAGTTTTAAAAGAGTCATCCTTTATGGTAAAGGAACCAAGTATGCTTTCTAGTTGAGGCTGTGAGACAAAAATTCCCCATTATATGGTGATTTATATATATATAAATATAATATAATTATATATAATATAGTTATATGCAATGCAATAATATAATTATATATAATATAATATGTTATATATAACAATTATAATAATAGGAAGTAGCACTTATCTAGCAACATAAGGTTTGCAGAACACTTTGCAAATTATCTCTGTTGATCTTTACAACAACCATGGGAGGTGGGTGCTGTTATTATCCCCATTTTTACATTTAAGGAAACTGAGACAGATAGAGGTTAAATGACTTGCCCAGGGTCACACAGTGAGTAAATGTCTGAGGAAGAATTTGAATGCCAGGCTTCTTGTCTTCAAGCCCAGCACTTCACCAACTATGTCTCTTAGCTTGCCTAAAAGTAAACATGGTGGAAACCTAAGCAAATTTGTAAAATCTATCATCTTTAGTCTGCAGTTTTTTCTTAGTGTACCTTCTTCCACACATCTATCCAGCACCTAGTATCCTCCAGGCTTTGAAAGACAAGAAGATATCTATTGATTGATTGATTTGACAGTGAGTAATTCCTTCCTGTTACTGTGTTATCTCTACCAGGTATTTCAGGCATAGCAAGCTGATAGGGAAATTGTTTCTAGGGTGGAAAGGATTCTTCAATCATACAATAATTACTAAACCTGATACCCAAGGTAATAAACCTCATGAAATCAAGAAAGGAAAGAAACAAGCATTCATTAAGCACCTATTATATGCCAGACATTGTGCTAAGTTCTTTACAAATATTATCTCACACAACAACCCTGGGAGATAGGTACTACTATTAATGGCTTATTTTATATTTGAGAAAATTGACACAGACAGAGATTAAAGTGACTTGCCCAGGGTCACATAACTAGTGAGTGTCTGAGGCTGATCTGAACTCAGGTCTTTCTCACTCCAGGCTCAGTGCTCTATTCACTAGCTGCCTCAGATATCAGGGTATCTGAGAGTTAGAAGGGTCAGAGGCCAACTACTCCATTCTATACCTAAATAGGACCAACTTGAACTGGTTCTTTTAGAAAAAGAAGAGAGAGTCAAAAGGATGTTCATAGGCCCTAGAGCTAGAAGGGAACTAGGAGATCATCTAGTTCTTACCCCAACTCTTACGGATCAAGAAACTGAGGCCCACAAAAGTCAAGTGATTTGTCCAAAGTCACAAACACACTAAGTTGTGGATTTGGGATTGAAACTCAAGTCCTCTGAAACCAGGTCCATTGCTCATTCCACTTACCCTAAAGTTAACCCTATGGCTACCCCAGAGAGGGTGTCTTAGTTGAACCGAGGGCTGATGCCATGAGCTGTGTGGGCAATAGGGCTAGCGTCCTTGATTCAGGACAAGGAGTTTGCTCTATCCTAGTGGAAAGGTTTCCATTTTCAGCCTGAGCACAAGTCACCTAACCTAACCTTTTGGTCTCAGACTCTCTGATGTCAATTTTATGTTTTCTGACACATATAATATTATTTTAGTAGCTTTTTCCCTCTAAAATATGTCTTTTCCTTTGAAGTTCTAAAGCAAGAGTATTATGGAAAGAACTCTGAAACTGGAATAAGACAGTCTAGGATTGAATCTGAGCTTTGTCAATTATTAGCCATATAACCTTGAGCAAATGACATTATCTCTGGGTTTCTTTATCACTAAGATGAAGGGATTGAACTGAGTGAGCTTCCAGGTCCCTTTTAGCTCTAAAATCCTAGAATCTGCTTCTATTTTAATTCTACCCTCTAGTTATGCAATTTCTAAGGAAATGTGTCATGAATCATAGAATTAAAGAATCAAAGATAGAAAGGAGCTAGAAAGAGCTTCACAGATGAAAAACTGAAGTCAAGAAAAGTTAAGTGACTTGGCCAAGTCATTCAGAAAGTTACTAACAAAGACAGAACTACAAGCCAGATTTCCCACCTCCTAGTCCATGCTCATTCATAAGAGCACATTCACTTTCTTGATAAGAGGTCGTTGTTTATAAAATCAAAATATATTTAGGGGCTATTTTACCCTGAAGTCACTCACTAGAGTATACTTCCCAGTCAAGGAATTAATTCAGAATCCCAAAAATATTGTTTTCCTTTCTGGCAAAAAAAAAAAAAGTAATGCATGTAGATAAGCCAGCCAGATGGATAAGCTACACTTTGACTGGAAGCAAAACAGTGAAACTCTAGCAAATGAAAAAGCGTAAGGTGAAACTTTAGCTACATTATCACTGGCACTTATCCTTTTTCGTAAACACTTTTAAAAACAATAAAAGAAAGAGCAATAGTACTTACCTTTTGTCCTGGAATACCTGGATTCCCTGGTAAACCATCAAATCCTGGACGACCTGGACTTCCAGGCTGACCAACAGCTCCAGGTAAGCCATCAACACCTATTGAATAAAGCAAGTTAGTAACAATTCAATAGCTTTATGGCCTACTGAACTAGGCCTGAACTTATCTGGAAGATTAAGCAGAAATCCACTACTTGAAAGCAACAAGCATAGATAATTTATTCAGCTGTTATGGCATTTTACAATCTATACATCTCTTTTTTCCCAAATCTATCCATTTTTTCTTTCTTTTCTCCCTTTTTACTATGCCCCTTCTTTCTATTCTTCTTCATCCAAACCCCCTTTTTTCCTTCTTTTAACTTAAGCATGCCAGAAGAATGGGTAGTAAGGTATCATCTGGCTAGAATTTATTAAACACATACTATGTAATAATGTACCAGGCATTGCACTGGACATAACTGGTCATAATTCAGCCTTTCTGGTAATATTCAAGCCAAAAAAGCTTTATCATCCCCTGCTCTAGAAATGTATTAATAATATGGCTATTAAGATGCCTGAGATCTATGTGATTCTGTGCTTGTGTGGGAAAAGTGGTGTGAAAGGCATGGAGGTTAATTTAAAAAAATTTTTTTTTAATTTTTATTACCCTTTGACCTAATGGCTAGCAAACTAGAGCAGAGTCTGGCCAAATGGTATTATGTTCAGGGGGATGGAACTGAAACTGTGATTACATTGGTATTCAGCACTCCCAATGACAAAATTCCTTTACTAATGCTGGTCAATGCCTTGAACAGAATTGATCCATGCCATGTAGACTAGGTTATGTTACTGAGCAGGTAAATTAAATTGCCAAAGGAGACAGACTTTATCCTAGATGGCTACAATTAGATATAGTACAGTTTCTCAAAAAATGAACGAAGGCCAATTGGGATCACTGTGGGAATGAAGGAACAGGTAGCTCTCAGGCAGACTAGGAATCTTTTCTCCATAAATAGCCTTCCTAGACCTGTATCCATTTAGATCCTCTTTCTTGGCCTCCCTAAATGATTTTCCTATAGATTCCTAGAAATGCCACCCTGCCTTTCTTTATGTTACAGTTTCCTGTGGAGAAAGAGTTTTGTCTGTTTGTTTTTTAGGACAATAGGGAATGTCAAATTAACAGTGTTTCTAATCATACTTTACATTATACTACATTCACAGATTTCCCTCCCCAAACCCAAACTCTTCTCCAATCAAAATTACTCATCTAAACTGTAAAATATCAAAAGTTATGGTTATCACACTAATGCTTGTAAATTACTTCTCTTAAAACCAACACATCCCACTTTTTAAAAAAGTTATGTTATGAGATAACCTTATATCTTTATACAGAATTTTTGCTAGGTTACAAAGTTATTTCATATTTATGATCCTATTTTATTTCTACAAGATCTTCCTGGGGCAGAAAGGTAAAGCTATTATTAACTCATTTTACATTCAGAAAAATGAAACATAACATACGTTTTCTCAGCTAGTAGAATGAGCAATAAGAGAATTCCCAGCCGAATGTTCTTAGTCTCAGCTAAACTCTTTTTTACCACTTAAAACTTTTACCTTTTGGCCCTGGGGGTCCTGGAAACCCTATTCCTGGTTGGCCAACAGCACCTTTTTCTCCTGGAGGTCCTTGTCTTCCTGGGGTGCCAGGAAAACCTCTGTCACCTTTAACGAGAATAGCAAATAGTCAGCCCAAGCTAAACTTGGAAATTTGTCATTCTTTAACTTTAAAAGAAGTACAAATTTTTAAAAATACCTTGGGGTCCTGGGAAACCTGGTGGTCCTGGAACTCCTGCTGCCCCAGGGGGACCAGGTAGAGGAACAACTGTTCCTGCTTCACCCTTAGGACCTGAGAAAAATGGAAACACATATAACTGTAAGATTCTGTATGCCAACTGCAGTGTCTTTGCACCATCTAAAATATAATATTTAATTTCATTTATAAAATAATAGTGAAACCTAGTTTATATTTTCCCCATTTCCTTTCCCTAATTTTCTGAAATCTTTCAGAGAAAACCTTTTCTTTGACATACATATCCAAAGTGATTTGCATCAAACTTCAAAGGTTATGGCCACTTATTTTAGAATTCTGATTTGTCGTGAGAACTCCTAAGAAGACCACAAAGAAACAAATCCAAATCTTACCACGTGAAAAACTATTCCAGAAAAATCACGCAGCCAGATATAACATCTTACTCAATTAGCTCGCATTAGAAAGTTCTGAACATATTTTCAATGGACTATATATTGTGTGATGGATAGAGAATTGGCCAGAGACCCAACAAGACCTGGGTCAGCCCTTCTGATATATACTAGCTATTTGCCTCTAGACAACTCATCTAAATTCTCAGTGTTCTAGGCAATTCTTTAGAACTATTGTGGTTCATCCTTCAAGTTGCAGAGAAGGTGCTAACCAACACCTGAGTATAAGATGTTTCCTCAACCAGTGAAATCACAGGCAGATTCACTATCCCTGTGTCACCTTACTCAACAATATCGTATATCTTTTCCTCTGCATCAGACTGAAAGCAACTTGTGTTATACCTATCTCCAGAGCCTGGCAAAGTAGCTTTCTTATATATTTTGCTGAATAATGAGGAGGAGGAGGAAGAGGAGGAGGGTTTGTTGTTGTTGAGTCATTTCAGTCATGTTTGACTCCTCATGAATCCATTTTGGGGTTTTCTTGGCAAAGACACTTAGAATGGCTCACCCTTTCCTTCTCCATCTCATTTTACAGATGAGGAACTGAGGCAAACAGGGTTAAGTGACTTGCCCTCATGTCTGAGGCCAGATTTGAAGTCATGAAGATGAGCCTTTCTGATTCCAGGCCCAACACTCTATCCACTGCACCATCTAGTTGATCCAATAATAAACAATATATTCCTTTAAATCCCGCTGTAGACTATCTATTGATATTAATAGTGCTTTAGAGTCTTTTTTTCATATGACTACAAATGGCCTTGATTTCTTCTGAAAACTGGCTGTTCATATCCTATGATCATTTATCATTATATTCTTATAAATTTAACTCAATTCTCTACATATTTGAGAAATGAAGCCTTTATCAGAGAAACTTGCTATAAAATTTTTTCCCTGGTTTTCTGCATTCCTTATCTTGGCTATATTGGTTTTGTTTGTGCAAAAACTTTTTAATATAATTGAAATTATCCATTTTATATTCCATAATGCTCTATAGTACAGAGCAAATATATACCTCTTGTTTGGTCATAAATTTTTACCTTGTTCATAGATCTGATAGGTAAAATATTCCATGCTTCCCTAATTTGTTTGTGGTAGTACCCTTCATTTCCAAATCATGTACTCATTTTGATCTTATATTGTGAGATGTTGGTCTATACCTGGTTTCTACCAAACTGCTTTCCAATTTTCTTAGCAACTTTTGTCAAATAATGAGTTCTTTTCCCAAAAGTTTGGATCTTTGGTTTTATCAAAATTAGGTTACTATGGTCATTTACCAATGTGTATTGTGTACCTGATCTATTTCACAGATTCGTTTCTGTTTTTTTTTAACCATTACCAAATTGTTTTCATGATTTTGTTGTTGCTCAGTCATTTCACTCATGTCTGATTTTCTGTGACCTCTTTTGGGGTTTTCTTATTTTAATGATCACCTCTTTGTCATATAGTTTGAGATCTGGTACTGGTAGGCCACCTTCCTTCACATTTTTTTCCCCATTGATTCCCTTGAGATTCTTGATCTTTTGTTCTTCCAGATGAATTTTGTTATTATTTTCCTAGCTCTATAAAATAATTTTTATTGTCATTTTTATTACATTGGCTTGGCCTACCCATTAGCAATTAATATTTTTCCAATTGTTTAGATTTATTTTATTTATATGAAAAGAATTTCGTAATTGTGTTCCTGGGTTTGTCTTGACAGATAGACTCAAACATTTTATATTGTCTATGGTTATTTTAAGTGGAACTTCTCTTTCTATCTCTTGCCTCTGGAATTTGTTAGTAATATACAGAAATCCTGATGACTTATGTGGGTTTACTTTATAGCCTGCAACTTTGCTAAAGTTGTTGATTACTTCAATTAGGTTTTTAGTTGATTCTCTAAGTATATCATCATATCATCCGCAAAGAGTGATAGTTTTCTTTCTTCATTGCCTATTCTACTTCCTTCAATTTCTTTTTCTTCTATTATTGCTACAGCTAACATTTCTAGTACAATACCAAATGATAGTGGGGATAATGCCCAGGACAATATTGAACTATAGTGGTGATAATGTGCATCCTTGCTTCACTTGTGATCTTACTGGGAAAGCTTCCAGCTTATCCCCATTACAGATAATGCTTGCTGATGGTTTTGATAGGTACTACTTATCATTTTAAGGAAAGCTCCATTTATTCCTATGCTTTCTAGTGTGTTTTTTTAAAAAATAGGAATGACTATTGTGTTTTATCAAAAGCTCTTTCTGCATCCATTGAGATAATCATGGTTTTTTTTGTTGTTGTTGTTGTTGGTTTTGTTATTGATCTGGTCAATTACGATGATAGTTTTCCTCATATTGAACCAGCTCTGCTTTCCTGCTATAAATCCCACCTGGTCATTGTGCATATCTTTATGATATATTGCTATAATGTACTTGTTAACATTTTATTTAAAGTTTTTGAAAAAAAATTAAAAAAAAAAGCAAGGGGCAGCTAGGTGGCACAGTGGATAGAGCACCAGCCCTGAAGTCAGGAGGACCTGAGTTCAAATCTGACCTCAGACCAAACACTTGACACTTACTAGCTGTGTGACCCTGGGCAAGTCACTTAACCCCAACTGCCTAAAAGCAAAAAAAAATAATAAATAAAGTTTTTGCATCAAAATTCATTAGGGAAATTGGTCTACAATTTTCTTTCTCTGTTTTTGCTTTTCCTGGTTTACATATCAGCACCACATTTGTGTCACAAAAGGAAGTTGGTAGGACTCTTTTTTTTTGCCTATTTTCCCAAATACTTTACAAAGTATTGGAATTAATTGTTCTTTAAATGTTTGGTGGAATTCACTTGTGAATCCATCTGGCCCTGGGGATTTTTTCTTAGGGAGCTCATTCATGGCTTGTTCAATTTCTCTTTCTAAGATAAGGTTATTTAAGTATTTTATTTCCTCTTCTGTTAATTCGGGAAGTTAATATTTTTGTAAATATTCATCCATTTCACTTAGATCGTTAGACTTGTTGGCACATAATTGGGCAAAATGGCTTCTAATAATTTTAATTTCATCTTCATTGGTAATGAATTTACTCTTCATTTTTGATGAAGTAATTTGGTTTTCTTCTGCTTTTTAATCAAATTAACTAATGGTTTATCAATTTTATTGGTTTTTTTTTCACAAACCTAGCTTCTACTTCAATTTATTAGTTAAATGGTTTTCTTACTTTAATTTTATTAATCTCTCCTTTGATTTTCAGGATTTCTAATTTGATATTTAGTTGGGGATTTTTAATTTGTTCTTTTTCTAGTTTTTTTTTAGGTGTATGCCTAATTCATTGATGCACTCCTTTGTTTCATTGATGTAAGTATATAGAGATAAAAGTACTGCTTTGGCTGTATCCCATAAATTTTGGTGTTGTCTAATTGTTGTGATCCTTTTAATGAAGTTATTGTTTTATGTAATTTGTCCTTTGACTCATTCATTATATAGGATTAGATTATTTAGTTTTCAATTAAATTTTAATCTATCTTTCATGGTCCTTTAATGAATATAATTTTTATTTCATTACAATCTGAAAATGATGCATTTAATATTTCTTCTTTTCTGAATTTGGCTGTGAGGTTTTTATGTTTCAATACATGGTCAGTTTGTGTGTAGGTGCCATGACCTATTGAGAAAAAGGTAGGTTCCTTTCTATTCCCATTCAGTTTTTTCCAGAAATCTATCATATTTAACTTTTCCAAAATTCTATTGATCTCCTTAATTTCTTTCTTCTTTATTTTTAGGTTGGGTTTATCCAGTTCTGAGAGAGGGAAGTTGAGGTACCCCACTAGTATAGTTTTACTGTCTATTTCTTCCTGTAACTCATTTAACTTTCCTTTAAGAATTTGGATGCTATCCTATTTAGTACACATATGTTTAACATTGATATTACCTTATTGTCTATGTTACCTTTTAACAAAATGTAGTTTCCCTGCATAGCTCCTTTAATTAGATTTATTTTGTTTTGCTTTGTCTGAGATAATGATTGCTATTTCTACTTTTTTCTACTTCAACTGAAGCATAATAAATTCTGCTTCAGCCCCTTACCTTTACCCTGTGTGTCCCTCTGCTCAAGTGTTTTTCTTATAAACAATATATTGTTGAATTCTGGTTTTGTTGTTGTTGTTGTTGTTTTTTAGGCAATTGGGTAAGTGACTTGCCCAGGGTCACACAGCTAGTATGTGTCAAGTGTTTGGTCTGAGGTCACATTTGAACTCAGGTCTTCCAGACTCCAAGGCTGGTGCTCTATCCACTGCACCACCTAGCTGCCCCTGAATTCTGGTTTTTAAACTACTTTTCTATCCACTTAAATTTTATGGGTAATTTCATCCCATTCACATTCACAGTTATGATTACTAACTGTGTATTTCCCTCCATCCTATTTTCCCTGTTTTATCCTTCTCTTTCTTGCTCTCTTCTTTCATCCTAACCTTCCTCAAAAGTGATGCTATTTGATAGTATTTTACCTACTGTAAAACTTCTTTCAAAATTGGAGTCAATTCTCTCACTGCCCCTGCTTTATCAACTATGTTTGTGTGATATTCCTTAATATCATTGTGTCTCAGGAAATAAGGAGGCCTGAGGAAAGGGAGAGAAATGAGGGAACAGCTGGCTAATGGAGTAATCAGAACACACATATCATTTATTAATTAAGTGCACCACCTTATATGGGTACAATTCAAGGTAACCCAAAACAATTACAATAGTAGCATCACAGATCACCACAATAGATTAATAATAATGAAAAAATTTGAAGTATTGTGAGAATTACCAAAATGTGACACAGAGAAATGATGTGAGTATGTGCTGCTGGAAAAATGGCACTGATAGGCTTGTTCAAGTCAAGGGTTGTCAAAACCATTCAATTTGTAAATAAATTATATAATTTTTAAAAAAATGCAATATCTACAAAGCACAATAAAGTGAAGCATAATAAAAGCAGCTATGCCTGTACTCCTTCTAACTGCCCTAATAATTATAAAATTCTTAGGAGTTACAAGTATCTTTCCATGTAGGAATCTAAACAGTTTAACCTTATTGAATCCCTTATGATTTCTGTTTCATATTTACCTTTTTATGCTTCTATTGAGTCTTATATTTGAGAATCAAATTTTCTATTGAACTCTGGTCTTTTCATCAGAAATGTTTGAAAGTGCTCTATTTCATTAAATATCCATTTTTTTTTCCCTGAAGGATTACACAGTTTTACTGGATAGGTGACCCTTGGATATAATACCACTGGCATTTTCCTGCTGGAATATCATATTACAAGCCCTCTGATCCTTTGATGTTGAAGCTGCTAAATCTTGTGTTATTATGACTGTGGATCCATGATACTTGAATTGTTTCTTTCTGGTTGCTTGCAATATTTTCTCCTTGACCTGGCAGCTCTAGAATTTCGCTATAATATTCCTGAGGGTTTACATTTTGGGATTTCTTTCAGAAAGTGCTCAGTGGATTCTTTCAGTTTCTACTTTACCCTCTGGATCTAAGATATTGGGACAGTTTTTTTTTTAATAATTTCTTAAAATACACTGTCTAGGCTCTTTTTTGATCGTGACAATATTCAAACACCATGAAAGAGAATGACCCTGAAAGCAGATAATATAGCCAACCATGGACTCAAGGGTTAATTAGCTCTGACATTTGGGAACTGTAAAAAGTAGCATACCCAGGGATTCCAGCTGAGCATCCTTCCCAGAGCAGATGCACCCCGGGGTAGCAGCAAATGGATGCCACAAGAAGGAAAAGTATACCAGGGGCCTATAGTACCAGAAGTGTGGCCTGCCTTAGGCATATGTGTTCTCTATGAATGTGTCCACACTTCCTATAAACATTGTGTATATTTGTGGGATAGCATACCCTAGGTTTATGGGAAGAATATATTATAGCCACTTTCTTACTATGCCATCTTGGTAAATGACTTTGCTTTGAGCTAATTGTGTCCACTGGCTATTAAAGATACAAAGAGTTATAATTTTAAGAGCACAGACCCAGAGGGCTTGTCATTTGAACCCAAGGTAGCAGGTGTTCCCTCTGGAAGCCCCAACCTATGATTTCTAGTTGGAGAGGTAGCCTCCTTCAGCTGCATAAAGAACAAAGACTTATAAAACTGAAACTTATAACACTTATAAACTGAAAGAGATGTAAAAGGTAATCTATTCCTATCCACTCATTTTACAGATGAGGAAACTGAGGCTGAAGAGGCCAAAAATTTGTCAATAGTCATAACAGAAGCAGAACTAGGAGCACAACCATGTTATAATTCATTGCTCATTCTAATATACTATATATATGGTAATCTTCTCAACACTTCATATATTCAACTACTTACCTGGGAGGCCTGGTGACCCAGGGCTTCCTGGAAAACCTGCTTGCCCTTTGTCACCAACTGGACCAGGCAGGCCAAATCCTGGTGGGCCAGGGGGGCCTATGTCACCACGACTCCCAGGAAATCCAACTCCTCCAGGGAGACCACGTTCTCCTTTTAGTCCTATTGAACCCTTTAATAAAAAGATAATTATCTATCATATATGTTCATTTCATAATCTTTTTGGTAAATAAGTATCCTAAACATATCTCCCCCTCCTTCCCCCTCACCTCAAACCAATACCCTTCTATTATCAAGTTTAATTGAGAGCTGAAGGTATAAGATTAATCTGTGTTTCTCCAGCCCAGATTAATTCTCTAGCCCCATAGATCTTTTCCTAATTAGTGAGAAAATATTCCTAAATGTCTCCAAAAATAGTATATCAGTACTTGAATTTAATATCCAATCAAATGCCTAGAATCATTCATGCTCCCCAAAATCATAATATTCTAGGACCTGCTCGCTAACCCTCAGCATGCAATCCATCATCATTATCGCCATTTTCTCCTTCACAACTGTTATACACTTGACATTAATTTTAGTAGGTTTGACACTAACTTTATGTCTGAACACTAGCCAAATTATTTGCTAAAAATAGATAATTATTCAAATTATAAATCTCTTTATTTTCCTTTGCTCTGAGTTAAAGTGCATAGACTAAAATATGGAAATAAACATACCGGTGAGCCTTTGGGACCCTGAAGACCTGGATGGCCATCTCTTCCAGGTGTTCCTGCCCTTCCTGGGGCACCTGGTTGTCCTGGAAAACCTGGCTCTCCCTTTTCACCTTTGAGTTGTATATCAAAGTAAATCTCTCCAGGCTCTCCCTTTGCTCCTGGCTCACCCCTCAGTCCTGGCAAACCTGGAGGCCCCTGTAATAATAAAACACCAACATATTACTAATTCTTTCCATTTCTCTAATGATCGACTCACCCAGTAATGCTTTCTGAAATGAAATAAGAAATTTGACCTTCTCTCGAGTGGTATTTCAGAAAAAAATCTACTATAGAACTAGTTACTATTCAACAAAGCCCAGGTCCTTCTTTCTATTATTTCTCAAAGCATTCCATTTTGCTCCACTGGACATTTCAAAATAGATAAGAGAAAAAGAGTATGGAATTTTACATGTAGCTCCATACAGAAGCCGTTAATACAAGTCCAGTTGCAAAGAACTGTTCCAATATAGTCGAAGAATTTTTGAATATATACTGGCATAAGAGGAGATATCCAAGGAGTCTTTTCCTTGTGCAGTGCCAAGTGTTTTGGGAGGCTTTTAGATCCACAGTGCAAGGGTGCCTGTTTCCCATTTTCAATTGTTATTGGAGACTAGTCAATGACAGGTGAGACCAGACATGTTTTTTCTCAGGCTAGTCATTACTGAAATTGTAAAGGTTTCCTTTCATGTTTGCACCCTTTGTTCTAGGAGATAAGGACTTCCAGCACTATGTGTGGAAACTGGAAAGCCAACATTCAGCCAACTCTATAATTAGTCACTTATGAGCAGTCAGCAGAATAGAATTTACTTTCCCAAGAGCCACATAGTAGAACACATTTTTCAATTCCTGGAAAGCTAGGTTCTCTCAGAATGTGCACACCCACAGATGTTTTTTCATCCAGCAGCCTTCAGAACTCAGGGTGCTCAAGGAAATTGCAAGTGTTTCAAATGACCAAAATAAATCCAAATTACTTGTTCTTTTAGCACTGAGAAACAGCTTCTGCTTTCTAGCTGATTTAGTATAATTTTGTCAAGCTTAATCTCAGAGGATATTCTAGTACAGTATTCAGTTTTAATTCCTCATCACTCCCACCCCCTTCCCCCAAGGGTCCTGTCTTTGGATACATGTACTTTTCAAAGGAGACATTTGGTTTACAGTGAGGTAGAGCTATTGCCCCTCCCATGGCAAATGTCTAGTTGTTACTTTCTAAGGCGTATATTAATGCTAACAGTCCAGAGCATAATTACTAACATGACTCAGCTCATTTTCAGGGTCTGGGAAGTGTGTAAGCATCTTCTCCCTAATTCAGGATTGCCCACTGCATTAAAGGGCCCAGTATATTATTGTGCTAGAAGAATAAATATGCTTAAAAAATGGACACTCAGTAAAACTACATAAAACACTTAATACATGTTCAGGGAGGCTGGGAGTAGCTTCAAACCAATTCTCTTGGCCAGTTTGTGGCAATGCCATCCTAAATTCCTTTTACAGGGATCAGGTTCTTAAAGGACCATAGATTTAGCACTGGAAGACTCTTTGTTGCAATCTAGTTCATCTCTCTCAATTCAGAGGTGAGGACACTGATGCCAAAAGGGAGTTAGGTGACTTGTCCAAACAGATTCAGACCTAGCTCTTCTTTTTCCACAATCCAGCATGCCTTCCACTCTGTTGTGTATTTATTTAGGTATCTCCAATGTCTACCACGGTACTGGCTAAATATTAGCATTTAATGCATATTGACTGCTACATTGCTGAATGAATGGTAAATCATTAGCTGTCCTTCTCCAATTAAGGGACAATGAGTACCAACTCAGGAATGTATAAACCCCAGTATATAATGTTTCAGTCTAAATCTGGAGGCAAGTCTAAATCTTGGGAAAGTAAGTTCCTTTGATTTTCTCTTAAAAGTTATTATTCAGAGAGCCACTTAACAGAATTCTGTTCAAGTCTGGTTACTGAGATACATATATGTGCATGCATTTTATATATGCATATATAAAATCATCTATAGATAATCTACAGAACTATATATATATATGCATATACACAAAATATATAATCTATAGAACTATATTTTCATCTATATATAATCAGTAAAGCTTTAGAGACAGTTTACATATTTAAGAATTAAATCAAATGAGATAATAATTGAAAGAAGCTTAGAACGGTGTCTGGCACATAGCAAGCATTATGTAAATGTTAAGTATTACTATTGGTATTATTAGTATTATTTCATTTAAACCCTTTTAACCATTATTAGCAGTGGAAATCCCTCATTTTATAAAGAGGAAAAAAAATGTAGATTTTATTTTTCCGGTCCTCCCCACTTTGACTATTTAGTCAATTCTGCTGAATATCACCAAAAACACTGCTTTTTTCAAAGCAAAATGTCTGAGAAAGCTTACTTAGGCAATTAATGAAATCTCAGAATATATCCCAGTTTGTAACTTTAAAGTATTACACAGTCGGTTTTACAGGTCCCTTGGTGGCTGCTGCAGTTACACAGTCAAAAGCACATGAGATAATATTTGCAAAGCATATGTAAAGCTATGTAAAACATATATGTAAAACATAGCATAGTGCCTAGCACATAATAGGCATTATAGAAATACTACACATCATCATTATAATGGTCATCGTTAAATTCATTATTTCACCAAAGTGTTTACTAATAAAGAAGTAATCATAGTCTTTTAGCACCTAGATAGAAGAGTTTTCATTATAGAATTTTTAACAATATTGTTTTTAAATTCTTCATTATAAGAGAGTCAGTCATACATACACTCTAATCATGTATTCAGATTAGGTCCTAATGAAGGAAGCAGCGGGAATTGTCTTCAAAAATATAATTTTGTGGGGCAGCGAGGTGGCGTAGTAGGACCTGAGTTCAAATATGACCTCAGACATATAATACCTCCTAGCTGTGTGACTTTGGGCAGGTCACTTAACCCCAGTTGCCTCACTTAAAAAACAAAAGTCCTATTTTGGGGCAGCGAGGTGGCGCAGTGGATAAAGCACCGGCCCTGAAGTCAGGAGGACCTGAGCTCAAGTCTGGCCTCAGACCAAACACTTGACACTTACTAGCTGTGTGACCCTGGGCAAGTCACTTAACCCCAATTGCCTAAAAAATAATAATAATAATAATAATTTTGTGTAATGTACATTGTCCAACTTTCAGGTAGATTTCTTCTCCCTCCCTTATGCTTTTCTCTCCTACCTTTGTCTTTATCCTGTCCTTTCCTCAACATGAAATCTCTCTCTTCTCCCTCTCTCTTTCTATGACTATCTGTCTGTCTCTACCCCCTTACTCTCTCTCTTTCCTACCCTCCTCACCCCAGTCTACTTTTCTGTTTCTTTAAATCAAGTTTTCAAGGGCAACAGGACTGATTTCAAGCCAAACTTTAAGCAGGAAATATACCACCTGTCTCAGAAGAAAAACAGATAAAGGGAGGTGAATTGAGAGTAAAAGCACCCTTCTCACATTCCTTTGTCTTTGATATTCATAATAGATGGAACATCCCCAGTTCACCTGAACTTTTAATTTATTTAGAAACACTTTAAACAATTGCAACCCTCAGTTTAGCTCCCCAGGCTCCAGGATGGTTCTAGAACGCCAAGAGGCAAAGATTTATCTTTAAAAGGAAACAAATGATTGTTTGCCTCTAGCTGTTTCACTTTCACTAGAGCTCCTTTCCCCCTTCCCTCACCCTCACACTCACAGAAGCTTCCAGCAATCTAAGAAAACATCTGTCCAGTTTACATTCCTTTGGGAAATGTAGCCACATCAGAAGAGACTAATGAGGGAGAGTTCTTTTTTTTCCAAATTAAAGATAATACAATAAGGAATTACAGATACTAGCTAATGCTTAAATTGAATAGAAGGAACAGGTGAATTGGGGAAACAAAATTATAATATTTCATTAGAATATTTTGTGCTGATTTTAATAATAAAATAATCTCTACCACTTATTTTTTTCTTGTTTTCTCAATTACTCTTTCTTGTAAGAAGCTAGAGACATAATTGATATTGTGTTTAACTAGATTTCATGCAATGGTGATTACCACCAAGTGACTCTTAAGTAGTAAGCAAGAAAGTGAATTTAGCTAGAATATGCTACCACTAACCATAAGGATTTTCCAAAGTACCACAGGGTTTTCACATAGCAACCCAAGTCGACATACAGTATAAAGAAAAAGCATAGCAAATCCTTGGGGAAAGAACACTGCAAGTCAGGTTTCCCAGTTTTGTACCAAGAAATTATATCAAATCCATTCACTAATAAGTTTTTGGGTTTTATGCTACAACGGTACTGCTTGAGAAGGCAAATGGAATAGAAAACCAAATTGACTGTCCATTGTAATTGCTTAGAAAGGCCACCGGAGGGCACCAGGGTACACTTTGTTTGCTTTGAAAAATGATAAAATTGCAAATACAAGGATTTCACCAGAAGATGGTGCACCAGCCTTCAAATCTATGAACACAAGACCAGGTCTGTGAAAATGTAAAAAGTAAACTTGGATATCTAGTCTGGTTTCAACAAAGTTGACTTCTTTCTTAATTCTGACTGAAATTGAATGAATCAGTCTTATATAAGGTAAAAAGTGATGCGACTGGATCACTCAGAAATACTGCATTTCTCTAATACAATTAAAGCAAAATAGCAACAAAAATGCAAACATGCATTTGTCTTAAGAAGGGAATAAGCATCTGTTAAGTACCTACTATGTGCCAGGCACTATGCTAAGCATGTTATAAATATTATTTCATTTGATCATCATTAGCTCATTTGACACCTTCTATGACAGACTGAAGTTCACAATGGTATACTTACAGGCATTCCTTCAAGACCATTACGTCCAGGTGAACCTCTGTCTCCCTTGGCACCTGGCTGTCCTGGAAAACCTAAACAAAAAGATGGGGCGAGAGAGAGGGGCAAAATGAATACATCAAATGACTCAAACACAATATCACATTTTTCTACATTAAACTTCCTAATTCAATGTTAAAAAGCAGGGACATTTTTATACAAAGTGATGTTCTGAGACAAATTTCATAATAAAAGTCCCTATTGGAAACTACAACTATTCTGAAATTTAGAGGGGAAAGAGACTCTAAGGCCATGTAAAATGGTTTTGGTGTGGGTTTTTATATGTAACTTCTTTTTCTGAATAGATGTATTCCTGAGGAAAATTTTATTAATTTTTTGGTAAAAGTATCAAATTCATCATGCTGGACTGTGTAAAGAGAGTGTCTCTATGAACCACTTATTTTATAACTATCTAAATATTAGGAAAGTCTTTGCTGTAAAGAAGTTAAATGATATAATATTATTTTCTATTTTGTGTGGGAAAATTATATCAAAATTTTCTATTCTTCATTAGAATAAAATATAATAAGCCAGAAGTCTGAGAAGTCATAAAGGTAGTTATTGATTTCATGACTAAAGAAACCAAAATCAAAGTTTAATTATCTTACCTATTTCCCCTGGTGGTCCTTGTGGACCTGGAGGTCCAGGCCGTCCATCTAAATCACAGGTTAGGCAACCTTGACCTTTCTCACCTTCAAAATGAAATGTATGTACACTGTGAGTGGATTACATGTAAAGAAATCCCCAGTATTACATATAAAGAAATCCTCAGTACACTATGCTGAAAGAATAGAATAAATGAGTCACTGTTACTAGCAAATGTATTAAAAGTGAGATTTTCCAAATGATCACCTCTTTGTGGGTATTAGTTTTCTAATGAATAATAGAATTGGCACATCTCTGTTACACGCCTCTTTTTTTTTCTATAGACAACTAAGATACTTTTTACCCATACTTTCATTCTGCTCTGAATACAATGTTTCACATACAACCTACTTTTGCTTCTAATAATTTTAAATAATTACAAAAATGAAGCACACCCCCCTCAAAAACACCCCAAAACCGAAGCAGTGCACGTTTATATGGACTAAGCTGCTCGTCCTTCTTGGGCTTTTGGGGAGGAGGATAAACTATTTTATTCTTCATTATGTTTTATCTACTGCAAAAAACCAATAAACTTCTAACTACTTTTTTCTTTGGCTTATTTTGTTTATATAAGCTATATTATGGCAGAGTGACCCAATAAATATTGTTGACTGAAAGATGATAATCAAAAGGAAAAAGAACCAGTTAGCCAATATGAAATGAGGGACTAGTGAACAAAACAAAATATACCACACTATAGAGATGACAAGAAAACATATTTTTCCCTCTCTGTTCAGAAGCATTATTCAATCCACAAAAATAAATCTTTTAATAATTTAGGCACACATGCTCACGGTCTTAGGTTTTAAGGCTGAAATCTTCAATTACCTTGTTTCTAAGCAAAGTGTTGGCATGACAGCAGGGGGAAAAGCATACAGAAACAACAGTTACTAGAAAAGTGGGGAAAATCAGTGCTTACTGGTATCCCATTTCACCTATTGGACATTCTTCCCACCCTACCCCTTCCTGAAACCTTCTTATTCTCTCCCTAGCCCCCTCTTCTCCAATCACCTAATCATGGTTCTTTCCTCCAGAGCCATGGTCTTAGTATACTACAAGCATTCCTTTTGAAAGTATGAACTAATAACTGAGGTTTTTGTTGATAGTACCTGAAGGAAGTCAGAATGCTGAAATGACACACTGGGATCAAAATAATCGGGCAACTACCCTCTCATAGCTGGTTAATATCCATATAATGTATATGGAGAAGGGTAAACAAATATGGAGAAATGTATATTCTGAGGCAGAACTGTTAACAATTCTCCATGTATGCATACCTAAGGTTCCAAAAAGGCCAAAAGATGTCTCACTACAACTGTTACATCTGGCTTGTTAAAAGAAAAAGAAAAATCAGTTCACAGAGCCATCTGTCAATTCAACAGCTATAGTGTCAGTACCATGGAATTAAGATGCTATGGCATTAATAGCAGAACTGAGCTTTCGATTTTTGGCAGTTTTTTAGAATTTTCATAAATTTTGTGAAACCGGCATTGTTCAGGACTTTTGCTCCTGAAATTTTAAGGAGGAAAGTATGGTAATGTTTCCATTTTATCCCAGAGTTTGGTCTGCTGAGTTTGTCTTCATGAAGGCTACTAATTACTTAAAATCACATGGAATTGGCAGGGAGACAAGAACAGACATTGACCCTGAGGGATGAAGACCTATAAAATTTCCCTTTTTGAAGGGCATTCTCATCTCAAAAGCTCAAAATGAGATAATCTCAAAAGAAGTAGCAAAAGACAATTGTTCAAAGAATGTATCTTGATAGCATCCCACATGGCTTATAAATTTAGTATATAGTGTGAACACTGAGTTAAAAAAAAATCCACAAGCCCTAAAATAAATTACCTTTTTCTCCCATCTCTCCTGTCAATCCGGGTAGCCCAGCACTTCCTGGTGGACCTTGATCTCCAGGGGGTCCAGGCTGGCATTCCACTATTCCATCTAGAAGTGAAACAAAACAAGGAAGAATTCTGGTTTTATAAAATCCAGATTTTCTAGGAGATAGCAGCCAGGGAATTTTACCTTCACATTCTACAGACAATGTGCCACAACAAAAAGTTGTATTTATTAGAATTTTAAAAGAACCAGGTCCATTGACTTGAAAAACACAATCATAAATGTGCTGTTTAGAATGCCATGACAAAGCATGGCTTAATTCCTTTGTACTCCTTCAACACAAGCTGAAAACAAAGTCGCTATTAGCCTATAGAAATCGTGACATACAACACCACGGTAAGGTGCTTAACAATTATTGTTGTTTAATTCTAAGGCTCTTTTATGTTAATAGACCAGGAGACAAACTAAAGTCATACAAAAAGCATCTGGTGTATTTCTCGAAGAAGGTGTTAGCTGAGAAGTATTGCTTTCTGTCTATAGCCAGACAACGCTGGGTTTTCTTTTCCTTTTTATAAAATGGAATATTTATCCTTTCACTCATTCAAGGAAAAATGAAGGAACAAACAGAGAATTTGCTCTTGCTTCTTAGCAAACAGATGACTTCTGCATCCCACACATCTAGCAGAGTCACAAGAGGTTAAGCACTAACAAGCTTTACTCTTTCTTTAGTCTGTAAAATCTGTATTTGTGATGTTGTCAGCATCTAGGTAGTTACTTCTTTGGCCACTAGTCCTCACATCGACCTGATTTATGTTCCCTCTGCTCTCTGGTGGAAATTACAAAGAGGGCATAGTTGGGGCACAAGAGACAGCAGCGACATGGGACAGCTAGTGAACAAATGCCTATTCCATGGTGGCAAGCAAGCAGAGGTCGCTGAGCAAACCCTCCATTGTTTCTACTTAATGCCCTAACAGAATGCCTATATCATTCTGTTCTTTGGGTCGGAGGTAGGCTGCCCAGTATACCCAGCATCAAGCAGTGTAAGTAAGATCTGCCATAGAGATAGCTCTGATGGTTCTTGGTGACTTCTCTTCATTGAACAGCAGGAAGTCAGGAAGCCTAGAAAGCAATTACTTCTCAACACACTTCCTAGTCAGCCACAGCTATCAACTCTGGATTTGTGCCTTCCCTCTCTGCTAATTCACATCTTCCTTCATTTTTTTTCAGCATAATTAACTGAACCCTGTAGGTCCTACAGAAAGTAAACATAAACTTTCATGCTTTAAAAAACACATCCCAAATTACTTCACCGTGAAATCTATGGTCTTAGTAACATACAGTTTTAGTTGTCACCTACTACTTAAACCAGATAATAATCATTGACATTTACATCAGGGGTTTGCAAAGTAATGCACATATATTATCTCATCTGCTCCTCATGACAACTTTGTGGGATAGCTACTGTAAGTATTCTTATACTCTCCCTAGAGGTATGCTGAGGCCTACAGTTAACTGATTTTCCCCTGATTACTCTTTTTTTAATTGTTTTTTTTTGTTTGTTGTTTTTGCTAGGCAATGGGGTTAAGTGACGTGCTCAGGGTCACAGAGCTAGTGAGTGTTACATGTCTGAGACCGGATTTGAACTCAGGTCCTCCTGACTCCAGGGCTGGTGCTCTATCCACTGAGCCACCTAGCTGCTGCCCCCCCATTACTCTTAGAGAAAGGATATGAACCTAGATCTTCCTGACTATACAGTACACCACATTGTCTTTCTCAAATCCATCTACTTGTCGGACAAAGAAAGTTCACAAGAGATGATGATAAAATAAAGAGATCATACTAGATTATCTCTAAGGTCTTTTATAGATCACAATCTTATAATAGCATGACTAATGACATAAACAAAATTCACATACTTTTCAGAGAATCCTTCAATCATCCCTCACCTGAATACTACCCCTGTGTAGTTCTGATGTGAAAGCAATGTATGGTAAATGGGTAAGTCAAGCCAAAATAACTTAAAACCCAAATCAAAAACTAGGGAAATTCTAAGTGACAAGATACAAAAATCAATATTATGATCCATGGTGAACAGTTTTTGTCTATTAAGAGTATTTGCAGGCACAGATGCCCTAGAGCTCACTGTAGCCATATGGGAAATGAAGACCATCATAACAAGCCTGTTTTAGTCGTGCATGGTTAATGAACCATTAATGTGCCTCAAAGTGGCAATTAGCTTTATGCTGTCTCTTTGCCTAAGTCATATTGTGTACATAAAACATTCTCATTTATAAATTATCCCTTAATACTTTATGATTTTTGTGCTTATTTTATATTGTCTATAATGGGCCAAGGTAGGTTGACAAGTCATTAGCTAATCTAGTGCTTCCTATTCAAATAAAAGAAGTGATAAGATTACATATTTAGCAGAAGCATACTTATTCATGACAAGCAGCATGGTATAGGGGAAAGAGATCTAAGTTTTAAGTTGGACCACATACCATTTAATACCTGTGTGACCTTGGGCAAATCATTAATACCTGCATGCCTCAGTTTCATGCGTAAAATGAAGGGACTGGACTACATGACCTTTAAGGTCCCTTCCAATTTTATATTATGATCCTAAGACTTCGATAGTGAAAAAATTTTTTTAAATATATGAGAAACCAATAAATGCAGTTTGCTGCTAAGAGAGAGGGCAGCTTGGAATGGTCAAGAAAACATTGGACATAAAGTCAGGAAGACCTCAGTTCAAATCCTGCCTCAGATACTTACTAGTTTTATGACCCTAGACAAGTCACTTAACGTTTCTGGGCCTCAGTTTCTTCATCTGTAAGATGAAAGGGTTGGATTTTATGACCTCTCTGAGGACTTGGAAGCTGTAAGCTGGAAGGCTTTAAATCTATGACCCTATGACTTATTTTCAGCTAATTCAAATGGACTAATTTTCATATGCCCTTATATCTAGACGGGACCTTGAAGGCCTCCAAGCCTCTCTATGACAGATGAGGAAACTGAGGTTCAAAGAGGTTGACTGACTCACTCATGTTACAATAAATGCAAGAGGCAGGATTTGAACCCAGGTCTTCCCGACACCAAGTTGAGTACTTTATCCACTACACAACAAGCTATCCCATGTTTCATCTTATGACAGTAAGAAGACCTACAGTTTACCCCCTGCTTGGCTACTTATTGGCTATGTAGCCTGTGTAAACTCATTTAAGTTCTGAAACCATTTCTTTATCTGGAAAATGGGAAGATGACATTTGTACTACCTGCTTCACAGGACTGTTATAAGAGTAAGATGAGATAATATATGCAAAGTATTTGTAACAAACTATAAAGGGCTTCATAAATGTTATTTTACATAGTCACGTGACTAAAAGTAGCTTAAGTGCTAAGTCCCATACAGTCTGCCTTTTTCTCCTGTCCTCCACATGTCGCAGCACCTAACATTTATATAGCCCTTTAAGATTTGTACAGTGATATCTACGTATGCTATCTCATTTGATCCTCATTGATAATTTTCATTATCAATACTATTGCTATTTTATAGACGAGGAAACTCAGTTTGAGAAAGGTTAAGTGACTTGCCCAAGGTCACACAGCTAGTAAATGTGTTCAATGAGACTCCAGCACTTTTACCCTCTATGCTACCTAGTTGACTGAGAGCAAATTGATCCTTTCATTTTCTCAGTTTATTTTTCCTATCCAGGTATCTAAATATTCCATACCCTCATTGATAAAGTGTGCTACCTGATGGTCTGATGCCATCTAATAGGCAAGGATTTCTAATTCTGGTACTCTTCATGTTTTAATAATTAAATCTCTTTAAATGATGATCAAAGCATACCTTACCCATCCTTGCAGTCTATGTTGAATAGTACAATAGAAACATTCCAAAAATGGTATATGCCTACCTAGCAATTTGAATTTTAAAGCTATTCTTATTAACCTTTAATCAATCATAGCATTTAAACATATCAACTTATTCTTTAAATAGCTAACTCCCTAATCTTCAGGTTATGTTTGAGGTTCTGAGTAGGCTTGACACGTTTTTGGCTAGCCCTGACACTAAGAACAGGGTTGAATTCCAAGGAAAACAAAATTAAATGGAACTTACTTGTATGGCCTGGTAAGCCAGGAGGCCCAGGAGGCCCGGGCGGTCCTGGGAACCCATCTCTTCCACTTGTTCCTGGCAATGATTGTCCTGGGGGACCTTGGTCACCCTTTTCTCCTCTTTCACCAGGAAAGCCAGGAGCACCAATTTGCCCTGGGACTGGGAAGCCTTAAGTCAGAAAATAACCAATTAGTATAAAAGGGCACATTCTAATCCATTCACTTGCAAAACAAAAAGGGAACAAACATAAAATCCCACAATCACTAAATAAAGCAATTTTACTTTATTGAGTGAAAGAGAAAATGCCTAGGAGATAATCAATATATGTTTGTGCCACAGGTATATGACACTACATTAGATGTGATACAAGACCCAGTTAAATGAACCTACATGGATAAAATATAAAACATGCATGCAGATAAGTATGAATGAATGTATAGGGTTTTTTGTATGTAGCTATTTTTAAGATGTGTGGGCATCAGTGTCTGTCCATATCTTGAACTGGAAATAATACTCTAAATATTATAATCAGAAGGCAATAGGAGAAATGTGAAATTTCTACCTAGGGAAAGAGAACATATCCCATGTATAGAAACTGATATGAGATGAAAGAAAGATGAGACTAAACAGAGGGATAGTAAACAGACTGTTTTTCTGGAGATAGGAACATAAGTAGAGACTAAAGAGATTTAACAAGTATGTACTTGAAGGCATCAAAAGCTTGAAGACAAGAAACGTGGCCTCAGCATGTAGGACTATGGTTACCCACTTCAAGATTTTAAGTAGGAATACTGTCCAAGTAATTATCAGCATTGGTAATGATAGTTTACTCATGGTTGTTCCCTACACCATTGAAATTACAAGTCCAGATCAATAGATAATTGAAATTATATATTAGTAGATATGAACATCTATCCATTAGTGCACAGAGAAATGAATACATATATGTGTGTGTATACATGTATGTGTTTAGGAAAGAAAGATGGGAGAAGAGACAGAAAGACAGAGACAGAGAGTGGAGGAGTCACAGAGGGAGGAAGAAAGGCAGCAAGAGAGTAAGAAAGAGAGGCAGAGAGAGAGGGAGGGAGAGAAAAAGGGGGAGAGGGAGACAGAGACAGACAGACAAACAGATGGGGGAGATACAAAGGGAAGAAGGGAGGAAGAGGGTTAGAGAGGGAGAGAGGAAGAGAGAGAGAGAAGGAAGCAAGGAGGGAAGGAAGGGAAGAGAGGGAGACAGACAGAAAGAGAGAGACAGAGACAGAGATGGAGACAGAGAGACAGAGAGACAGACAGAAAGACAGAGACAGAGACAGAGAGAGAGCTGGATTAGTCTACTAAGGTGTGGAGAAATTGCAATCTGTGTCTGTGGAGAGAGTGCTGATATTGACAAAATCACAGACATTTTAAAGTATTGAACTAGTTAGTGAAGAAGATGGTTTGGACTCTGGTGATTCAAAGAAAAATTTATTGTATGCCCTGAGTCTGTGGGCTCAGGACAGTAGTTCAAATGCTTTCAAAAATATAAAAGAATTACGGACAGGGTTCTCAATCTCAAGGAGTTTTCAATGTAACTGAGGTAGAAAACAAGAAACAATAAGAAAATATCTAAGTACTATGCTACATGGTACAACTTAGAATTCTAATGGCCTTCAGAGAACAAATGAGGTCTTGACCAGCATACTCAAGGAAGGCTTTACAGAAAAGGCTGGAGTTGAACTGGGCTTTGAAAGATGAGAGAGAGAGACAGGAGTCTACATAGGAGATCTGGCCACATGATGGCTGTGAAAGTGAGGAACATGGAGTAGTCTGACTGCTGTAGAGATTTTGTATTAGGGAGTAATGTCAAATAAAGTCACACAGGTAATGGAGGGATTTCTTAAGAAGTCCCTGAAAGGGGGTAGCAAGGAGGCGCAGTGGATAGAGCACCGGCCCTGAAGTCAGGAGGACCTGGGTTCAAATCTGGCCTCAGATCAAACACTTGACACTTACTAGCTGTGTGACCTGGGCAAGTCACTTAACCCCAACTGCCTAAAAGCAAAAAAAAAAGAAGACCCTAAAAGCCAGAGGAGTCAGGATTTGATAGAAGAGACAACACAAGGTCATTAGAGCTTCTAGAACAAGGTAAGTACATAAAACAAGATAGCTTAGAGAAAAGAGAAATCATATGCAAAGTAGAACATAATTACAACTAGATATTATTGCAGTAACCCCACTCTGTAAGTGTATCTACATATACACATGGAATATATTAAAACAGATTATATTTTTAAGTATACCTATATATAATGTTCATTCTCACCCCAAAATTGCTCAGAAGAAATATTTTAAATAATTAAGTGTTGTTATTCTCATTAATTCATTTATTTGTTCAACAAACATTTAAACTTCTACTGTATGCAAATCAATTTCCATACAGATCTATAACATTCAATACACGATGAAGAAAACAGACTAAGTAGGAAAAAATATTTCTGTTATAAATTGAATTTTTACCTGGAGGACCTGGTAGGCCTGGACTACCTGGAAAACCTAAGGAGAGAGACAAACAAGGAGCTATTAGAATGTTTGTCAAATTTATCACCTTATTAGTTCAAGTCTGCCATAGCTATAAATACTCATGCCAATAGGGACATAGAAAGATGTACCCCCAAAAATGTAAAATGAAAACAAACAATTCTATGTGAGCCTCATGTACCCCAAAGTACAGAAAAAACAGTAACAACAGTGATGACCAGCGCTGTTCTATATTTCAGTCAGTATTGTCTCCTATCTGAATCAATTCAATTTTTACAGTAAATTTAATGAGCATTCAATTGTTTAAGTCACTAAAAAACATATCAAGTACTACTTAAAAGCCCCTTTCCACATGTGCAAATTTGCAATTATAACATAGGCTTGTAACATAAACACATATTAAATGTGACATGGTTTATAGCATAAGGGAAAATCTCAATCATTACTCTATTCTGGGAGTGAGGAATCTGCCCTCTAGGTCCTCAAGTGTGGCTCTTTGATGTTTGTATTCAGTCAAAGGGCCACACTTCAGGACCTAGAGGGCCACATGTGGCCTCAAGGCCACAGTTTCCCCACCCCTACATTCATTATATGATTCTTCCAATTACATATACATTTTCAACAGAAGAATGAATTCAGACCAGAAAGAATTTTTAAAAAATTAACCTTTTTGACCCGGTTCGCCTTTTAATCCTGGAGCACCTGGATATCCCTTCTCTCCTTTTTCACCCCCTGGTTGTGTGCTTATCACCTATATCAAAATAGGGAAAAGTGTCCATGAATGCAAGGCTCTAAAGATGGCATCAAGAATATGGCTACAAACGTGAAGAAAATTGTTCCACCTAAAAACTAACAAAGATATGTTCAGCGCCTGTTTGTAGCAAAGTAAAACCATGAGTTGCTCTCTAAGAGTTTTAAAACATGTAAGAGTAGCTATGAATGTAGAGAACCTGAAATTTCTCAGGTTTCCCTAACACAGAAATCCACCAGGCAGCTCAGTGGAGATGTTATAGTCAGTATTAATGAGTTGATAATGTTGTTTTGGTTTGTTTTCTCTCGTTAAAAAAAAAAAGCCTAAGGGATGCCTGAGCAAACATATTTTAGCTATGGCATAGATTCTCAATTAAAAGAATAGGTAGGTAACAAGTGAACCTTTATAAATTTACCAAGGTCATATCTTATGGGAGATGCTACACATTACAATCTTAGCAAGCCAATGGGTGGTAAAAAGTTACCAAACATGAAAGAGGACTTCTCCTTAAAGTCAGGCTCAAGAGATAACAGCAGATGGACAGTCTGGGAAATACATTCATGACTTTTATTTACATCTAATAAACCATTCTCTCAAATACTAAACTATCAAAGCTCAAGAAAAGCTATGAAACCAAGGGTCTTCAGATTAACATCTGACACACACACACACACACACACACACACACACACACACACACACACACACACACACACACACACACATATACGCGCACACTCTATTGCTGCTAATTTTTTTTTTAGCAAGTCATTTTGTTTTTGGTGACCTGAGGCTCTCTGGAAGAGAAAAGAAAGTAACAATCTAAAAAAAATAAAAATAGGTAAAAAAATCCACATGCAAAAGATCATCAGTTTTAGCATATACTTTTCCCTTTAAAAATCTTTTGCAATATCAGGAAAATATTTTAATTATTTTAAAAAAAAAAGAGACTCCTGGGCAGTTTCCTCATTGTCTAAAAAGGGTGACAATTTACAATTTTTTCACCTATAGACAACCCCAGGGGCAGAGTTCAACAATATAAACCATCATGGCAACACATGAAATAGAAGAGAACCAAGATGTTGGGAAATGTAGTCCTGGAAAGATTCCTATATAACAACAGAGCCCTATCCTTCTTGCACTTTAGCTTAACAATTTTATAGACATTCACCCTCATAAAGGCCTTATTCTGATCTCTCAGAAGGCTGTGGAAGTAAGCCTGAGTTCTTCAAACAGGCTTCATGCAAATTTGCACAGAAGGCTATCAAGCCAAAAAGACCTGAGCTCAGAGACTGTGTCTGTCAACTGACTAACAGTTTGGCCAAGGGGGAAAAGGTTCAACACCAAAATGATTGCACAAGGATGATTTCTTTTGAGTCACAAGGACCATCTACTCAAAGATGTTGGCAGTTAGGATCTACATCAACTAAGGGAAGACGCCACAATGAAGAAATCGATGAACTTGAAGCATCAAAATATAGAAATACACATACAACATTTATTTTACTTACAGGGCCTGGTAAGCCTGGAGGGCCAGGTTGTCCTCTGTCTCCCTACAAAATAAATGAATTCCACATTTATTTTATTGTTGCAAAAATTACACTGGGTGTAATGGGTGATGATTCTTATTTCTGCAAAATAGAATTGGTATATTATGCCCTCAAATTCTTTTTACTTTCATGATATCAAATGAGATAATATTTGTGAAGCATTTAGCATAGCACTTGGTACACCGTAAGCGCTATATAATTGTTAGCCATTATTATGATTATTCATGATATTATCTCATTTGATTATTGTGACAACCCTGGGAGTTAGGTTTTATTATTATCCTCATTTTGCAGTTGAGGAAACTTGTTAATGTTAATAATAGTAACCATAAATTGTTAGACATAAAGTACTTGGCAGACAGTGGTATCAACTAATGTACACATGAATTCAGATACATTAACCTTGAACTTCCTCTTCTCCCCTATTCTATCCCTCGGAACTGTTTGATAACATGCCCTATTTCCTCCTTCTTTACTCTAGCTCAGATGAAGAGAAATCCCTTCTTAGGAAGGTCAACCCCTAGACTTGTATCCTCATATCCCATCCTGTCTCCTCTGGCAGATTACCCCTCAAAACCAGCCTCTTTTTTGATCTCCAATTTCTTCCTATGCTCTGCTTCATTTTTTACTGTCTACAACTATGCTCCATGCCTCATTCACTATTGGGAGGAAATCCTTATTTGTTTCTGCCATTTCCTCAACTTATTATCCTGGGCCAAACTCCTAGAAATGCTCTATTAATTTTTTTCCACTTTCTTACTCCACATTCACTTCTCAATCCCTTGAAGCTTGACTTTAGATCACTTATCTACTGAAAATGATTTTTCCAATGTTATTATGTTCTCTTAGATGTCAAACTGGATGGCCTTTTTTTAATTCTCACCCTTCTTAACCTTTCTGCCATATTTGAAAAAGTTGACCACCCTATACTGATATTCTTTCCTCTCTGGATTTTCATGACAATGATCTCTCTTGTTTTCCTTCTGCTTATGTGGCCCTTCTTCTTCCTCTCCTCAGTTGCATCATCAGATTAAATCATCTCCCCCCCCCCCACGAGTGGATATACCCCAAAGTTCCGCCCTCTTTCTAAGCAGTTAGGTGGTGCAATAGAGCACTAGACCTGGTGTCAGGAAGACTCAAATGAAATCAAATCTGACCTCAGATACTTACTAGCTTAGTGACTCCAGGCAAATAACTTAACAGATTTCTGTCTCAGTTTCCTCAACTGCAAAATGAGAATAATAATAGAACATGCCTCCCAAGGTTGTTATAAGGATCAAATGAGAAAATATTTTCAAATTGCTTAGCACAGTGCCTGGCACATAACAGGCCTTTAACAAATGCTTGGGTTTTTTTTTCCTTTCTCTACACTTTCATTTAGTGACTTCATCAGTTCCTCTGAGTTCAATTTATTATTTCTACTCAGATGACTCTCAGATTTATATATCTATACCCAGTAATTTTTCTGAGATGCATTCCAATATCACCAACTGTCTACTGAACATTTCAATCTGAATACCTCTTAGACATCTCCAGCTCATCATCTGAAGGCAGAATCTAAGGCAGAATTCATCACGTTTCCCCAAAACCCACATCCTTTCCCTGTTTTTTTCAAGGCATCATTATACTTCTAGTCATTTAGGTTTGTAATATCAGAGTCATCCATGTCTCCCCATCCTACTTTCATCCCATATACCCAATCAGTTGCCAAACCATACAGATCCTACCTCCATAACATCTCTGGCTTCCATGTCCTTTTATTCAATCATGTGGCCACCACTCTACCTTAGACACCTCTCTCCTGGACTACTGGAATAACCTCCTAGTTAGTCTCCCTACCTCAATTCTCTCCCCCTTCAGATTCATCTTCTACACAGGTGTCAAAGTGAGATTCTTAAAGAACACATCTGACCATGTTACTTTCTTGCTCCACAAACCCCTCTGATTCCCTATTACCACTAGGATAAGATAGAAATCCCTCTGTTTGACACTTGAAGCCCCTTACAACCTTGCTACATGTGTGTACTTCCAGCCTTATAACACATTGTACTCCTTCACACATTCTATAGTCTGGTCAAACTGGTCTTCTTGGTATTTCTCACTCAGGACAGTGTGTCTTCTATCTTTGTATCTTTACATAGACTGTCCTCCCACCCATACCTACAGTCTACCTCCTGCTTACTTCCACCTGTTAGATTTCCTAGTTTTTATCAAAGCTCATGCCACTTCCTTATATGAGATTTCCCTGATTTCTCTCTACCTACTAATCCCTCCCTCCCTCATTCACTCAAATAAACTTGTCTGAATTTTATGTATAAATGCATATATTCATATATGTACATGTTGCCTGCCTTGATATAATGCAAGCTCCTTGATGGCCAGAACTGTCTCATTTTTGTCTCTAATAATAACTAATGGCTAGCATTTATGAAGTGCTTTAAGTTTTGCAAAGGACTTTACAAATATTATCTCATTTTATCCACATGGCTACCCAGTGAGGTAACATTTCACAGATAATAAAACTGAGGCAAACAGAGGTTAAAAAGTGATTTGCCAAAGGTCACACAGCAAGCAAGTGTCTGAGGAAGGGTTTGAACTGGCATCTTACTTTGTCCAGTACATTATCCACTGTGCCACCTTTGTATTCCTATCACAATGCACAATGCCTGGCACACAGTAGGTACTTAATAAATACTAGTTAACTGATTCATCAAAGCAAACTCAATATATGAAAATCCCCAAATCTTGAAATTAGAAGGTAGGCTATTCACTTCAAAAAATGTTTCTCATTACTATTCTTTGATTAGTAAGCCCCTTCAGGAATACAAATAATATTTGATGACGGATTGCCATTTCCATCACTAGCTCATTTTAAGATTTGGAAATTGAAACAAACAGGGTTAAGTGACTTGCTCAGGATCACACAGCAAGTGCATATTTGAGGCTATACTTGAACTCAGGAAAATGACTTCAATCCAGGCATTCTACCCACTGAGCCATCTGCCTGCCCTGCAAAGTTTCATATTCCATGAAAAGAGGATGGCATTATTAAATGGGTTAGATCTTTCTTCATTGGTGACTTCAGCAAACATTGAAATTGCATCCCTCTTCTCCTATCTGTTTCTCCTCATTAATTCACTCTTCAATGACCACGATAAAGAACTGATTTTTTTTTTTTTTGCTTTTTGGTGAGGCAATCGGGGTTAAGTGACTTGCCCAGGGTCACACAGCTAGTAAGTGTCATGTGTCTGAGACTGGATTTGAACTCATGTCCTCCTGACTTCAAGGCCAGAGCTCTATCCACTGCGCCACCTAGCTGCCCCCGATTTTTTTTTTGTTCTGACTTGTGACTTTATGGGTGCCAGGAATGTGCTAGTGAGGAAATTTGCTCCACCAAAACAGAGTGACAGGTGCTTTGCGGTTTGTGGTCTCTATGAAATTCACTTGGGTCACTGGGAAGCTGTTACTTGTGCCAAATCAGACTGTCATTATGTGTCAGAGGATGGAGCTGAACAGGAGGGCCCTGAGCCAGAGGCCAGCTATTCTTCTACTACCCAAAGCTTTCCCTTAAGGACCTGATAAGTATCTTTCATAATGAGCAAGGTGAAGAAGTATGGTGGGTCATGAAATAATAAGAAAATCCTCTTACTTACTTTGGAGAATAAATGTCACTTAACCCTTCCAAGTCTGTTGCTGTATTTTTAAAAATGGTATAATAATCATACCTTTCTTACTTCACAAAGTGAGGATCACAACTTAATGTAGATAAATGTTTCTTGTAAGTATAAATCACTATACTAATATAAGGTATTGTCTTTTGTCTACATTTCTTCTGCTCCCTGTTCTAAATTCTAATAATAGAGTAAAATATTTAACATATTGTGTAGAAACAAAAAACTACACACATGTAAAAGAAAAGTAAAATTTCTTTTACTGATGTTGCTTAATTGAATGTTTTTTCTTCAGTAGGTCATTGGCTCTCCTGCTTAAAAAAAAAAATGAAGGACCCCTCTACTTTATTTTTTTAAAGGCACAGTTGTAAAGTAGCTTATACAATGGAAGTAACTTTTAAAATCCAAATACAATTTCATTCTCACCTTAGCACCCTCTCTGCCTTGTAATCCCGGGAGTCCTTGGTCACCTGTAAAACCCTAAAAATAGACAAATGAAACAACTGCATTGATATGTTGTAAAAGTGAGTATATGCACATATATTAAGATAAAAGAACTTTGTGAAAATACTTACTCGACTCCCCTTTTCTCCTTTTTCACCATCTTTTCCAGCTTTCCCCTAGGCAACAGAGAATGAATCATTAGCAAAGTATAAAATGACATGACAGTAAAGCCATGATGCAAAGATGAGAAGAAAATATTCAGTCACTCAATTCAACTGCACTTTTATTAAGCACATACTATATATGCAAAGCCTTGTGTCGAATCCCTGAAGATACAAAGATGAATGACACTTTTCCTTGCCCTGAAGAAGCTTATAATCTAGTAATACGAGCCAGCCTTTACATGGCACTTTCAAATTTATAAAGTGTTTTCTTTACAGCAACACTGTAAGATAGGTTAAACACAAAGAAACTGAGGCTAATGGAATTAAGTGTCAAATACAGGGTCAAAAGTTGAGTCTTAAACCTACATCTTTACTCCAAGTCCAACAGTCTTTTCACCATAACAAGAATACAGATGCAATACACAACAAAGAGAGACTAGCCTCTAGTCTAAACACAAAGGAGAAGTGTGACACGCCATGATATCTAAGAAAGGAGAGGTTAATTCCAGCTCGAGAAGAGAAGGGAGAGTAATCAGTAGATTAGACCACGCTGGAGGTCAGCCTTGAGGAAAGAAAAATAAGGGGGAAATGTACATTCTAAAAATACAGGAAGATGTGATCAAATGGATGGATACTGGTCAGAGTAGGGTGAGTCCAAGAAACAGTCAAATCTATTTATGAAGTATGTGGGGAGAGTGAAGGGGGGATAAGGCACAAAATGTAGGTTGGAGGCAGATTCAAAGAACTATAAGTGCCAGTCTAAAGGGTTTGGGTTTTATTTGGGATTGCTGTGGAGGGTACATTAGAAGGGAATGACATTGGAATAAGAGAGACTAGGAAGACACTGAAATAATCCAGCTATGAAAAAATGAGGGAAGGATACAGAAGAAAATCTGGGCAATGTAAAGACAAATGATATCAATAAAATCTATTTTTAAGAAGTTAATGAAGGTCTAAACTAGGGTAGTAGCCAAGGAAATAGAAAAAAGGACAGGTGAGTGCCGGGAGTGCCTGCGTGCCCGGCCGTGGTCTGACGCCAGCAGAGTGTGAAGAGAGAAAGAATCACGAGCCAGGTGGAAGATGTGAAGAACAAACTTTGTTTATTGATCTGAGGGCTCAGGCTTATATAGTACTGGATCAAACAATAGTAACATTATTTTCCATGAAAAGTACAAATCTAGTTAAGTGATTTCCTTACTTCCTTGTACTTTGTCTGATACTTTCTTTCCTGCATCCTGTCCTCTACCCTATCCGTTTCCTCCCTTCCTGCATCCTGTTCTCAAGAGATGGAACAGGGGGGTGGTGAGCCGACATCCTGAGTTTCACAGCTGTCGGGCTTAGTACAATCTACAGGTAAGACCCAGGCTGCCCTAAGCTCTCCAACTCCCCAAAGCTGGCCCTCTACAGGTGAGAAAAGTATTGATGAAAAAGAGTTGACAGAACTTGGAAACATATACAGTTCAGGTGTTAAGTCTAGCTAACTAGGAGAATGGTACCCTTAGCAGAAATACTGAAGAATATCACTGCCTCTTCTTTGAGATCATTTAAATCTTATAGGTTCTTAGCCTTTTTCTAGAGGCCTTCAAGAAAACAATCACTACCTTTCTGTATGGCATTCAGAAAAGCCTTCCTAGATGATCCTACAGACCCTTTCTAGTTCCATTTTTCTAGGACTGTATGATTCCATGTTTAACGAAAAACTGTTTGATCATAAGTAATAATGAGATTCATGGGATAGTCTAATGAAAGATACTTACTCGAGGCCCTAGTTTACCAGGTTCACCTTTCTGTCTTTCACCTGGTACTCCCTTAAAAAAAAGGAAGGGGAAAAGAATTAGATAAGTTATCTTATTCAGATGATTTTTGACATAGACAATATTTTACTTAAAATGAAAATATGCCTACAAGAAATCTATTAATTTTTCATGTAATCAATAAAACTTTTAAGATCTAATACTTACAGGAACTCCACGTTCTCCTTTTTCACCCTAATGAATTAAAAACACACAAAAATTCATAAGATTATTTCCAAGTAATTGTATCAAATGTTTAGGCTTTAGTACTAATGGCTGGTAAAAGAATAAGATCAACAAGTCTTTTCTGATATACTAAAAAAGAAGCATGAAGCTTGAACTTGATTAATTAGTAATTGTGCTATGGTTTCCATGGTGGGGGGCAGAAAGCAGGAGAGGACTGTAGGCATGGATGTTGTAAAGAGTTAGTCCAACATCAACTTCTGTAATGTAACTGTAGCTCCTACTTTAGTATGCCAAGAGACTGACCTCTATACTTCCACACCAATCCCCAAACCCTGGTACAATTTTTATAATACCAGCAATTTCACACAAGTAAATCTTGAAATGTAGCTGGAGGCGGGGGGCGGGGGGACAAAAAAGAAGAGGACTCTTCAGGATACATGGGAAAAGGGTTACTAGAAATGAACTGGAAAGGGGGAGGGAGGCTCCCATATTAACATTTTGTTGTCATTCTAGAATTTAAGTCATTTCCTCAGATTCTAGGAAATCCATGTGAGGCTCACAGAAATTCTTCATACAACTCAGGATTTGGACTCTTGGGGGCACACAAGGTTAGAAAAATGGAAGACAGTTTCTGTAAAAAAAATGGATTTTGACCCACATTCACTGTGTTTTCTTGGATGTGATTAAAAATTACACAATCAATGTTCATTAAATTTAACATACTTACTTTTGGTCCTTGAGTAGCAAAATCTCCCTTTTTTCCTATTTGAGCTTGTCCTGGTTCACCTGGAGGTCCACTAACACCTTGCTCACCCTATTGAGTTGCAAAAAAAAAGGTGGAGAGGTACAGAAATAATTACACTAAGAAGGAAAATTCAATACATTCTTCAGCTAAAGACATCTGGTCCTCATTTTGGCTTTTAAATCATTAAATAATAGATGATGTGTGTGTGTGTGTGTGTGTGTGTGTGTGTGTGTGTATTTACTAGATTCATTAGTAGGAATGAAAGTGCAATGGGAGTTTGGCATAAATGTTTCTGAGGTTGCTTCCCTTTCTAAGACTCTGTGAATCAATAACATTTCTTTTATAAATGTTTTGATCTATTACTTAAATCCTTTACTGTTATATAATTTTTCATAGCTTAACTCTTCAAAATGATGGTGAACAACTTAAGGAATGGGACAATTTCTCACCTTTCTTTGTGTTTCCCTCATCATTTACATGGATTATATTGCCTTACATGGCTTATTTACATAATTGTATATGTAACCTGTTTTAACTATCCACTTAATAGCAGAGCAATATCCTATAAAGTTCTGTATTACATAATTTTATTATACCTTAACTCTTTTAAAAGAGTTAATTCTCTTTTAATTTGTCTTGTACCTGATATCATGGAAAGTGAGTTCCTTCTAAATTTTATCACCTTAAAATAGCTGAATACAATGCAGATCATCAGCTTTTAAAACAAGTGTGTATTTTTTTTTACATTTCCTTTTTTTCTTAAGATGATGCAATTTCTTATGCTGTGTCAAGGTGGATGGTTTCGTGTGGACTAATCACAAAGGGCTTGGTTAAATCAAGGAAAGCCAGTGCAGTGTAAAAGTAGATATTTGTTTGTGAAAAGTACTGAGATATATAGATTCTATGCAGTACAGACTAGATTTGACATGTCTTTGAGAAGGGAAATACACTTCACAAAGAAAGAAATATATTATGACCCTAAACCAAGGGAGTTATAGTGAGGAGAAAACAGCCAATGAAAATGTGCTGTATCTATCACTGTAAGAACTTAAGTTTTCATCCCACTCTCATGTCAATGTATCTTTGGATGCTTTCATTGCAAAGAGATCAAAAGGTATGCTGAAGATGAAAAAAAAAAAGATATACAGCAAAGTATGAATATAACACCACCAATTACAATTTGACAAATACATTTTCTTATTATCTGCTGTACTCTCTCCTGCTGAGTATAGAAACTAGGGAGAAAAGTGGAGATACTCTACTACTTTGAAAAATTTTGAAACGGAAACACTCTGAAATCAAATGTAACTTACCTTGTCACCTTTGGGTCCTTGAAAACTCAAACCCATTTGACCCTGTTGGTTAAAAATTAAAGTTACATTACTATAGGAATTTCTGTCTTTTGAAATTAAACACAAAAAATAAAATAAATAAGCATAAATAACATTAAATCAATTGAATCTGCAATGTAGTATTTTGGGTGCCTCAAAATTTTCACACGTCATAACTATATTATATTCAATCTCTGTGAAGACATTATTTTTTAAGATCATTAACAGAGAACTAAAAATAAATTGAAAAGACCTTTGTTTGCCATAACTCTCTATATTGGACATAAGTTGAGTTAACAATATTTAAATGACTACAATATTCCAGGTAATATGCTAAGTGAAAAGGCAAAAAGAGACCCCAACACTCAAGGAATTTACAATCTATAAAGAATAGATTACATGTTTACAAAGTCTCTTAAATAGGCAAAAAAAAGTACATTTTTGAACCATGAGAAATTTCATAATTATTTTATTCAAACTATTTAAAAGGCAAAAAAAAAATTATAAAATCTTTACCTTTTCACCTGGAAGTCCTGGAGGACCTGGTGGACCCTATGAAAGAAGACATTTTAATTATGTAGATCTTTTAAAAACATATTATTGATAGTTCTCAATTCTGGTGGGTTTTAAGTGACTTCTCTACTTCAATGTAACCACCTATCCTCATCCAAGATATCACTTCAATTTGATAACAGCCTTTTATACATAGGTAGAGATAAAATTAAAATTGCAATTACAACATTAAATAAAGAATTTTGGCACTAATTTTTTAATATTAATCTTTTAACATTTTATGTTTGTGTTTCTATATGCTGTCTATATCATTAAGTAGGCAGCATTACAGGATAAACATTTTTTTTAATTTTATACCTATTTAAAGCATGAAGTCTTGATGGCCACTAGATATTGTTTATTACCTAGAAAATTCTATGTAATTAATGAATATATCATTTACAAAAATATGCACATAGTATGGTATAAAAAACTGAAAGCTGGCATCAGAGTCAGGAAGACCTGGAGTCAAATGACACCTCTGATCCTCACTGGCTGTGTGTCTCTGGTCAAGTCACTTTTTTTTTGACAGACAATCAGAGTTAAGTGACTTGCCCAGACTCACACACCTATTAAGTGTCAAGTGTCTGAGGTCAGATTGAACTCAGGTCCTCCTGACTCCAGGGCCAGTGCTCTATCCATTATGTTACCTAGCTGCCCCAAGTCATTTACCCTTTAAGTGCTCTAGTCAATGCTCAGGACTATAAACTGTAGAAAAGGGGCTGACCTGTGTTGATAAAAGGAGTTTGCTCACCAGAGAGCACCCTGTACCAGTGAAATGAAAGTTCCATTCCCTATTCCCTTTTCTTCATAAGCAACATCACTTTGAATTCTCTCTCCTACAGCTCTAGGAATTTTAACACAGTGGTAGAAGAAAATTCAGAGCAAAAGCAATTAAATCATGAATATTTTGTAAGAATGACAAAAATAAAATACTTCAAGCAACCTGTTTCCTAGTGTCTATTTAACCAAAATTAATAGACAATGTTATATTGATCTAAATCCCTTGATGTGAACTGTTTAATGATACTTTAATAAGGCTTCATTATGCAATAGTTTGTCTTCTCTCCATGCTTTTCCCAAAGAGATTTTGCTCATACATAGCAGAAGTAGTAACTTACAGGTGGTCCTGAATATCCTGGTGGACCATCCATGCCTGGCAATCCTGGATTTCCTCTTGGCCCCTGTTTATTAGAAAATAGAAAAGAGCCACAGAAATCAGGAGATAGGGGGGTTTTTTTCATCTTACCTGTAGCTAAGAGGGAGAATTTTTGTGAAACAGGGTATATGAGTGCTTATAAAAGATAAAATAGACAATTTTGACTGCATGAAATTAAAAGAAAAAGATTCTGAATAAGCAAAGTCAATGCAATTAGGATAAAAAGGGAATCTATTGGTGGGGAAATCTGCATCAAATATTTCTGATAAAGATCTCATTCAAGACATTTAGGGAATTAAGTAATAAGGAATAGTAAGAATAACAGCCCTTCCTAAATGGATAAATTGTCCAGGTATGAAAACAGCTCTCAAAAGAAGAATTATAAACCAGTAATAACCATTTAAAATGGTTATTATCCATCACAAATGCAAATCAAAATAACTTAGGTTTCATTTCACATTCAAGAAATTTATAAAGATGACAAAGGACTGAAATAGGTTGGAGGGGTGTTGGAAAGACAGGCTCTCTAATACATCTGTCAGTGGAGTTATGAAATAGATCATTCTGGAATGAAATTTGGAATGATGCTAAAAAAATGAAAGATGTCCATGCCCTTTGACCTAGGGTACCTAGAGAACACTTTGCTAGGCATAGAACTTAAGGGAAGTTACAGACAGAAAGAAAAATCCTAGACAAATTAAAATAGTCATAGAAATACTTTCCGTGGTAGCAAAGAAGTAGACACAATGTAGATATCTATTAATTGTGGAATGGCTGAACAAATCATAGTACATTAATAAAACAGAATATTACTTTAAAAAAACCTCCATGAATATGAAAAACTCAGAGATGTATGTGGGTTATTCGTAAACTGATGGGGGTGAAACAAGGAAGGTAAGAAAAACAATATATGAAATCATTAAAAAAATATAAATGAAAATATTTTTTAAAACTGAACACAGTTTAATTATAATAACTAAGCTTAGCCCTGAAAAAGATGTATGAAAATGTATTCTCTATCTTCCTTGGCAAAGGGAGAGTACTATGAGCATGGATAGCTACATTATTATATTTAGTTGATGATTTTGTTTTTCTGAATTGTCTTTATAAATCTTTCTTTTCTACTCATTCTTACAAAGAACTCTCTGAGTAAAGGAGGAGAGATGGCCCTAGTTAGAAATATTGGTGATATAAAAAAAGATATCAAAAATTTTTAAAGAAAAATGAAAGTTAAAAATTATAAATATAAACTCAATAAATTGATGCAAATATATGCTACATTTATTTAGCTAATACCTACCATTGGTCCAGGGGGTCCAGGAAATCCCCTTTCACCTTTCAATGGCATGCCTGGGATTAGACTAAGGATTTCACCTGGGTCTCCCTATAAAAAAAAACAACACCACCACATTTTTTATTATGATGCACTTACAGAGATAGTCAACTAGAAGAAGCAAAAACTTAGAATTCATCAAGTAAGAAAGTTTTCTTATGGATGGCTAGCTAAAAGCTATGCACATGAAATAGGCTATGGCTTAGTTGTTTCATTCATTGTGTCTGTCTTAATGATCGATGAGATTTGCCACACCAGTGAAGGCTACTGGAATGAATAGACCCGTGCCACTATTTACTGCTACATTTAGACATTATTGTTGTTTGTCTTTCATTTTTGAAGAGGATCAATGACATCACCAGGTAATGGCTTTACTTTCACATGAGTTGGATTTAAGTGAGACACAGTTGCATAAAGTTGTCAGCCTTGCTCTCCATCTAGAATCATTGAATTCATACATGTATACACACACACACACACACACACACACACACACACACTATATATATATAATAAATGTAAAATAAATACAAGGCAATTAGGAATCAATCAATCAATCAATAGACATTTATTAAGTGCCTACTATGTGTCAGATATCATGGGTGCTAAGCGCTGGGGATATAAAAAGAAGCAAAAGACAGTCCCTCCCTTCAAACAGTTTACAATCTAATTGGGGGGGGCACAACATGAAAACAAATATTCACAAAGCATACTATATACAGGATAAATAGGAGGTAATTAACAGACAGAAGGCACTGGAATAAAAGGATTGAGGAAGACTTCCTGTAGAAGGTGGGATTTTAGTTGGGACTTAAAGGAAACCAAGGAGGTCAATAGTCATAGCAGAGAAGGGAGATCATTCCAGGCATGGGAGACAATGAGAAAATGCACAGAATGGAGAGATGGCATGTCTTCTTTGTGGAACAGCCGGAAGGTTAGTGTCACTGGCTCAAAGAGTACATGTTAGGAAGCAAAATTTTAAGAAGACTTGAAAGGTAAAGAGGGGTTAGATTGTGAAGGGCTTTGAATGCCAAACAAAAGATTTTGTATTTGATCTCAGAGGCAAAAGGGAGCCACTGGAGTTTACTGAGTAGGGGTGACATAATTAGACTTGTGCTTTAGAAAAATCACTTTCATGGCTGAATAAAGGATGGGTTGGAATGGGAAGAGACTTAAGGCAGGTAGTCTCTGAAATAGGTTATTTCAATAATCAAAGCATGAAATCATGAGGTTTTTTACTAGAGTGGCACCAGTGTCAGAAAAGAGAAGGAAAGGAGGACATAGTAGTTGGGGGAACAGGAAAGACTTCATATAGAGTATGGTACTTGAACTACAACTTGAAGGAAGATAGGGTTTGTGTAAGGTAGGTATAATGAGACAGTGCATTCTAGGCACAGGGGATGGCCAGTGCAAAAATATGGAGATGGGAGATGGGATGTCATGTGTGAGAATCAATGAAAAGGTCAATTTCTCTAGAATGTAGGGTGTGGGAAGGAGATTAATATATAATGTGGCTGGAAAGATAGGTTAGGGCCAGGCTGTAAAGGCCATTAAACACCAAACAGAAGAGTTCTTATTTTATCCTGGAGGCTACAGCCACTAGAGTTGATTGAGTAGGGGAGTGACATGGTAAAAGCTACACTTAGCAAAAATTACTTTGGCAGCTGTACAAAGAGGATAGATTTGAGTGGGGAGAGACTTGAGTCAGGGAAACTAAATAGAAAATCATCATATTCAGAGTGATAGGCGATGAGGGGCTTAAATGAAATTGGTGGCTGTGTGAGTAGAAAGGGTCAGATTCAAGAGATGTTTTGGAGCAAAAAACACACACACACAGCAAAATTTGGCAACTGATTCGATATGTGGGGTGAGAGAAAATGAAGAGTCAAAAATAAATGAGGTTAAAAAAATGGGTCAAGGAGTATTGATCCATTTGCCAAGGCACTCGTGAGGATATGGTTCACAAAGCATAATGTAAACACATTGCTATGTGAAGACTAAACAGCAATAACAAATATTTATAATGTATCTTTATGAAATTGCTGAGATGAGGGGAAAATGCTTGCATTTTATCCCTTTTCATTTTCATGGGTTACAAAGTTTTTTCCTTAGTTAGCTTTTTTCTTCTTCCTGTTATAGACATTTCTTTCCTATAAAGTAAGTTGCCACTTCTAATTATAAATTTAGACAAATTATATTTCTCTTTAATCCAAACACTGCAGAATTTGCTTTTGCTTCCCATTTGCTATAACATTTTTTGGAAGTTTGCTAAGTCATAATGCAAACATTTTAAGAGTAAAATATAGTTTGAGGGATCTGCTGATGGTTGTGAAATCATTATCTGGCGCAGCTAAGCACAAAAGGTTAGAGGAAAGAAAGGGAATTATTCTACTCTTTCATGCTGCGACGGGTAACGTCCTCTTGGATATGAAGGGGAATATGAGATAGAATGACTGACATCAGGTGGTCATGTCACTTAGCAAAAGGATTGTCAGCCTGAACTGGTAATGAAATGTAAAAAGACCTGGAAGAAGGGTCTCCAGTACAGATCCTCCTCGGGAGGATTTATGGGAAAAACATCATACAGAATGAGAAAGTGCAGATGCATTGTGATTTGTACTATTGGTATGCAGCATTGGCTAGGATAGGTGCTTAATGCTTGTTGACTGGTTAATTGTTTGATTGATGAGATCAGATATTCTAACACATTTCAGTAACTGATACTAGACTATGATTGAAAACAAAATGACTGGGATCCCTGAATAAAAAGTACTATGACATCAAATTCTCATCATTTAATTATATTTGGTCCCTGAGTAATTATTAAATTCATGGTGGAACTAATGCATAGTTTGGTTGAGGAATGGGAAGGATGTGGTATTTAAATGAGTCTACTAAGGAATATTTAGCCAACAAATAAGATAATTCTAGTCCTTTTTATAAACAGATGGCTCTGAAAAAAAAACCAACACAATCAGATCATATAGAAAAATGATAAATCTCCAATGCATTTAATATTTATTACTTAAAAGATTATAATTACTTTAATTCCTAATAAAGTATCTTAATACTTTCCAAAACACAACAAAATATTTGTTTATTATTAATGTATTTTACTTTATAAAAACTTAATACTGCACATAGATTGGCCTAGTTAGAACTGTGTAAAATTAAACATCATTAAATAAAATGTTTTAATCAGGCCACCTGCAATTAATTAATTCATTAACTGATATATACCTTCATTCCTGGCAATCCGGGGGGCCCCTATAAAAGAAATGTATTACATTAGTGTTTTTTTAAACAAAAAACATAATCATCAGACTATGCAGACTAATGGGGCAGAGATAAGGAGAAGGGACAAAGAGAGAAATAGAAGTGCCAAGAGATGAAATATGATCAAAGAAATGATATTTCATTTAAAAATAATGTTATACTTACTGCTATCCCAGAAAATCCAGGCAAACCAGGAGGACCCACTGGACCTCTATCACCCTAAAAAGAAAAGAGACATGTTCTTAACTCTGAGTATGTATGCCTCATCATTTCCTGACAAAGGGAATGGCAGTATAAAAGCATTCAAGATTCATGCCTAGAAGTTATAATCGCTTGGGAAAACTCTACTAGTGCTTAAAATACATCATCACTTGGTTTTAATCATTTTCTAAAGATAGAGTGCTATTTGACAGTCTTGTTCATGTTAACTTGGTAAGAGAATACTTCATGAGATAAAATATATGAATGACAGTGTTATCAGCACCAAGACAGGGGATATGCAGCAAGCTATCTTGTAGAATTTAATGACTGATTCAGGTAGGAAAGCTGGTGCTTAAAAAGATACTTTGAGGTGAAATTGTACAGAATGAGTGAACATTTCCTAGAATCTAACTAGAAGAAACTGGAGTTCTTCAACCAATAAAACATCTAGAGAAAGGCAATTTGGGATAGCAAATAGCATTGGATAGGCCATCTGATCTAGGCTCTATTCTCAGCTCTGTCAGTGACTTGCTGGATAACCTTGAAGAAATAACTTTACTTCTCCGTGGTTCATTTTTCTTATCTGTAAAATTAAGATGTTAGAAGATATCATTTCTATGGCAGACCTACTATTCCAGTACTGTAATTCTAAGATTCAATGAGTTGAATCCCATTCTGACAAAAAAAAAATTTTCTATTAATACACCTCAACTTGATTTATTAACAGCTAGATTTTACTTTTACTTTTGAGAACACAGAAAAAAATTTTCACTGTTGTTTTTTGTCCAGATTTTATTAGTATAAGACACAATCAATAAAGAAAATCTCTGTATCAATGATTAAGAGAATTGTCTGGGGCACTCATACATACCAAATGTGTCAGAGATTGAATTTGAACACAAGTGTCCCTGACTGCAAAACTGACTCTTAACACTACACAGCAGTGTCTATTGCTCTCTCTGTCTCTCCCTCTGTCTCTCTCTGTCTCTCTGTGTCTCTATCTGTCTCTGTCTATCTGTCTGTCAGTCTCTTTCTCTCTCTGTTGTTGTTACTTAAAATTTCACAAAAGGGATAAACTTTGGCTCCAACTCCAAACTTACCTTTGTACCATTACATCCTGGGATACCAGGAGGACCAGGTGGACCATCTTGGCCTGGGATACCCTGCAATTAACAAAATAAAGAAATAACAATTGCAGCAATCATCTGATAATGGCATTGCAGAACACACTTTTTAAAAAAATAATTAAATATTTAGCTCATATACATACAGGAAGCCCAGGGTTTCCAGGATAACCAGATGAACCTGGTGGCCCCTATAAGTAAGAAAAAGAAAATAGAATTAAAATAGGTAACTGCAACAATGTCTCCACTCCACTTTATTCAAAATACCACTACAATAAAGTCTTCCAGATGTTTTAAATACAGATTACCCATATTCCCCATCATCCACCTGGCCAGAATGAAACCCTGTTTTCGGGTACAGGGGCATTCCCCAGTTCATCTAGATAGATCATCTGTCTTTCCCAAAAACATAAATTAAATTGATCATTACTTATTTTCATGCATGCATATAGAACTTTGGACTTTTACTCTTTTGCAATTTCTAGTCCAAAATACAGGTATAATTTACACTAAAATCTATAAATATGGCAATGATATCAATGAAACAAATTTTTCCAATAGTTTGCTTTTAAAAGCAAAATAGAACAATTTTATTCAGAATATAGTATTGATTTTAGTACCTTACAGGGAATTAGCTCTAAATACTTCAAGAGATCTTGCCCCAAATACCTACTATCTGTATTAGCTTTAATATAAATTGTTATCCTAAAAATGTGTAGGTAGTTAGCATCTTATATAAGCCTATGTTGTTTTAATTACCTTTTATTGACATACACACACACACACACACACATATATATATATCTATATATATATATATATATATAATGTATATATATGAACAAAAAAATTGAGACCTATAGCCATTTATCTCAAATGCTTCACTATTTTTAAAAATTCCTAAAAATTTTGGTATTTTCTACAGGATTCAGATATTTGGAAAACATTTCAAAGTGGTAGCTACTTCATCTTTGAAAATGATACTTAATTTTAACAATATATACTCTCACTGCACAATAAATGAGAAACTTTTAATTTAATGACATCATCTCCCAAAGTCAAATTCAAGATTTGTTCATAGGAAATATTTGAGAAAGAGAAAATGGGAGAAAAATGAAGATAAATGAATGTACTACATTACTGAACTAGCAACAAGGAATTTCAAAGTACTCTTCACCATGGAATTGGAGGAGGAATTAGAAAGCCTCTTTACCACAAACCTTCACCATCCCAACATTAGCCTTAATAACTACTCCTCAAATCTTTTGAATATTTGTGAGGAAAGGAGAAAGAAGAAGAAGAAGAAAATAGGAAGAAATTAAAGAAGACATTTTCCCGAGTGCTCACTCAGAAATAAGAGGAAGTGCAGTGCAGTTAAAGAATTTAAAAAACAAAATGACCAAAAAAACCCCCCAAAACTTGAAATAATGCATTCCTCTACCCTACTTAAAGCACTGCCCTTAACATACTCAATAAATAGTAACTAACAAAACTTAAGTGACTATTGTACTCACTCTTGTTCCTTTTGTTCCTGGTAATCCTGGTTCTCCAGCATCCCCCTGTAAGAAAATAAAATTGCATTATCAATGTTCACAATGGCAAGAATTTTGAATAGCTCAGAAACTAATCGTCATTCAATTTATCTTACCTTATTACCCGGAGGTCCATGAGGACCTTCAGGCCCTTGCATTCCAGGAAACCCAATGACACCTTGTAATCCTGGAAGACCTCGTTCACCCTGAAAAATTTTTTAAAAATGCAAGTCAGTCTTAAGCAAAATACTGATTGGAACAATTTTTTCCTCAAAACTTTTTTCTTGTTTACCCAACATCCTTCAAAGTACAAAAAGTTGAGGCAGAATTCCTGTTTTGAGGTTGTTTCTATTTATTATACTAAATCCGATCCATCTGCAAGTCAAGGCATCACCCTCTTGATATCATTAATTCTCTTCGAGAATGAAGAACAAATAACAGCAACAACAATTTACTGTACCATAAGTCCTTACAGGGCAGGGATTGTGCGTTCCAAATCATCTAATGCAGTTCAATGTACACAGCTGATATTTAATAAATGTTTGCTAAACAAATGAATGAATGAATACATATTACATATTACATATCTTATATTATATATGTAATATATATTATCTATATTTACTAAATTGTGAGATAATTTAATTGGACAACTATTCCGGTGGCTGTTTTCTCCCCTAACTTGACTAATAATGTGACTGATCTGATAGAGTAAACCTTTGCCACCATTTAGTTCTAAGATTTTGTGTGAAGGCTTCTTCTACGCTCTTCTTTGCTTCTAGTTATCATTTGGTAAAGTGGATAAGCACAGAGCCTATAGGAAGTTAGTATTCAATCAACAGTATGATAAGGAATTTGGTGGATTTTGTTGTTGTTGTTGTTACTAAAATAGTAACTGTGCACAACAGATCCTATTAATTTGTCCATATGTGGTGCTTCCACTGTAATGCAGTATGCTAGAAAATGTGGGTTATATATAGGCATATAAGACATGGTTCTGCCCTAAGAAGTTTACACAATATGGCTCAGGAAATGAGGCACACACAAAACATTTAAATGACATGTGACATTATATGTTTAAGTACCTGAATGAGAGGTAGAGACAATAAAAACTATATACTATGAAGGATAGTGTTCAAAGTGGACTGACTCGGTGGACAGCTTAGGACTTGACACTAGGCCTTAAAATGGTTAAGACATGTATACGTGAAAAGGAGGAAGAAGGGCATTCCAGGCAAGGGATACAGCATAAACAAAGAGGTAGATGCTAGAACAAGCATGAAGGGCATTGTACAGAGAAGATCAGCCTAAATAAAGTGAAGAGTATCATGTTGGAAAGTAATGAGAGATAAGGCCAAAAAAGTGAGATTATGAAACATTAGGGTGTCTACACCACTGAAGGTCATGGAACAAGTGAACTGTTGCTTTAGGAAGACTACCACATTTTAGGTGGTCAGGAGAAAGGCAGCATGGCGTAGGAAAAAAATCTCTGGATTTGGAGGTAGAAAACACTGGTTCAAGATCTGAGCATATTCACTATGTATCTGAGTAAGTCCCTCAGCCTCTCAGAGTCTCAGTTTCCTCAGTTATAAAAGAGGTTGGACAAATTGACACCTCAGGCCTCTTTCAAATCTATGATCTTATACCTAGAAGTTCCCAAAATGGGCATGGGTGCTAAGACAGTATTACAATGCACATTTGTCAGATAAGCCATCAGTATTACAATTATATAAAAAAAAAAGATTAAGCAGAAGATCTGCTTTTATATCCTGGTTTTGCTATTCATTACCTATACAACCTTAGGCAAATCAACTAACTTCCATGGGGTTTATTTTCCTCATCTGTAAAGTGAATGGGGTGGACCTAGATGGAATATAAGTAAACTCCTTGAGAATGGAATTATTTCAGTTTTTTTCATTCATTTGTTGTCTGTATCTCCAGCATCACAAAAGGGACTTAATAAACATTTGTTGATTTATTGATGATTTTTGAAATCCCTTCTAGGTAGCATGGGGTAGCTGGGTGGATTGGTGGATGAAGTGCTCATCTTTCTGAGTTCAAATCTGACCTCAGACTTTTACTAGTTGCATTATCCTGGGCAAGTCACTTAATTCTGATTGCCTCAGTTTTCTCAATTGCAAAATAAGCTGGAGAAGGAATGCCAAAGCAGTCCAGTATCTTTACCAACAAAACCCCAGATGGGGTCACAAAGAGTTGGACATGACTGAAAATCACTGAACAACAACTAAGTCGTGTAGTGCATGGGAAAGAATGCTGGATTGGAGTCAGAGACCTGAGTTCGAATACTAGTACTTAATACTTTGGGCAATTCTCTTTATTTCTCTGGGACTCTGTTTCCTCAATGGTAACATGATGGTGTCGGACTAGATGACTCAAAAAGTCTCTTCCATCTCTCAGCCTACTATCCTATGATTTAAATCTATGATGTTCTAAGACTCACTAAGTGATACACAGGATTGAATATTATTATTTTTTCCCAAGCTTCTATTAATTAATTGCCAGTTGAGAAAAAAAAAGATGAGATATTTATCAAAGGGGGCAGCTAGATGGTGCAGTGGATAGAGCACCAGCCCTGAATTCAGGAAGACCTGAGTTCAAATCTGGCCTCAGACACTTGACACTAGCAGTGTGACCCTGGGCAAGTCACTTCACCCTATTGCCTCACCAAAAATATCTATCTGTATCTATATCTATCTATCTACCTATCTATCTATCTATCTATCTATCTATCTATCTATCTATCTATCTATCTATTATATATATATATATACACATATACATCAGAGAAGAATTTGTTTCAAAACAGAACACTACCTAGAGTCACTTGAAAGTTTTTTTTTCAATTCATATTATGTGAATTCAAATAATAAGAAAAAAGCAAGCACTGAAAACATTAGTCCCATTTCCAAAACACTTTAGCAACCTTGATAATGAACTAACTGGTAAAAACCTAAACTTCTTTACTGAATGACTCTGTGGGTCTAAACTGCATCTATAACATGATAGCACTACAGATTGCTCTCTCCTTTTGTTTGGAAGCTGGAATCAGAATTCTAGAAAAGCATTTGAATGAATGAGGAAGAAATTACCTTAAACTTCAGAGGAAAGAACTCAATGGCAAATGGATGAAAGGATACTAAATCTCACACTTTGGCCTGACTTTTGCAACAGCAGCATCAAGGGCTTCTACAAGTAGGAACAGATGCTATCACACTCAGAATAGAATTTTCCATTAAATGTTAGATCCTCATACTTATGACCTTGTCATATATAGGAAAAGAAAACCATTCATAAACTAGCACTTAATTAAGAACAGAAATGGATATTTGAATGTATGGTTTTCATACAGTTCTTCTATTGATCACTTCTCATGCCTCCCTCCTCACAAATGAAAATAGGAGAAAACTGGAGACAGAGATTTTAAATTGAATAACTGCCATTTACAATAAATAGAAATCTATTGTTCAAGCACTGGAAAAGTCAACCCAGATGTAACCAAAAGAAATGTTCACAAGATGAATGAAGACTTATCAAGTGTTAACCAAGTGAAGGAATGAAGGAATGAAGCACTTTCAGCTGCCAAAATTCTTTTAAATATGATAGTTGTAATTATTATATAAAAGATGTCACATTAAGGCAAAGTTATGTTATATGTTTGAGGAAATGCTTGGCACTTGATACCAAAAAATAGCCTTATGACATGGATTCAGAACAAATCTTATCATTCTCATTTAAACATAAGGAATGTCTGAAGCAATGAACAAAATTCAATGACTTGCAAAAGTTTCTCACTGAGTCAGCACCGATGCCAAGAATTTAAGGAAAAAAAAAAAGTCTTATCGTGCCCCAGTCAGTGTTTTTTCTAGGTCACTAAACCACACCAGTTCCCAAGGGAAGATTAAACATCATACCAATATCAAACTAGCCTGAGGTAGCATCCCTTTTATGTCCATTTTACAGACATGGAAATTAAGACTCAAAAGTTACAGTGACCTGCCACATATCCTTTTGTGACCTAGAGGTACTCTTGGGAATTGGGTCTAGGAATCTGAATTCCCAGTCCACCAATTAACCACAAGAACACATTCTTTCCCAAATGTCATTAGAAAACTTAAGAAATTTGTATGTCCCAAGAGTTTTGAAATTAAGTAGCTAAAAGGAAGTGACTACTCAGACTGTATAACTTTCTACCCCTCCCTACATATTTTTTCCCTTATTTCCCAAGTCATTTGTTCAGACAAAAGCCCACACGAATAATCTAATATCTAGTTCCCTGTCCAAATTTATCATGGGAACCAAAGCTAGGAGTAAAGACAGGATAAGCATTCACACAAATATACAATAAACTGGCAAACACTGTATGTAATTACACTGTCCCAATTATTTCCCCTTAAAACTTTTGTAAGTATCAAGTGACGATGTACAAAGAACAAAGGGCTGAACATATTATGAAAAGATTATGTATATGGGAATCACTGCAAGTTCACAAGGTACAGCTGTAAAAAGACAAGAATAAAATAAACGAATTAGCTTCTGCTACATTTCAGCTCCAACTGTCCATAATTTAACATCAATGGGATAAAGATTCCTTTCAGTATCTTTAAAACAGAAAGGTCTCAAAAGAACATGTTGACCACGTACTTCATGTGTGATTGAAATGTAAACTCTGAACATTGCTTTTCAATGATGCAAAGTGGAAAAGGGGGGGAGAAAGAACTTTTCAAATGTTACACAGAATGCTCAGAACATTTTGTGCAATGCATTGCCAGGTGTCTAATATTCCAAATGGGAAGTTTATGTGTCTTTAGAACAGAAGTAACTTGGCAATATCTCACACGAAGAAATTCAGAATGTGGGTTGGGGGGTAGGATTAGGGAGGGGATAAAAATCTATCATCTATATGGAAAACATTAAAGAATGAGGCTACAGAGAATGACCTCAGCACTGAAACTAGCTTTTCTAAATTAGGCATGAAATAGAGTTTCATGCTTGGGATCACTGCAAAGTTTTGCTCAATATGTAGCCAGAAGCAAGACTATATTTCCAAATGTGAATTCAGGTGAAGGGGAAAGTGCAATCTAAAAAAAAAAAGTACATTTCTTTTTCTTTCCTTTGAATGAATGAATGAATGAATGAAAACACATTTACTAAGCACTTACTATGTAGCAATTAAACTGAGCTAAAC